TGCATTCCCAGCAACTGTGGGTGCCTTTGCGCACCTTTCTCCGTTTGGTTTGCCCGTAGGCGTCATGCGACGGTGCAACATGCGGAACAGACATGGTAGATGAGACGGAGATGGAGATGGGAATGTGTCATGTCGTGGAAGCGGTGGGAAAGGATAACTAACTACTAACGTTGCATGGTGGGTGAAGAGGGGATGAGATTACTCTAGCATTATTCATCCCAATCACAGCCAGAGATAGCGCAACTGCCGTAAGCAATAACTAATAAAAGAAAGAAGGTACTTTTGGCACAGTAGAGGGCTACGACTATACCAGCGAATCCTCACTGTTGTATGTTTTTGTTTTGCTTCAACGTCCTACGTACATATAATGAAGTCTATGTGGCTGTAATTTTTAAGCCTTCCAAAAATTAAATTTAAGAATCAAGGTAGTGTACGGTGTCCACAATGATGTGTTGGATGAAAGGTGATATATATATTGTAGAATATATTTAGAACAGAAATCGAATCGCTTAAGATAGACCCCTCAGCCTTTGAATTTGACTTTTGAACGAACGATACTTTTAGACAACTTTGACTGTGAGACATATATACTACCTAGTTACATACATACCTAGGTAGGTAGGCAGGTGGATGTAGTATCAAGTGGCCAATCAGACGAGATTTGACAACTAAAGCACGTGACCACATCCGTACCTGGCTTATCGATAAGAGTGCCAAGCCATCAGCAACCCAAAACTTTTCCGCTCATTTGATATTTTTACCCCAAGCCATTCTGCCGATCATTCACTACAAAATGTTGAGAGAAGTGTAAGTTATGGATATTCATCGAGATTGTCATCCAAATCTAATTCTCTTCCCTACAGGAAAGCCAAGAACCCGCGCACTGCGCGTATCCTGAAAGCGCGGGAGCCGCAACTCGTCGAACCCCCCAAGAAGACCCTGATTTTCCACGGCGCAAAATGCCCTCAAACACTGGACACCGTGCTGAAGACCTTCCACGCTTTGACGAAGCCTCACAACATTCTTTTCCACAAGAAGAACGAGAACTTGCATCCATATGAGAACTCGGAGAGTCTGGAATTCTTGGCGAACAAGAACGAGTGTGGACTCGTAGCATTCGGAAGCCACAACAAGAAGCGACCCAACTGTGTTACACTGGCTCGGGTCTACAACTCAGAGTTGCTCGATCTCGTCGAGCTGATGCTGCTCCCCCCGAGAGATGGCGAGATCATCCCGCCCATCAACGAACTTGTCATGGACGTCGGTCTCGGCCTGCGACCTATGATGCTGTTCTCTGGTTCCCCCTGGGACGATCCCACATCTATTTCGCACACCATCCTCAAGAGCACTCTCCTCGACATGTTCAAGGGCGAGGAGACGACCCAGGTCGACGTCGAGGGTCTGCAGTACGTGATGATGGTTGGTGCAGAGGAGCCCCAGGATGGTCTCTCGCCCGTCATCCACATGCGCTGGTACAGAGTTGTCACCAAGCGCAGCGGTCACAAGCTGCCCCGCGTTGAGTTGCAGGAGGTCGGCCCTAAGTTCGACTTCAAGGTCGGTCGCACACGCCAGGCTGCCCCTGAGGTGCAGAAGGAGTCCATGAAGCAGGGCAAGCGTCCCAATGAAGAAGCCCGCACCAAGAAGAACATCATCATGGACTCCATGGGTGATAAGATTGGTCGTGTTCACCTCGGCAAGCAGGATCTGTCTGACATGCAGACCCGTAAGATGAAGGGTCTCAAGCGTCGGGCGGGTATGGAATCATCCGACGAGGAGGAGGAGCCATCTGCGGAGATGATGGAGGTGGATGAGGTCTCTTCTGATGAGGAGGTGGAGGAGCAGGAGACCCACAAGAAGGCACGGAAAAACTAAGATCGATCGATTTGCATGATTTCTTTTGCTAAGGAGTTTGGGCCGGACGGGATTTCGTTTTCTGCGCCTGTATGAGCAGTCTTACGGCATATGAAAAGTTATTTTTAAAAACCTCTACATCTAATAGAGACATTTCCTCCATCCATTACTTTGCACTAGACTCAACAAAATTCGCCAGTATGCTCGTAATAACAGTGCGCATCAGCGTGTGCAGCGTCGACATGCGGGCCTCAATATCATCACTTGCGAAATCGTAGCGAAGGTCTTTTATACTGCCACGTGACCATGACGTCTGCTGTATTCTCACATGCCGAGGCCCTTCTCGATGCGGGAACCGATTAAAGTGCCGTCCCCCTCCCCCAACATCTCCCGCCGCAAGGAACCATTATTTTTACTCTATTTCCTCCTCATGATACGTGACGGTCTCCTGGTCTCTTCTCGTTGTCCATCGCCTCTATAAACCACCCCGAAACGAGTCTGACCTCTTGCCGAGGCCCATAGACGCCATGGATACGCTGCTCGTGAGTTCCGCAGCGCCTCCGACCATACATAACAGTATTGACACTTCTTTCCGCAGTCCCAACTTGACGCGCTCGTCCTAAAACCCGAACTCGCGCCGCTACTGTCATTAGTGAAGGGTGCACGGAATGGAATCGTCTACGGATCGAAAGTCCGCTTTCCGCATGCGCTGGTGTATGTTGGACCTCGGACAGCCAGAAACCCCGCTACAAGGCATAGCTGACCGATACTGACTGCTTCTAGAATGATATTTTTGTTCAGATCTGGAACGTATGTCACTCCCCACGCCCGACGTTACCTCTCCGCAGCACGAAACTGACCGTTTCATTATCTAGAATACGCGAAAAGACGAAGCTCGTTTTGAAAGCAACCCGCCAGCATGCGCGGAACCTCGCCACATTCGCAATCATCTATAAGGCCTCGATGATCGTTCTCCGGAATATACCAGGTGGTGCTGGAAAAGAGGGCCGATTTGATACTTTCTTTGCAGGCCTGCTGGGCGGGTATGCAGTTTTCGGACGACAGCCAGGCAGTATTAGCCAGCAGGTACGTGATTTGAACTTTTCCCTGATTGTGGAAACAATTCAGTCTTCGACTCCTGGATATACTCCGTCTTTTCTGCAGAGCTAACTCGAATCTAGATCGTTATTTATGTCTTCGCGCGTGTGATGCTTGCTCTCGCCAAGCTCTCCGTCCAACCCAACATGCACCCCCTCTCCTCCCTCATCACCTCCGATGCACGCACTAAGATCACGGATAATGCCTACCCTGTTTTTGCCGGTATGACCTGGGCGATGGTCATGTACATTTTCCGGTGGCACCCGGAGACGCTGGCGTCGAGCCTGCGGAGTAGCATGGTGTATATGTATGTTTTGTTTCCACCATATATGACTCCCGCCTCGCTTCCTGTAATTCGGAAGCTCGGTGTTGCTTTTCCAATGCTAATCTTCATCTCAACCACAGTTATGGCGACTCAGACCATTGGGATTCCCTCCGCACTCTGCTTTTACACAACAAATGAGCTCTCGGTGGGACCGGTTCTTTTAGCTTTGGGGTGCGTTACGGCGTATAGAGCGGTTGTTATTTTGTTGGTGTTTTTGTAAGACGCATTCAAGATGTGCATCATTCCAGGCCCTGCTCATCATTACCTTTCCATCCTGTATTATGAGGCATGGGATTTCTTATTGCATATTTTGGATTACAATGTAAACTTTTACAGACTTTACTTTGTGGAGACTTTCGTACTTGGCAATATGATAGACTTGACAACTCAAACATGACTGAACTTGCTTGAATGGATGATTGGGCATAGAGTCTTTTGGAATTTACACTATCCTTCTTGAAGCATATGTTTCACTTTTAATGGGCTATTCAGCATCCTGTTGCAATGATGTGACCTATCAGGTTAAATATAGTATTGAATCTGTGGGAAGCTAGAGTATGTATACCAACTCGGTCCTCCCATGAGTGAGGCTCTCAGCTCGTTTGGCTCTTGCTGAGTATGGTGGTATTTACTAAGAATTTGGTATCTTGCTTAGGCTATTGTGGTGAACGTTGGAGGGTTGCTATCTCATTTCAGGGGAGGAGGCAGCAGAAGTGTGGCAGGCAAATGGTCACCGTGGCCCAGAAAGAGCTTCATCATGCCTCAAAGAGATAAAAGATGAAGATCTTAGAAGAATAACTTATCTAAAAGTGGTAACAGAGAAGGTGTTAGGTAACATGGTAGTGCATGTGACCCCACGCCAAACCGCCAGATAACCATCAACAAGTGACATGTATAAAGATCAAAAGAAACCAAAAAAAAGGCTCCAAAGAGGGGCACCTCTACAACCTGGGGGATCTGCTGCCGACGGGGTATGATGGGCGGTCCAATCGGCCAATGACTTACAATCAGCCCTGACCACGGCCGAAGCCATGATCGTGTCTCGCAATTAAGTGGATCAAGTTCAAAAGCGAGGGTTGAACCACAGGCCTCCGGTTCCCTGCACGGTAATAGTCCCGCCGAAACGGTCGATTACAGGCACAAGGTCTTATGCGGTTCCCGCTAGGCTACCTGGGCGAGGTTTGATATACGTTCCCGGATTCTTAAATTTATAGGAATATATTGTTCCCAATTAGGACTAGTGCGGTCCCACTTTTAATTCTGGCTCCACTTTTTACGATTCATATGTGCAACCTTGGAACGGTAACGAAGGTTATGCCCAGGTGTTGACCGGGGATACCCATGCAGGAAAGACATAAAACCAAAATACGGTCGTACTATCATTATATTACAGTATCAGGTAGCTACTTGCTTCTCACTTATTACAGTAGTTTTTGGAGGAACAGTATTGTTAAAAATCCGGTATCCGGGTACTGATATATAGCGCACGTGGTGCTTAGCGCCCAACATAAATCGGAGTATACAATATCGGAAGGAAACAAAGGCGTTGACGATACGCGTCTGGGCTTGATAGATCGACAGTGTAGGTATACATTGTACATATTTATTGTAGATAAATTGTAATCAATTTTTAAAATTGAGGGTATAACGATACAAATTATCCAACATAGAAGCAACAGGGATATAAGAGCAGGAAAAAAAAGGCAAAAAATCACACTGAACAACTCTACTGCCCATCCCCTTCATCAACCTCAACAAGAATCTTCAACTCCCCATCCATCCAATCAACAGCATCAGCCGAAAGCACAGCAATAGTCCAATCCTTCTGGCTCTGCACAGGTAGCAGTCCATCCGGCAACCAGACCTTGACCTTCCACCCATCCACAACAGCAGACTCGCGAGCTTCATGCGCAGTAGCGTTGGCGCCCGGGAATGTCTGCAAACCGGGGATTTGGCCCGGGTATCGACGGAGAATTGCCTGCTTGACCGTGTCGATGTTGGGGCACTGGCCCGCCGGCAGGTCGAATCTGGGGAGGATGCGCTTTCCGTTTTGCAGGATATTGACGCGGAGGGAGGTTTGGCCTTGGCTCTGACAGGGGGTGGTTGTGTTGGCCGTTGGCGTAGATTCTGGGAGAGGAGTGAAGGGTTGGTGGAAGTGGGGGTCGGGTGCTTGGGCAGGATGGCCTTGTCGGGAGGCGATGTTCTCGCGGATAATGCGAGACACGTCGCGGGTGATGCTGCTTGCGCTATGGGTTTGTTAGTTGGTATTCCAGTATTCCACACGTTTGGGAAGGATGGGTGGCTTACAATTCGTCTCGGGCTGGGAGGTTGCGGCCTCCGCCAATGCGCCATTGGAGACCTGAGGCGGTGTCCGCATGGATGATGCGGTTGATATTGTGGTCTTCACAGCCCGGTGGGCAGTCGGAGTTTCCGTTGTGGACGACTTGGTAATGGCTGTCGACTGCGGCGACGAGTCCACGCCAATCGGGTTGCTGGAGACCGGAGAGGGACCATAGGTTATCGAGCTCGAAGTTCTCATTGTACGTATCATAGCATCGGCCGATCTCTTCCCAGTCGACTGTGTATCCATCTAGGAGGAGGTCGGTCAGACCGATGTCCACAGGCTGGGACGGATCCATTGCTGATTGCTGCATCGGCTGTGGAGGAGGGGGCATTGACTGTGACAGATCATCGCGATGGGACGTCTGATTTTGAATTTGGAGATGCTGTTCTGGAGAGAAGCGCGGGCTATTCAGATTCGAGAAATCTTCCGTTTTACGGCGGCGGCGTTCTTCAGCACCACCTCCTTTGCGGGTCTCAATTGCGTATTGGCGTTGCCTTTCGTTGGTGACCATCCGTCTGAGCAAAGGAATGACCAATGAGATGATCTTGTGTTGGTCACGCGGCCAGATGTAGGCTCTCGGGCCCATGCCCTCATTAACGACATTCTCCCCGAAAAACCGTTCACCATTTCCCTCGGCTTCGAGGAATTGACGAACACAGTTCCAAAGGCGAAGCTTGACCATTTCCGTATCTCCCTTTCCACGCTGACCAACACAATCCCGCCTTTCAGGGTGTTCATCGTTCAGCATGTAATTCTTGGCAGCAGCCTGGAGATGCAAAAAGTTCTCCGGGGAGATCTCAAGGGACGAAAACATCTTTGAGATGGGAGGCCGGGTGTACTTCTTATTGCCAGAAGGCTGGCGGAACAGCGCCGCCGCAGAATGAATACCCACCGCACGAGCATCTGACAGGGACTGCTGCTGCTCGGGGCGAATGTCCATACCGTCTCCGGTATAGCCATGGGGCGTTTGCTGTGCGGAATGCGACTGATGCTGCGCGGCAGAGAGACCCGCGCCAGCCAAGGCTGGGTCGAGATTATCGTCATTTCGCTTGCGCTTTTTCGTCGCCGTTCGTGTGAGCCCCGAGGATTGGGAATGGTCGGTGTGACTAGGTACTCTCATGTGTCTTCCACTGCTCATGCCAGTTCCGAAGTTCGCGTCGCCGAACCCGTTCTCGGAGAGATCCATGTCTGTGTATGAATCCAGCTGGTGGTGATGGCCGGCTGCACCGGCTGCTGCAGCGACTGCGGCAGCAGCAGCCCATTGCGAGACATCTTGGTCTGCGGCGGCTGTGGCTGCCTCGACTAATCCCGCGAGCTGGTTGTCATTGGGTGCATATCCGTTGTTGGCCAGTTGCGCATTCGGGTCAAGGTGGGGGGCAGTCGCTGTTTGCTGGGAGGGTAGATCTGAGGAGGTTGTGGGGAGATGTTGGTTGGTGGAGGAGCTCATGGTGTCGATTGAGGGCTAGGTGCTTCGAGACACTCAGTTCGATAAGCTGATAGTGTCGCAAAGTTGTGAGATTGAGATAAAAAGGAGTGACAGAAGATTTTTCTCGACAAGAGCAAATATGAGAGAAGAATCAAACCGCGTTCAAGAACTCAATTTATCTTCAGAAGGGTATGTCTTCCAAGTTGAAGCTCTTATCCAGCTGTTGTAGAGAGCCTAATGAATAGCTTCACCCATTGGCAATGTAGCTTGATCAGAGCACAGTTGTCCCAGCGCGCCACACCCAATAGGGTGAGAAGCGTGTCACAGCGGAAATAAGGCCAAGGTAAAAGAATAAAAAAAAAAAGCTTCGACAGCTTTAGTTGGACTTGGCTGATAAGAGGCGCGACGGTTGGAATGATGTTTGTGCAGTTTGAAGGAACAGCAGACAGTGCAAACTGAAAACTTCGAGGGTGTCACGTGATCTTGACTTTCACATGTGTAATAGCATAGCATCCATGGATAGTTAGTATCTTTTTATACAGAATTTATATTACATGTCTGACTTGCATTTGATTATCGAATCTCATGAGCGCAAATTTGAATGTTTAATGATCATTTCTATCCATTTCTATTTTCGATATAATCCTATTGTAAGAAGCCCGAGTCGCAAAAGCAAACCCCACTAGTACATCCAAATCAAGAAATCAGTCACCAAAGAAGACAGACATTAGAAACGGTGGAAGTAACCATCCCAAAATACATGGCCCTGTCAATTAAAAGTGTGAGAGTATTGACAGATGGCGAAACATGTGTCCAAAAGCAGGCCCCCTACGTCACGAGGAAATGGTAAATAGATGGCATATAGATTATTGGCCCACATAAACTTTTGCAGTGGCAGGATAAAAAGAAGATGAATCCGAGAAAGCAGCACTTGATCCAGCCAAGGCAGCTCAGAACCCATCACCCTCTTTCCAAGGACGACCGGCCTCCTGGGCACGGTACTGGGGGTTCTTGCCACGCTCCATAGCAGCCTGCAGAGTCTCAACGAGCTCCTGCTGCTTCTCCTGAAGTCGGTTGATAAGGTCATTGCCCTTGTCACCCTCAGGGTCATCCGATTCATCCGGGTTATCCGATTCAGCAGGGTCACCAAACCCAAGGTCGGACAACCACATCCAATTATCTAATTCCTGCTGGATCTCATTCTTCTTCGTTTCAGCTTCCCGGTAATTATCATATTCCTCGTTTCCGCCAAAACAAAACCCGTACCCGTCACACAGACATACATTCTCATCAACGCAGAGAACAGCCTCCCCGGTGAAGATATACTGCCACAGATACTCCCAGATGCGACCAGTGATATAATCACTGAGATCCGTCGACAGCAGCCAATCCCGATAAAAGACAAACCGGGTCCGCGGAATGGAACGAATGCGATCACGAGACAGGGCGAATTGCGCACAGCACGGCTGCGACAGGACAGACGGGATCTCCCGGTCGGGGAATAGCTCCCCCCACGCGCGAGCCAGCATGATCTCCTCCTGCTTCGACTCGTCTTCCTCGAGAGCACCGGGATGCATCCAGGCTGGACAGCCCGGGCCGAACCCGCAGCGAGTATTCATGTAGCCCTCGCGGATGACACGGTTCAAATTGAGGCGGCGGAGCAGCTGCGCCGCGTCTCCGGCGAAGAGGTTATCGTTGTGCCAGGCGAATTGGTGCGAGTGCATGAACACCGCCACGTCCGGAAGCTGGTCGTAGTGGTCAACGATGTAGGTGAGGTAGATCATGACCTCGTGGCCTTTGTTCTTCGGTGGGTGGAGCGGCGCTGTGGGGTCGTCTGCGACGTAGATAGCATGGTCCCAATCTGGCAATTCCTCGGCGATCCAGCTGGTGTCTTCCTCCTTGGTTCGGGTCACGACCATCACCTTGGAGTATTTGTAGCCCGGGGGTTTGGGGGTGCCGGGGACGAAGTCCGGGGGCGGGGCATAGAGGTCGTTGTTTGTGTGGCCGCGGGTCGTATTCCAGACTCCCGTTGTGTTGGATGACGAGGAGACCAGGTCGCCCAGGCCGATGACTTGGGGTACGTCACGCCATGGTCGTGAGAGGCTCCGGGATGTGAAGAGGAAGACGAGGAAGAAGCAGACGCCGAGGAAGATGACCGCTCGACGTGGGAGAAGCATGGACGGAGGGTTGGAGAATCGTACACGGGATTATTATCTGTCACACGATATGCTGGTTAGCTGCAATGTCACACTGTATGCCACAGTGTCGCGTGCACAGGTGAAAGTACGGAGATCGCAAGGTCCGGAGTGCAGCAAGCTTGGAATTGAGCAATGGAGGGGACACAATGTCTTACATAGCTTAGGATAACATTGCCCCGAGAGTGTAAGGGGGTGAAGGAAAATAAACCCGATCTAGATTCAAGGGACCACCTGGGCAGGGTGAACCTTGCCCAGAACAAATCAGATGCAAGTGGAGTCGGGGCTGTGCCGTCATGACGAAGCTTCTTTAAATGCGACGGTATCACTCTGCGCTGCAGAAAGAACTTTATATAGGCTGCATAAGAGATCATTGATCAACTAATACAGTAAATATTAGTCCAAAATGAAGCAATACAAATATCATAAAATATTATTCGTATTAAATCATCTAACTAACACGGGAGGCTGTATGTAGATCCCCCCAAGAATTCAGCCACGCGGCATGTCTCAGCCATGCCATGGGCCACACCCCCATAGGTAGATCCCGAGGTCTACGTACAACATACATGTAGGTACCTCTCTACGTTATACTCTCCTAATCGAAATTTTACACTCATCAATTGCATATACACATTTTCATTTGACCAAGGTAGAGCAAATACCATGAGATTCAACCGTGGTATACAAATCGTGAAAAGAAATTTGGGTATGATCTTTTGCTCGCGAACAACGCCATGCAGAAACGCTGGTGTAAATAACTGGGGAACGGAATGGGCTGAGCAGACACCGGAGAAGAAAAAAAAAATACACAGGGAGGAGGTTACCAAAAGAGGAGTCTGGGATCAGGCTTCTTCATCGGGCGTTTCTTCAACTGATGCGGTCCGGCTTTTGCCGTTGGATGCAGACTCGGGATGAGTCTCAGCTTGACCAGAAGCACCATTTGAAGATTCCCCATTGCTACCCCATGTAGTAGGAATGGAGGAAGCTGGCCTGGCCTCGAAGGACCCTCTAGGGCCAACGTCGGTCCATTCTTGAGACGGCGATTCTGCACGATGATCCGCAGAAGGGACGGTGGGCGTGGGTTGCAATACCGGTAGACTAGGCGCCCCATTTATGGGAGTGGTTTCAGCATTGGTGGTGCCGCGTGCATTTAGCCCGACGTTCCCGCTTGTTTGATCCTGAACAGGCACGGGGAATGTGGGGGCATGAGAAGTTACAGCACTGGCCACAGCTGGCGCAGCTGGGGTTGTCTCTGTAGTGGTAGACGTAGGCTGTACTGTCTGTTCAACACCGCTGGTGCTATTATCCACGCGTTGCAGAGGGAGGAGGGTCCAACCAGGGGGAAGAGTAAGCCCTTCCGGTAGACGAGGGTCTCCAGCGTTTAGAACATCAGTGCCCGGGTTTGCGCCATATTGGTCGACCGTTGTGAAGACCGAAGATCCTAGGGTCACGTTGGGAAGCGGGCCTGGTTGACCGGCAGCCTGTTGGTTAACAGCCCTCGCTTGAGCAAGCAATCGCTCTAGTTCCACCCGAAGCTGGCGCACGTGATTTAGATGCTCCGTGGCAGCTCGAAGAGTAGCAATCTCTTGATTGAGTCGTTGCTCAATCTGCAGCAACTGATTATTGATTTCAGCAGTGATAGATCCCCCGGGAGCCGCAGCTTGTGGGGGGGAGCAGGGGTGGGGGCTTGGGGACGGCGCCCGAACCCAAAGCCAAACCCAATTTGTCCTCCAGGCGCATTCGCAGGCGGGTTTGCCCCAGGCTGTGGCACGTTACCTTGGTGACCTTGTGGGTGAAGATTGTTGAATAAATCTCCACGCACAGCTCCAAAGCCGATACGGAAGGGCCCAAACTGATAGACCCGAGCACGTGGCTGTGCATCTGCACCTTGTTGGCCCGGTTGGATACCACCATTCTGACCTCCGCGAGCGTTGTCTCCAACCCCGGCAGCTCCACGAGTTCGCTGGGGCATGATGACAGGACGTCGGCATGTCGGGCAGTTTTGTTGCCTCTCAAGCCAGCTTCGGAGGCACGAAAAGTGCAAGATATGACCACATGGGAGCTTCTTTGGACGCAGACGGTCAGGAACACGCTGTGTTCCAGCGGCCGGCTGTGGTGCAGGCTCTCCAGCAGCATTAGCCGCTGGTTGTGGCTGCGCCGGTTGAACTGGAATCATTTCCTCACGGCAGATGATACAGACATCTTCCCGGGAGACTTCCTCTGCCGTTGCATCCGGATACCTCTGGTTCATATCCCTTGTCGCATTTCGGTAGCGCATGAAGTCCATAATGCGACGGGCAAATGAGCGGATGGTCACAACAACGTCCCGCAGAATGTGGATGGGGAGGCCATAGAAAGTGAGCAGAATACCAAAGAAGCTCAAGTAAATCACCAGTTTCAACAAATCGGTCAAAAGATCCAAGTAGAAGACCCAACGACCCTTCTCCTCCCACCCGGGCACGTCAATGTCCATCTCATTGACATCGTTTTCGTCAGGGAGATTGTCAGGAGGTGAGGTAGCTCCCGCGAGGGCATGTTCTCGAATCGCCTCGACACGTGCAACACGGATCTCATCCCGACGTTCCTGCATCTTGGCCTTTATCTGCTGGCGGGTTATGGAGATCTCGGTCAACGCGATAACGTATCGCAGGAGGGTGGAGGTCGAGAGGATCGTCAAGATGGCGAATTCGAATCCAAACATCACCATCATATCCGGCCGTGCCAGCGTAATTACGGTGTGCACACAGTACCGCAGCATGAATGAGTCAAATGCCACCGTCAGCACGAGAGATATCGCCAGTCGAGTATGGAATAACCGGGGATTAGCCGGCGGCTGTTGCTCTAAGAACTCAACGCGACCTTCGCCAATCCAGCCCCAGACTTTGCCGACTAGTAGCGAAATGAACATGACCAGAAACCAGCCTCCAAGTTCGCCTCGGAAGATGGTCATGGCCAAACATGTCTCCGTGACGGCGAACCAGGCCCGCTCGTATAGTTGCTCGGTCTCGATTGGTCGCAAGGGTCCATAAAGAAGTCGTTGGAGCCAGAATAGTACAAAGCCGGTGACGAGAAGGCATAAATTCGTGAGGATCTGGAGATGGAGTAATGAGTTAGGGACTATGATGACCAAGCGCGATAACCCAAACTGGACAACTCACCATAAGATTCGCACTACTCTGAGAGAGATAGACGCATGCCGAATAGAAATTGGACCTCTGATGAAGAGCTTTTAGAAAAACACCAGTGGCTAGGACCACTGAGGCCTGCAAACGGGGTTCCAAGGTTAGCGGGTTGTCTCCCCCCATCGGCTGCGGTACTACTTACCCCAGTATACGCGGCCAGTCTCATGGCTATCGGCTGAATCGGACAAGCCGAAGGTCATAGACCGAAGGAAGGACAAAAAGGCGGGCGTCTCAAGGTCGCATTTGGCGGAGAAATAAAGTGAATGCCGTTTACTTGGGAGGAGTAAGTAGCTTGATCTGGACAGCTTTCCAGAATAACCCGTAGGCGCCTCTCCGCATCTTACGTCAGCTACCGGCACGTGCCGCCACCCAGATCTATACCAGCCTACTTAATACATGGAGAGTTTTAATTTCACTGTAGTAAAGCATAATATTTGTGAATCGTGTATAATCTAGTATAATTTTTTTTTGATTCAACCCCTTAGACCAACTTAACGTCAGGACATGCCCGTCGATCTTCGGTGTTTATCTGATCATCTCCGTCATGTGACGTCCCACATTGCCCGCCTTGGAAGAAGCAACCATTGTGACACCGTCCAGAGATCATTTCCTCACCAATTTGCATCGATCTGAGGGATATCATCACCTCTGAATTCTGCACTCATACTTGCAATTCAAAAGCAATGAATCATCTCCGGTGATGGCTTCATCACCGGCATTGTTTACTGCCTCGCGCAGCCAGACACTAACTTACCTCTTGGCGGTGTGCCCCTTCTCCATCGCCTTCCTAGTCTACATCAATTCATCCATCTCCTTCGTCGTAACGGACTTGATTGGCCTCCAAGATGGAGTGGGAGATGCAGTGGGCACTCTGGGATTCGCGGACGAACTCCTTGCCCTAGTTGCCTGTCCACTTTGGGGTGTTCTCTCGGACCGAATCGGAGTCCGCCATGTAAGCTTGCTACTGGCCCATATTTGAGTAACGAATTCAATGATATTGACGTTAAATAGGTATGTACTGCAGGCTATGCTATTGTAGCACTCGCGCTAGTCGTTTTTGTGCAAGCCACGAATGTCTACCCCCATCTTCTCTTGGGAAGGTTGCTTTTCAGCATCGGTGGTTCAGCGGTATCGACCATGGTCACTGCAGTTTTGCCAACTGTTACCGGTACAGCCTTTAATGCCCAGGCATATCGCGCATCTGTGTCTTCAGAGTTGACCATCACACCGGAGCGTGCCAGGAATGGTCATTCCATTGACATTGGTGCTTCCAGGGCATCGCCGTCTGCGCGACTCTCCGGTTTTGTTGGCATGTGCGCTGGGTGTGGCGCGCTCGTGGCACTGGTTGTTTTCCTGCCGCTTGCAGCCCGGTTTGAGAAGATGGGATTGTCGCCATCACAGGCGATTCAACGCAGTTATTATCTGGTTGCTCTCGTATCCCTTGTTATCTGCCTTGTATGCTTTATTGGTCTCCGTGATCTCCCAGGAGAAAAGGGCAAAAGTTGGAGCGCACTGTGGAAAACGTCTCATCATTTGTGTGATGACGAAGATGACGACGACGACGATGATCTATATATCCATGGCCCAAGATTGCCATACTGGAAGCAGTTGACAACTGCCCTTACACTGGGATTCCGAAACCGTAGCATTGGACTAGGCTATGTTGGAGGCTTTGTGGCCCGAGCCTCTTCTGTGGGAATCTCATTGTTCATTCCCCTCGCCGTCAATCACTACTACCGCGCATCGGGCCTCTGCAATGAGGAACATGAACCGGTTCCTGGGTCGGGATTAGGGGATATTAAGAAAGCATGCCCACGTGCATACATCGTCGCATCCATACTGACCGGGGTATCCCAATTGGTGGCATTGATTGCAGCTCCAGCATTTGGGTACCTGACAGACAAATCACGACGATACAATTTCCCACTTCTTTTCGCCGCATTGGTGGGGATCATCGGCTATATTATCTTTGCCATGCTCCCAAACCCATTATTCGAAAGACCCGACGGCAATCCGGGGGTGTTTGTTGTGATGGCTCTGCTTGGAATCAGCCAGATCGGGGCAATTGTCTGTAGCTTGGCTGTGCTGAGCAACGGTATCTTGCGGGTCAGCATCGACAATGAAACATTAAGAAAGATATACGAGGAGCGCCGCGTCCGTGGGGACGAGAATGACACAGAGCCTGACGAGGGCCAGTCTCTTCTTGCTGGATCGGTCAACCAGAGATTGGAGCATTTGTCCCATCTCAAAGGCTCCATCGCAGGAGTCTATTCATTATATGGCGGAGCAGGCATCCTGTTGTTAACTAAAGTGGGTGGACTGCTATTTGACGTCCTGTCAGCGGGCACACCATTCTATATCATGGCGGGCTTTAATGGCGTGCTACTTGTCATAGGGATAGTGTGTGGGTGCATCAACCACTTCGGATCCTCCCCCGGAAGAACTTGGTGATGAATTTCGGTTTTAATCTGGGTTTAATTTCATAAAGAATTGTCATGATGGTGCAGGATCTTGTTGGAGTGGCTGCAAATATAATTTCATCCTCAGCATGGAAAACGGCCCAAAGTTGAATTATCGGCATTGCTCGGCTGGTAGGTCCATTGCAATCTAAGTACACGCGGTTTGCAGGTGAAAGTGGGTAAAAGCAAATTAAACTATTTGAATGAAAAAATGGTTCATAAGATTAATTAGGTAATTTGGCATCCACGGCGTTGCGCTCTCATGAAATCAGGCACGGGCTTTTTCACCGGGCGTAATTTGAATCGTGCACGAGCTCGTGGACGCTAGTCCTCTCGGCAGGGGTCGGTGGCTGACCTGGGGAAATTACGGCAACAAAAAGATGATAATGGCGACAAGTATATATACATTTTGAACAGTAAACATGTGTACTATTCTGTACTCCAAAGTAATTGAGTTTTTTTGTTTATATTCTAGACCTTGATATCTCCCAACTCACTCTGTTGATCTCATCTCGCTAGTCTCCCAGGTAATATGAGGAGCATCAAACAACCTTCCAAAACAGGAAGCTGACCCAGGGGTCGGTTCGGCCCCTAGGCCCGGATCAGCCTAGTTCCACTGGAAACTTCCACTAAAGCGCCCCTAATATTGTTCCCCCGCCAAGGCACTCGGATTTGGATACGGTAAATGCCCCCTTTTCAAATCACGAACCACCCCTCGAACCCCTGGGGCCCTGTTCCTGGATTATCGTGTCGGCCCTAGACAGATCCGCTTGGACCCCAATATGGGCCAATCCCACTTTGCCAAACTCGTCTTGGCGACTACCCACGGGACAACACTATGCCAAGTCAATATTATGCGCCTAACCCCCAGAATGTCTCTCTCTGATACTTCTTCTTCTTCACACCTTCAGGCTCAAGCAGTCCGTCATTCACTCTTTCGTCGTTCGACAGTCTTTCGTTAAATCCAGTCCTTCGTTTTGAGCAATTGTTGATTCTACTTCAAGTACTGTGTACTCTCATTCTTTGTGCCATTCCAACATCTTGATTATCACCAATTTTTCGATATAAATACCGCTCAACCACCAATCTATTTCCAACATGCGTTTCTACACCGTCGCTCTGTTGACTGGCGCTACCGCCGCCGCTGCCGGTAACACCGCAACCCTCCTCCTGCCCGGCTTTAAGGGCCAGGATCTCCAGGCTAGCGTTATCGAAACCGTACGTACTAGATTCAGTTGCGCGATCAACGCGCTCTTTCGTCCGAGCACGTTTGACTAACAATCCACAGAATGGAGATGCGACTACCTACAAGGTCACCTGCAAGACCGCTAATGCTTGCGGTATTGCCGGCGAGGGCATGACCGCAATTGCTGCCCCGACCTCCATGCAGCTGCAGAACATCAACCTCCAGGGAACGTAAGTACCAGCGCAGACTTTCCTCATACGAACCACATTCTGATATCAAACACCAGCACTGGAACTGTTTCCTGCAACATTGCCGGCACCACTTACGCCTCCTGCCAGGCCTCTGCTGGCACCGTGACCCCGTCGGGCACCCTGGCCCAAGGTGATCTGAACTGGATGCCCGTGACTATCTCCGCCACCCCGACCCCGACGTCGACCCCTACCCCAACCCAGACCCCCACCAGCACCAGCACCAGCACGACCGAGGTGACCTCCACCTCCACCCCGAAGATTACTTCCTCGTCGACCCTCGTCATCTCGACCCCCAAGAAGTCCTCCTCGGCTTTCATCTCGTCCACCGCTGTGGCCTCCTCCACCCCTCTTGTGGCGGCGCCCACCAGCTCTGCTATCATCTCAACCGGTGCGCCTGCCGCTTCCTCGACTGCGTTCAACGCCGCCGGCCAGATGACAGGCAGCGTGTGGACTGTTGGTGGAGCCTTCCTGGCTCTGGCCTGCGCTTTCGCGTAAGCTTGACGAGTGATCTATATACGTATCTGTCTTGCGCGGCTGTTTAGTTGTGGAAGGGATGAGCTTCGTGCTTGTCGATTTAATAATTCCGGGGTTTCTGACGTTGCTTCTTACGGATGTATTCATGTATAACTCCACATGTGTCCATCTATTATTCTTTAATGTTTTGATACCTTTCTCCACGACAGACTACGATCTAGCGTCTATTTTATACACTTGTATCTTCAGCTATTGAATATACCTTTTCCCGCCCCTTGACGTTTTGATATTTTTTTTGTTGTTTGTTTTACACCCCGGACTTGACAGCAGCCCTGTAGATTGTATCCACTCATGAAAGATATCCACATGCGCCTCAATCTGTCTCATTTTTGGATATGCATTGGTGTGCTCCACCGACCACAGTCCATGCCCCTTTACCAGGTGAATACAGGAATCTCACCCCCATATATCCACTATATATTTATCATAACGTAGAGCACATGTACATTTTCCAGAAGAGAACATGTAAAAAAATATTATAGTAATATAATACCTCCATGACAAAGCTTAGTAGCCCTAAAAATTTTACCAACCCTAATTATATTCAATTTGACTTATCTCACAATCTGGCCACAGAGCTTGGTAAATGGAAATAACCCATTAAACAACTAAAACTCGCTCAATCCTTTCATAAAAGATGGCCCACAACATGGTGAATCGGTTTCTGTCCCTTCAGACCTGTGCTTCCCTTGCGATTATCTCTCGTGTGCAATTTGACCTTTACCTTACTTGCTTGGTCCTTGCTCAGTCCATACAGCGGCACAAACGCTGTGACAAGCAGATGACTCTGGCAATTCGCGCAGCCCTGCACATGCCATCTACTGAGCGTAGAATGGAAACCAATCAGTCTTTCTTTACCGTTTTCAGTCGTCCAGGTTGACAGTATGAATGAGCCGGGAATAATTCCGCGGTTGACACCTGAGATACGCGCTACATAGGCTGTAGGCGGTGCATCGGCAAGCTTGTGGGAAATACCTTTAATAGGTGAGTAAGTGTAGCCAAGTTGGGTCTCGGTGTCGATCACATCCTGAAAAAAGGTTTGAGAATCAGCGTGCCCCGTTTTCGGCTGGTCTTTATTATCTTACCTTCGATGTCATGGACTTGTTTGTGCCAGGAAGCTTGAATGGGTCTAACGGCGTATCCAAGGTCAACCACGCACCCCCAGGTGTTCCCGGCGTGGGACCTTGATTGTCAACGCTGTTGGTCCCGGGATACTGAGGGATGATATTGAGCTGCTTTCCTTTCCCATGCTTCTTCTGCCACTCCCAAAACATGGCATCGATAAAGCAGTGATGGAAATAAAAGATGGGATCAAATCCCGCCGTGTCATTCTCACCCATGTCGCCATTGGCACCGGGGTATTCCCCGTCAAAATTGGCGTCGCCGATCTCATATCCGCCGACGGCGAGATGGATATCGTTATGAGGACTCTCGAGGGGAACCACATGCGGAGAAACAGTAGCCGGCGCAGGTAAGCCTTCATTAAAGTGGTCCTCGTTCCACTGAGTGGCGGAAGTCGTGTTTGAGAAAACTGTATAGTTTGGAGCCTTCAAGCAATTGAAGTATTTCTGAAGAACACCACCTCTCCCCTTCACACCGTCAACATCTGTGTGAAGGAGCCAGGATTGTACGTTCTCGTTGAGAATTTTATCAACCTTATCATGCCCCAACGCGTTAATCTTTGCGTTGTGTTCCTCGGTTTTCTTTATATCTGCAGGCCCAACGAGACCAGAGTAAGGGTAGCGGCAGGTCTTATACCCATAGCCTTTGCTATAATCCGCATCAGGGAACGGATTCAGATTATCCGTAATTTTCTGTTGGAACTTGTAGGAGTACAGTGGGTTATCGATCACGCCACCATCCTCAAGTGTCCATTTCTTTTTAAGGAAGGTCTCAGGAATCCCGCGTTCCAGGGTATTTTCTTCGATCTCGTTCCAGTAGGGCAAAGTGACATCCTCGCAGCCAGGGATGCTTTGAAGAGCCGATTCAAGGGCGAAACAATAGGCCCGATGCCACGTAGGAAACAAGACATTACCATGATTGCAGTATCCTCCCCACCAGCTGGCGTTTCCCCAGCCGGCACCGCGGAAGGGCTCCCCGTGCAAGCCAGCAAGGTAGAAGAAGGAATTTTGATCATGGGGAGGGAGCTCTTGGATCCCTTTAAAGGCGCGGATCAGGGTCTCCAAGGGCTTCTTGTTACCTTTGTCATATTCATCTTGGAGGTCCCGAAAATTGCGACGAACACGAGGACCAGCCATTGTTCTTCGAGGCAATGGAGATAATGCTGACAAATTGATTGACTTAAGCCTGTTGGGGTTCCACTCTGGCTTGATTGAGTTTATGTTTGTGGAAGCTGGACATGATATGTATTAGCCGTACAAACGGGTCCTTCTTATACCCATTCTTCTCGTATTTCACCCAGCATCCCATTTCCTGAGTCTAGGCCCCAAGGTAATTGCGAGAAAGATCACACGACTGAGATACTCATGTGGCCGATTTGTAAGCTGAACCTCCAGCTGGACTGATGCAAGCGGAAGCCATAACCTTGCTGCACCGGAAACAGCCATGAAAAGGCTTCATTCCTATGGGCTGTCCATGCTGAGATCAGACAAACCCATCATACAGAGTATGACATTGATGTTCTAGCCGATGTTGACGTTCATAGAACATCGGCTAGAACAACAGTGATATCATCTCACAGATGATGTCATAGAACGTCGTCTAGAATATCGATATACTAATAGGGAAATCCTCGCTGTGCGACGATATGCATGGGGGGGGGAGAGCGGGTGACATGGTCAATGCAGTGGGTTTCATTTTCTATATGAAGTGGCAGCCATCTCAGCACATCTAGAAATGACAAATTGACCGCAGCAGTGATGCTTCTCGGGGATAGTAACTCTAATTGTGACAGTACCATGGTTCCAGATAGACCTCCGGGAGGATGATCAGCGCGGTACCCGAAGTACATCAATTCTCCCATCCTCAGACTTCTTTTTAAGTTTATAGATGTAATTTCCATGAGTGATCTGGGAACCCTCGCCTTGTGTTAGACCACAAGCTATTCATCTCGAGAGATAAAAAAAAACTCTGTTTGTGGTGAAGCTCAGAGTAGTTATTTGATTGGATTGTTTCCCTTTCAAACTCAGTTTAGCAAGATTCGGTAAGTTATGTAATTATGATCGAACCTCTCAGTAAAAAGATTGTCGAGTTGGAAAATGATGGTATAAACTAAGAATGTTGCCCATGGTGCATTTTTGGTCTAGCGGTTATTTTGCCTTGTCTGTGAGCGACAAAGTTGCCAAAACAGCGAGATCCAAACCAAGCGCTCGAATTTTCCTATTTATCTCTCAACTCTGCATCATTTTCCACTCGATTTTGTTTCAGGCCACGAAGCGCACGTCTCCAATACTGATAATGTAAGGGTTAGGTTAGGTAGCCACTGCAAAAGCCTAACAGCATCCTTTGGCTTAATCGTTTTTAATCTACGATATTGTGGCAAGTATCTGACCCCGAAAATGCGGATTTTTCGGATCGGCGTCCTTGCCTTTTTGCTCGGCATTTGCGTGGGAGATCAGTTTAAAGACCCTAAACTTCTCACGAAACCGTATGTCCCCCCATGGGCGACCCTGCCGGATACTCCCACCCTGCCAACGGCGATAGAGAGCGGCCACGTTAACGTCAGCAATGAGACGGCCATCTGGTACGGTTTCTACGGGCAACAGCTCTCCCACACACTGGATTGCAGGCAGATACCGGTGTTGTTCCTGCACGGCGGTTTCGCCAACTCCGATTATTTTGGCCATCAGATCAAGGCACTCATCGACTTGCCCTTCACCCTGATGGCGATCGATTCTCGAGGCCAGGGGCGGTCCACGGACGGACCGGGGCCGATCACATACGATCGGATGGCGGACGATGTCCTCGCGGTACTGGATCATTTTCAGATCCCCAAAGTCGCCTTGGTTGGCTGGTCGGACGGCTCGATCATTGGCTTTGATATCGCCATGAACCACTCCTCCCGTCTGGATCGATTATTCTCCTTTGCCGGAAGCTATGATTTCTCAAACGGAAACACGACGCTCAACACTAACCCAATTTTCAACGACTATCTCCGGCGCACGGAGCGGGAGTATAAGCGTCTCAATCCAAATCCGAAACGCTGGCCGAAACTGTCCGACCAGATAAACGAAATGTGGTCTACCCTGCCGGTCTGGGATCAAGAATCGTTTGGCCAGATACCGACGCTATATGCAGACCAGTCGGCTCCTCTGGTATGGATCGTGGATGGAGACAACGAAGAAGTGGTGAATCGGACCGTACCTGCCGTCCTTCGTGACTGGGTAAGAAATCATAAAACGTAGGGGCCTTGGAGATGTCATCGTGCTGATCAGATCTTGGTCTCAGATCCCTGGTTCGGGTTTGGCCCTTTTACCCAGCGTCAGCCACTTCGCGTAAGTACTTTTCGTATGCCAGAATGGCTTACATGCTTACGTCCTTATCAGATTTCTACAAGACCCTAGAACATTCACCGCGTTGTTGCTGAGGTTTCTTGAATATGACTTGAATATGAATGAGCATCGGGTGTTGAGAATCCAGCTTAATTCTCAGTAATTAACATGGAGCTTTCAACGCTAACCCTGATTCGGCATGCTTTATGCATTACGAATCACCATGCCTTTCTCGCATGCCAAGAGCTTCGAAGTCCTACGGAATCGAGATTAGCGCCGTCGATGCAGTTTGCCGTCTACACCACCAATTCCTGTATACAACCGCCAGTTTGTTGTAGCACAGGAAGCCATTTCAATTCAGGCTGCATTCAGTCAATGGAACCTGGGACAATCCAGCACTCAGTGCTATCACCGCTCATTCAGCTCTTTCTTTCTGATTTACCACTCTGTTTCCATTACAAATTGATCAATTGAGAGATTCCAGGGGGAGAGAAGGAGAAGCCTATAAATATGGGCTTCTTTCTATGTATGAAGAAATCAGACAGTTTTACAATTATTTTTGATACTTCCAAGTATTACTTTGCAAGAGATACTCCCTTCATTTTACATGCTGTATAGTTCCTCAGTGTACTATTTCAACATCGGGGCTGGCTGAATCATCGACACCGCCAACTAGAGTATGGACCAAAATGATAGACTGGCGAGAATTGCTGCTAGACTCAAAATTATAAAAACGTTCAACCGGGCAACTTTGGCTTAAACAACGCCAAACAAACAGATCGGAAGCACGATCAGCGTTGGATCCAATTGGCTAGCATCAGCTGATCAAGCGACCCGGCCCAAGTATTTTCCGGAAAATAACATTTCCAATATTTTGCGGCTCTCGAAATAAGCTTTATGGCTGGGCAGATATAGTTGCTTCTAATGAAAACTATCCGCCAATGCCTTGATGTTCGCGGGTGAGAGAATATTTCTGTGATCAACGAATCCGGGATCCTTGGAGAAGGTACCAGGCACGCTCATATTCATTAGCACATAAGGCGGGGCTGTCCAGACATACAAGAAGTATCATTCGCTGCAAGATGACGCGCCATTTGTGACCATATGATACTAGCGCGAGGCAATCACATCCCCAATGCGCGAGTAGAACCAGGGGTGTTTGTGGGAGCAGCCTCGGATTTGAGCCCAATCTTTTCTCTCTTGAAGGCAGATTTCAAAGATAAATACTTACAGCGACAAATAAAGTTAGCAGTGCAAGTCAAAGTTTATCAATCTCTCAAGGGCTTCCAAGGCCACCAAACAATCCTCCACGCGTGGCCTTGTTGAATCAAAGGTCACCCCCGCAAAACTGCGCCAACATACTGTAACCTGAAACCAAGGCAAATTGCACTCGGGCAGCCTATAGGGATCGATCCAACAAATCTGCATGACACGTTCTCTAAGCGCCCTAGCCTTGGGGGCCGAAAACCGAAGACCATCATTTCCTCATATTGAGGGGCTCGCTTTTCTTCCATAATTTCCCCATCGCGCATCATTCAAAAGAAAACAAAAACATCATAAATAAAAATCATGACCAGCAGACATGCAGCGAAAAATGCGGTTATCGGGATTGCGAAGGAATACGGATTCATCCAACCTAGCTCCCTTGACGAGATTGGACGAATAAAACCAGAGCTTCGGCGCGAGATCGAAGAGAGCATGTTAGCTAAGGACAAGAAAATTGGGCATTCCATTCAAACGTATGCCTTTTTGAACAGACCAGCAACTTTCAAGAAGAAATCTCACTAATTTGAGATCTCTAGACTCGCCAAAAATATCTACAGCAGCAACGCTCGTTTCGTCTTCGAACTCCTTCAGAACGCGGATGATAATCGATTCACAAGAGCGGCTGGGAGAAATGAACTACCTTTCATTGCTTTCAACGTGTATCCCGACAGAATTGTCCTTGAGTGCAATGAAGATGGGTTTACAAAGGAGAATCTGTCAGCTATTTGCTCGGTTGGTGAGAGCACCAAAGCGGCATCGCACGGCTACATTGGAGCGAAGGGCATCGGATTCAAATCAGTGTTCATCGCGGCTTGGAAAGTTGATATTCAATCTGGCAATTATACTTTTTATTTCAAGCATGAGAAGGGTGATCCTGGTCTTGGAATGGTCTTACCAGTGTGGCAAGATTCCGATGAGATATTGCCAGATCCGTTGACTCGCATAACCCTTCACCTTCACCAGAACGGGGAGACAGAAGATATCGAACATCTTCATAGAACCATATTCAAACAGCTCAATGACTTGGAGCAGACATGTCTTCTCTTTCTGAGGAATTTGAAGGAGATACGGGTGTCCTTCTACGATGGAGTTGATGAATTGCAGAACTCCAAAAAGTTCTACTTGGAGAACAATTCTCAGCGTGATGTTTTTCTCAAGACTGAGTCAATTGATATGAATGGCAACAGTTTTATTGAGAAAAAGGGCTATTTTGTCACTCGTTACATGGCAACTGGTCTCCCGAGAAGCGACAATCGTGAACTCTCGGACACCCCTGAAGCGAGGCGAAGCTCTTCCAAGGCCGAAATCGTGCTCGCATTCCCCCTGACGGATGATAGAAAGCCACTTCTTGAACAACAATCAGTTTTTGCTTTTTTACCTGTCAGAGAAACCAACTTCAAGGTGAGCAGCAAAACTAGATCACGGGGCAATTTCATGCTTTTGCTAATTCATATGTAGTTTTTGATACAATCAGACTTTGACACAACTGCCAGTCGGCAAGATATCTCCGCAACATCGAGACGAAACATCGAACTTGTGAACCACATTGCCTTAGCATTTGTGCAGGCGATCCGGGGGTTCTGGTATGACCCTGACCTAGGCTATACGTGGCCAATGTATCTTCCGTCGCCAGACGACGCAGTTGGTACTTTTTGGGCGCATCTTCATTCAACAATTGCGGAGAGACTAGATATACAGCCTGGTGTCAGGTCTCGACATGGCTCCCCTCGGAAGATAAAAGATGTGAAGGTTCTGGCAACAGATTTCATGGATAGCGATGGAAATCCCCTGCTGGACGACTCAGATATCGACCCTTTTCTCTCCAGTCATTACCCGTATGCATCTCAGAAAGCCCTTCGTCATTATGGTCTGGAAACCATGAGTTATGATTTACTTTTCTGCATGCTGTACAAAGATCTTGAAAGCGCTGCGTCCCGGATTCAATCAATGTCCACGAGTGAGGATAGCCACAGCCGCGTCGCAAAGCTCCTATCTGTAGTTGCGGAAACGCACAAGGACAGTCTAGTATCATTGGAACTCCTTCCTCTACGAAGCGGTCCCTGGGTTACGGCCGATTCCGGCTCTGTTTTTTTTCCAACAATAGACGGCATTTCCATTCCTCCAGGCTTAGATCTTCGTGTTTTGGATCCAAATGCGGCAGCGAATGAAAACCGCCGATCCCTTTTTATTCTTTTGGGGGTTACCGAGCCATCGGTCATACAAGTGCGGAATTCAATTCTGAGGAAGAGTTGCTCCGCTGCTGCGTATCCAAGCATGGACGAATCAAGGGCGCACTTGCACTTCTTGTACCTGACCCACCAGTTCAAGCAGAATAAAGATGAGCTGAGACATATTTGCATCTACTCGCATTCTGGCTCTCCGATAAGACCACACCAAGTGGACTGTTATCTATCATCAGACCATCCCTACGGACCAGAAGCCCTCCTAGAGGCGACGGATAACTTGCCAGGCCTCAGCGTATCTTTCATCCACCCGACCTCACTCCAGGAAGTCCCGGAAGCGCCAAACTCAGGTCATCTCTCATGGAATAAATGGCTACAAGACAATCTCGGGATAAGGAACAAACTGAGACTCATCGCCAGAGACGGAAAAAGTCTCTCCCTTGCCTGGGACTATGTGGCTAAATTCCGACCAGAGAAGCTCCTCGGGCTCCTGCAACACCTTTGGAGCTCTGAAGGAGGAACCTTACGCAAAAATGATGACTTGAAACAGCTTATTCGAGAAACGGACGCAAAGCGGCTCTGTGGCATGAAACTTCCAGGACAATGCCAGCTTGATCAGACATACCTCCCATTACCCAACCTTCTTGAGCAGCGTTCGCGGTTCTTAAAATCAAATGAGAGGTTTCCATTCTTGGAGCTCGAGGGAACGTTGTCTGTGGAGCAGCTAAGTTCAAAATGGATTTTTCTTCATACAGAGCTTTGTGTCAAACAAGATGATAATGTCGAATTTTTACTCGACATCCTGAGATGGCTCAAAGAAACGAACCCTTATGCCACTTCCATTGAAGACTATGAACGCATCTGCAGACTTTACGGTGCAATCAATGCCAAATATCTTGGTAGCGAAAGTCAGCTGGTCATGAGGAACTACATAAAGTGAGCGCCTATGACAGTCCGATACATTATTGATATTAAGAATCAAATCTAGGACCACTTTTGAGGACGGAAAATACATTTACGTTCCCAAGCTTGATGAGGACGATGACGATTTCGCCGTCTGGGCTAGTCCCGAGCGATGTTTATGGGAGGGGCCGTTAAACATGATTACCAAATTTCCACTTCAGCATCTCTATGGACAATTTGTTCCTAGAGATCAGCTACTTCAGCTTTCAACCTTTTTCAAGCAAGCTTTAGGCATCACGGCGGCTTCTTGGTCTGATGTGACGGCTGAATTGGCAGCTCGAAGGGATGAAGGTTTCCAGCAATTCACTCCAATTTTTGATTTTTACAACTATCTCACTGACATGAAAGATCTTGTCTTTGTTGATGATATACGGTAAGTTGGTCATTTTTACACTCCATAGATGCTGAAGACTAATCAGCTGGCGCCAGGCACGCATTTGAAGTCGAACCCTTGATTTTTGTGACTAGGGAAGCCCAGTCTGGTTGGTACCGGGCAAGTGAATGCTTGTGGTCAAGCACTACAGAGATACGTGGAAAGGTCACGCTCAATGACCATTATGAGGACCTCAAAGATTTCTTCATTGACACTTTGGGGGTCAAAACGCTAACCCTTCAGATGGTCTATGACGACCTGCTGGAGACAAGTGCGCACGCAACACTGAACGATACAAAATCCAAGATATGGTCTCTTAATGCACTTCTTGACGCAGAGGAGGATTATGTTAATCTTGATCCGAAGCCATTGTTGAAAAGACCGATTTTCCCCGTTGTCTACTCTGACGGCACAAAGGCTCTTAGGTCAGAGGATACCCAGTTCGCCATTACGGATCGAGAGCACTTGGCATCACGATTTCGAGGAAAAATCAAGATTCTTGACTTTAGCCAAGAAGAAGTTCGCCAACTGAAGACCTTTTTGAGTGGGCCAGTCTCTCCCACCGCTACCTTTCTGTTGCCGTCAAGGAATTGACATCCTTCTCGGGCGAGACAACACGGCTCAACCCATGGCCCAATCGAGATTTGAAACGAAAGGCACATTCTATTCTCCGGTGAGTGCATTTATCTACTGACATGGCGAATATTGCTTATGTGTTGGCATTCTTGCTCAGTATCGCAGGTACATTTAATAGCCCGAGGTATCAAGCCGGCCCCCTAGAGCTTTATAAGTTACTTCAGACAGCTAGTGTCGAAACAACAGATGGCATTGTCTCGATCCTGCGCATCTCTCAAGATGGCAAAGTGGCCGACGTGGAAGAGTTGATTGGGAAACTACACATCAGCGAAGAAGCGTCTCGTCTCTCTATCTACGTCCCCAGGGATAGGAAAGCGCAGGAGCTTTGCTTTTGCGACCTTCTACCCAGGCAGCTTGTCGACTGACTCATGCGGGATCCCATAACACAAATACTTGACAAGGTCGAAAGTGATGCAATAAATGTGATGTCCATGATCCTGAGCATCCATCCATCTGCTACCGATCTGGTTCTGGAACGTCAGGGTATCATCGAAGTTGACATACCGAACGAAGATTCCAACTTCGACGCCGAAATACCTCTCGAAAGCCCACAGAGTCCTCGTACAACAACCGGTGAAGATCTCACACAGTCAAGGGATTTTGTCACGCCTTCCTACATTCAGGATTCCATATCCCGGAGGAATACTCCAGAGCAAGTAACCATTCACCAAACTGAAATGACGCCCCATTCGCCCACCCCTAGTCACAGTCGGCCAACACCCATGTACTCACCCAATATTTCCGAAGACAGTATGCAGTATCGGAGACTTATCGATAACGTGCTAGTGGCTGCACGAAGAGCCATGTTTCCCTCAAGTGGGACATTCAATATGAGCGAGCTAAATGAAGCTCTACCAGCAGAGGAAGGCCGCCATCAATTCGAGGGCTTCGATGGTATTGGAGTGAGGGGTGCATTCCGCTCAGATAGCCAGATTGAAAGAGACCGGAAGATTGGGGCTGCGGGAGAGCTTTATGTATGCTGCATTTTTTTTAGCTTCTCATTCCATTTCATGCCCAAAATCAGACTAATTTTCGTGCAGGTATTTGAGCTTCTCGCTAGACTGAACCCACCATTAACGGACTGGAGTGAGCGAAACTGGCAAAGCACAATTCGCCGATATGTCACGGTTCATCCAGACTATGCCGACATGGGGCCCTGGTACGGGAGGGAGACGGCCGACATTACTTATGAAGATAGAGCGGGTGAATTTACAGCCTTGCTTATTGATCGTGGGTACCTTGATGTCGAGGAATGGGCCGACAAGCGTCCGAAATATTTCATTGAAGTCAAGGCAACGACAGGGCCTATGGGTCACCCCTTCTTTATGAGCAAGAATCAGTATGAGAGAGTGAGTGCATTGATCATCACCAACAGAACATAAATGTTGACCGAATCTAGATGAGAGTTATCCACAACAAGGATGACTATTCAGAGGTGTATTTGGTTTTCCGTGTGTTTGATATTCGGGGGAATAATGTTGGAATGAGTGTGTATCTCGACCCGGAACAGCTAAAGCTAGATGGGGGACTGGTTTTTACTGGCGAAACTTGGTCAGTCGTTCCTGGCTAGTGGGGCCAACTTTAGAGGATTTCTTTTCGTCTCTTTCGTGTGTGGGTTACGAACCTCAACCCCTTATTCTGTAAAAGCTCTTCACCGTAGGCTACTAAGCCTTGTGAAGTACCGCCTTTTCCAGTTTGTTGAATGTTCGGCATGAGCGGTAACAAATTAAACGACCATAGCGGCGGCCATCGTATCTTCAATGAGATCGACAACCAGAGTATGAAACAAAAATTCGGTTAGGGAGAGTCGCTGGAGAGTCGCTGCTAGCCTCAAAATCACAGCAGCAGCAGCAGCAGCAGCAGCAGTAGTAGTAGTAGCAGCAGTAGTAGTAGTAGCAGCAGCAGCAGTAGTAGTAGTAGTAGTAGAAGTAAATTCATTTACCCTGACCGCTCGCGAGTTGGATTATAAACCACAACCCACTAGGCTGGGTACGGATTCGTATTTCAGTCTAGTTGGGAAATCAACTCTGCGAGGGGTCGGGGTAAATGAAATCTACTACTACTACTACTACTAGTACGGTATAAGAAGGTTCGTCCAGGCAATTTTTGGCTTAAACAGGTCAAACAAACAGTTCGGGGCATGGTTCATGTGGGGCGACGGGTAAGGGGGCAGCCGAGGTCGCGGTCGAAACGCTTATAGCTGCGGTTCAACCGTAAAAAAAGACTGATCTTTACGAGTTTAGCAAATGGTAATTTCCTGCAAAACTAGGCTACAGTAGTATGATTCTGTGAGACCTGGGTTGACGGACGTCTAGCCTTAGAAGGTGGCGTGCTTCAGGCTAAATTAGATAGCAAGAAAGTTGGGGGCGGCCCCCAAGTTTGCTTTTTTCCCAATACTCTCTTCCTCCTACCTTTGATCCCAACGTGGTCTCAACATAAGCACACGAAATATACCAAAGGCCAAAAACGTAACGCGTAACATCATGTCTACCATCTTGATTTCCGGTGCCAACAAAGGTAAGCCATATTTGAACTTTTAGCCCCTTTCGTTTAAATTTAACAATTCCAGGAATTGGCCGTGCTCTGGTTAGCAAGTATCTGGCTCGCGATAATGTGACCGTAATCGCAGCTGTTCGCAACCCAAGCTCATCGGAGGCAACATCTCTCTCCGACCTTCCCAAGGGGGAGAGCAGTCGGATAATTCTTGTTAAGATCGACGCCAGCTCCGACACCGACGCCAAAACAGCAGTGGAGTCATTGTCTAGCCATGGCGTATCGGCTTTGGACATCGTCATCGCCAATGCGGGAGTCTTCGACACAACCGCTTTCACCACCGTTGCTGAGTCTAGCATTGCCCAGATTCAAGCCCATATAGATGTGAACACTTTTGGACCTGTCCGTCTCTTCCAAGCTACTCTCCCTCTCCTTCAGAAGTCGTCATCTGCTCGCTTCGTCCTCATTAGCACTCTTTTGTCAACGATTGGAGGGATGCAAGATATTCCGCTCAAGATTGCGCCATACGGCGCTAGCAAGGCTGCGGCGAACTTCTTTGTCCGGAAAATTAACTATGAACATGATGATATTGCTACCTTGGCTATCGATCCTGGGTATGGAGCTATCTTTTGACTCTTTGTCTTGCTTGAGGTGTTGACTAATATTTTCCTGTAGTTCGGTCAAGACAGATGCTGGAGACAACGCTGCCCAATCGATGGGATTCCCCGGTGCTTTGCTAGAGATTGAGGTTAGCGTGAATGCAATTGTCACCAAAATCGATGGTTTGACCAAAGAAAACGGTGCGGGAGAGTTCTGGAGCTCTGACGGCACCACCCCCAGCTGGTAGGTATACAAGTCGGAGGTGGGCAAAGTGATATAGAAACATCCACATAGTATAGAATACACAACGCACGACTAGAAAGTGGAAGCACTCCCTATTTCATCCTTTCCGATTACTACAGTCAGTATGACCACCATGAAGTTCTGGTGCCAATTAAACTTATTCTAAAGCTAGTTACTCTGGCGCTCATATCGTCAAGGGATGATGGAACAGACTTTGAATACATTGATTGAGGTGTCAAATAATTTCCCTGTCTAGAATATGTATACATCACAAATTGCAATCGCCTATGGTAGATAAAGATGCAAATCCACTACATAGTTAAGATATCCGACATAATGGCCCGTCTTTCTCCACCCAGGGCTTAGACATGCTTTGTGAAACGCTCAGGTTCCGTGAAGGTGATCTGGGTGCATTTGTTGCGAGGTTTATGCAGTACACATCATTACACAATCGGATTATCTAATCTTCCGGTCCACTTATGTCTGTTAGGTCCTGCAGGAAAACAGTGATGTCATTAAAAATAGCATCCCAGCAAATCCGTCAGATCGACTATATAGGTCGCGCAGCGCAGCCCTGCCCTCGCCCTCTTCATCTCATTCCCCCGCAGCAATAATATTAAAAATGTCTAACCAATTTGATCAGAGCCAAGGGCAATCTTGGGCGCAGTTCGGTCAGTTGCTGGTAGCTGCCGGGCTCTCCGCCGCAATCGGCATCGAACGAGAATTGCAGCATAAGAGCGCTGGGTTGCGTACTAACACCCTTGTTGGGATAGGCGCCGCTCTTTTTATGTTGATATCGAAATTTGGCACCCTTGATGTTCTAAGTGATTTGGTTGTACTAGACCCATCGCGGATTGCAGCCCAGATTGTGTCTGGAATTGGGTTCATCGGTGGTGGGCTCATCTTCAAGCATCGGAACGAGGTCCGGGGCCTCACCACAGCAGCCGCAGTCTGGCTAAGCGCAGCAGTGGGAGCCGCATGTGGTGCCGGACTCCTCAGGCTAGCATCCGTCTCTACTCTGCTATATTTTATCACGGTTTATATCTATCCGACATTCTGGCATTTTCTGCAACGACGCTTCCATCTGCAAACTGCCATGGAAGTTTCTGCTGTGGTCCGCTACCGCGCCAGAGACGATGGCCTACAAGCTATTCTGCAAACTCTGATGGGAACTGGCTTCTACTTGCGATCGGTGACACGGCTAGAAGAGGTGGCGACGGATCAGGCGGGGAGTCCCTCATCAGCCGCAAAGGATCAATCACAATCTGTGTCGAGTCTGAGAAGATCACAAATGGGACTACAAATAGATGTTGGAAAGCAAAGCCGAATCTTTGATGTCCACCTCACAGTAAATGGCCTCAGGACAGCGAATGACTTAATGCATGCTCTTTCCCAATTGGACTGTGTCATTTCTATATCTATTGCCGATGATCAGATGTATGCAGTACAAGAAGAGCATGTGGCAGTCTGAATCCAGGGATACGGTTTTCAACCATCCATAGGAAGAAGGGGGCTACGGAGGGCTGTCAGGGACGGTGTTCACCTGCTTGTTCCTGATAGCTGGAGAACTGCTGTGCCTGCAACAGTTTTTGTCCCCTGAGGAATAAATTGTCAGTAATTCTGAGCTGCAAAACAACTAAAACTTAAATTTTATATACGGATCAATACAGTAACCACTCCATCGCTCAGTGGGGAAGGAAAAGAGAGACGAAGACATCATGGAGTGAAGCCTTAGGCAACTTGGCTACCAAACAGATTATGACATCAGGGCCGCACCGTGCTCATCCCTACTCACCCCATTACTAGTGAGCAGGTTGAAGTTTCCTTCTTGAGATTATAGGGGTGCTAGGTTATTCGATAATGTAATGGTTCATTGTGCCACCAGTGTGGTCAGTTCTCAAGGAACACGGGGATGGGAATGTTGGACGTGGGGCACCGAGGTAGGAAAGAAACTGGGGGTGTTCTAAACCTATTCTGAAAGTAGCCTGGGGTTCATTGGCACTAGGGTTTGAAAAACAATGAAAGAGTGTAGGTGGTGACTCCGATTTCCGGAAGCACTGTACTTGAATCCTTAGTACTTGAGTTGATATAGGTGTAATAAATCGTCTCACCAAGACAGCGGGATCTGATACTTCTCCCAATTACCAGGCGTACCAGCGTCCTTGAACTTCTCAATTCCACCAGCAACCCCATTCTCATCCACTTCCCAATCGCCCATTTCAACCCTGTCCGCCCAATTCAATAGCACCTTGTGAAGCTGGACACCATGGGTTTCCAAAATTCCATTCCAACCACAGACTTGATAAAGTTCATGAGGATAATTTATAGGTGTCGGACTGGCATACAATCCAATCTACCTCCCAGTACTATCTCGAGCGTATTCTTTAGACCCGACACCAAAGGGAAGAAGCAACCTAGACATATTTCCAAAGTCTTATACTCTGCTTTTGTTGGTTTCTTCCATGTATAAACCAGCACGGATATCAATATTACCGAAAGGGCGGCCCCAAGGTGATAGATTGGACCCATCAGCTCGGAATAGGAGGAATGGCATTTCTTCGTCATCACTATCATCTTCATCATCTTCCGGCCCAGACCCACTTTGAGCTCCAAAGGGTTGGGCTTTCAATTCATCAACAGACTGTACCCGAATTCCAGGAGCAATATAGCGGAAATTAATCTGCCGCAGAGGAAGCGCGGAGAGGAATGACCCGACGAAAGAGTTTTCATAAGTCCCACCCCGAAAAACCTTGTCTGTACCTATTGTACGACCGGAACGCGGAGGCAAGTCATTTGCGAACCTCAAATCCTACCGCATCCCTATGATTTTGAGAACATAGTCATGGCCTCCTGAGATCCCGATACACCGGTGTCTGGAAATCGGTCTTTCAGGGTGACCATAAGAGCCGGCTTCTCCCAAAGGAAATAGGCTTTCTGGTCGGCCCAGTTGGTGCTCTCTGGGCGTAGAGCTACGTCAAAGTGGTAGAGGAGTTTGCAGAGGATGAGGCGGATTTCGCAATTTGCTAGGCTATTAGGGGGAGAGAATATGTTAGTATTGGTTGTGGTGCAATGTAGATAAAGAGAGGAATGGTAAAGAACGCACTGTTTTCCAAGGCAGACGCGTGGACCGAGACTGAATGGCTGCAGGACATCTTTCTTATCATTCTCAAAGACCGGGTCGGAGCCCAGCCAGCGCTCTGGCATGAACTCATCCGGGAAGGCGAAGTTGGACTCGGAGTGATAGGAGGCGTAGTGGTGACATGCCACAGCTGTCTGGTTAGGATTAGTACGCAGATTACAATTATGACATATTGAAGTGAAACGTATATTCGTACATCCTCAGGGAGAAAATGGCCGTTCACAACTGCTCCGCCTTGCGGTACAATGCGCGACAGACTCGTCACGAAGGGCGGGTAGATACGCAACGACTCCTCGATGACAGCATTCATGTACTTGAGTTCCTCTACGGCGCGGAAGGTCATGTCACTGTCCTGTTTGAAAGTCGAGCGGATCTCGGCGACGAGGCGGCTCATGACATGTGGGGCTGTACACAAATAGAAGATACAGCCGGATAGTAGCGTTGCGGATGTTTCGCTACCTGCCACGATTAGACTGTTATTGATTGGCATTAGCATGGTATATCAACTGCTTGGAAGAGCAAAACAAGAGAAAAGGAAAAGGGGGAAGTATTTGAAAGCAACGAAAACCACACACATAAAACCATTAGAATGAATCTCAGCCCGTGTCATAATACGCTCGCTTTCGCGATACTGGCCCTTCTCCTCGCTAAGTCCATGCTGGAGAATAGCAGACATAAAGTCCGGACGAGTCATATTCCACTCCAAGCGTCGATCGACCTTCTGTGCACTCAGCTCAAAGTGTTCCTGGCCGACGCGCTTGACTTCTCGTGGGATGAATAAGTCTAGGAGGCCCTTGAGCATAGGGAACTGATTCGCAGCTCCAATAAAGGCAATGGCCTTCATGGAGCTGAAGATCAACTTAATCCACGGGTGAAGCTGGCTGTCCTTCAGGCAGTCGAAGGACTCGCCGAACATCAGATCGCCGGTGATATCAAAGGTGGTAAAGTTCATCCAACTTATTATATCGACGATGGACGTCCCCTGCCGAACTTGAGACCGTAGTTTGGTAATCAAGGTATCAACGTAAGCTGTGATAAGGCCTTCTTGATCTCTTAAAGCCTTCTCAGAGAAAGCATGGGATAGCAGCCGTCTCTGTCTTGCGTGGGTCGCATTATCAACCGCACAGACCAAATGATCAACCCCATTCGCTGGGGCTACATATTGGCTCCGATCTTTTGGGAAGCAACCGCCAGATCTGGCACCGTAGATATCGCGAAAGGCCTGTGGTGTGTTGAAGGCCAGCTCATTGGGTCCAAGGCGCAAGATGGGACCGTACTGCTTGTGCAGCGCCAGAATGTCCAAGTGGTTATGGCCACGGAGGACGGAAAGATTAGACGGGATGCGAGATATTGCCCATAGCTTTGGACCGGGGAAGTGGCGCAGAGGAGACCAGCAAAACGCGTAGATGATGCTGTAGGTGACCCAGAGTAAGAACTGTTTGATTGAATGCTGATTAGCGCGGGGCTCTCTGCAAAGACCTGTCAGAGGGAAAGGACTAGTTCGATTGCATTGCTCAGAGCTGCTGTGTTTCCCCAGGGAGATATCTTGGAGGGGACTAGCTCTACTGTAGGGTTTTTTTTCCTGCATGAAACAAACGAGGGTTGGGAGTACGGGTAATACAACTTACCAGGCATCCTGCAGCCGCGCCCCAGAAGCCAGGACCTGAGGTAGCCCAAAACATTGTGAAATTTGAAGTAAAAGAGGTCATCCACTGCCCTGAAGCCATATTTAGTTCGGGGTCATTTGGCTGGTTTTTTCTCTGGATAGGAATGTGATATGGTAAATGTTTCTCTTTTTTCCAGGCTTCAGATTTCAAAAAGTGATTGGACACTGAACTGAGACCAAAAAATGAGAAAAGAGCACAGAAAGGCTGAGTTGTACCAATCGAATGCGGTTAGTGGCAGACGTGCAGGTAAATCGGGGCCAGGCGGAAGGAGTAGTGAGGGAGTACGAACAGGATAGGTCATTACTCCCGCATCCAGAGACATAGAGCCGTATCAAATCTATCTACAATATCCTTTTGACTCCGAACATCCTCGGGAGAATCCCTAGTCAAATTGCCGATTCGACTGGGACTGAGACGGCTTCCGACCGTAAACAACATGCAGCTTGCAGTACGTATGCACCGCGGGATTCTTGAGATCTTTCCGCACCCCCGCCAGGAAAACCTGAGTATCATTATTCGACCATCCCAGCACACGAGTGAAAAGAGCTAGCGAGTAGGATTCAACCGCCATGAGAAGGGAGCATTGGTTGTACCGACCAATCTCCTTTTGCACGGGATCCCTAGCCCATACACTCGATGGAACCTAGAGAAAGGAACACAGGTCAGTCATGACGAAGGAGGCAAACAAAAAGAAAAGCCCAATCAGAAAGAAGACCGGGGGAAGGGGAGAGTCGCACCTTGTACACCTCATCTCGAACATCTTCAAAACCAGCCTCAACCAGCCGCTGCCGGTGACCTTCAGCGATATTCATAGGTCGGTGAAATGCCTCACTCGCCTGAGTCAGTCGATCAAGAAACTCGCACAACGCCGGCGCAAGACGGATCGAATCATCGTCCGACTTGAGCATAACCTCAAACTCCTGTAACTCAACCCATCCACCGGGACGCAGATGCTCGTAGCTCTGGCGCATCAACCGCGGCCAGTCGGCGATAGCACCGCCCAGATCACGGGCATGGATGAAATCAAAGGGCCGGCTTGGGCTATACAGCCATTGCGATTCGGCGTCGTCCACCACAAAGCGAAGGTTTGGTGGGACCCATGATGGTTGGATGGGACTTAGATCGGTTCCTGTTACCTCGGCACTGGGGAAGCTGTCTGCGAAGTCGATTGCCCAAATTCCGGTTCCGGTGCCAATGTCGAGAGCGCGTTGGATGTTACTGTCCAGTGGGGCTCGGAAGAGCCGGCCGTTTAGCACGAGGTTCCGGACGTGATGGAGTAGATCTTGTCGATCTTGTTCTGGTTCGTCGTTGGGAAGGACGTAGTGGCCTTCTCGGTATGAGTGATAACGTCTTCCATTTTCGTAAGCGTAGTTTTTCACATCGGATAGCAATGACGCTGTGTAGCTGGATGTGTTGTCTGATTGTCCATCATCGAAAACTGAGTCTGAATCACCAGCTGTTGATGCTGCAGATGATGTGTCTCCATTATCATCGTTGTTGTCTGGTGATAAAGAGTTTACAGGTAGAGATGGCGTGGGTGATGGAGCGAGGTCAGAACCATCGTGACCCACTTCAGGAACGGACATTGTTGTTGGGTTCATTGGAGCCGGTAAAGAATGTGGTGTTGACAGGTCCCACGTTAAAGTCGATGATTCAATCTCAGTGGACGAGGAGATTGATACAGGTACCAACGGGTTTAGGCCCTCGCCGTCACTGTCCTCGGAGCTTTCCTCCGGAATTGGGGCCAGTCCAGGCGATGGGAGAATGCTCTCTTTGCGATGGTCGATATCAGATTCAACCGCAGAGTCCAGCAATGGGAGTTCAGGTATATCCGGCAAGCCAGATGCACGGATTGTTGGCGCTGAAATTGAAGAAGTGGGCGACAATCGCCTAGTAAACTCGGAAGCTTCTTCCATTGCCGACTCCATTTGGTCGAAAGTCCGTTTCAACGGAATGCAAGGGACAGGCACTGGCCAAGCCTCCGGACCTGGAATATCTGGCGTCATTTTGGTGGAATTTGGCACGTCGTCCGACTTCGACAAGGCTTGCGAAGAATCAGGATTCCCTGTCAAGGCTGGGTATGTGTGAGAGGATAATAGATCGGTACCCAGTTTAATTCTCGTGTTGCGTCGGCGGTCGTCCAAGCACACGGGGTAAATACAAAGGAAGTCAATCATATCGGGAAGAGGTAGCCCTAGGGAGCCAACCTATACAGTAAACGATATTTGACCACAGTAAGCAATGGACTACTTAGGATGGTACTGGGAACGAAAAGACTAAATAGTGAGCAAGCTGATTTAAGCAAAAGAAGTCAAGTTCTCATGGAATTGTCCCTTTTCCCAATGTATCACAAGGAATATCAAAAAAGGAAAAGTGCCGGAGTATATGGCCAATTTCAATATCTACAGGGGTTTGCGACATATTACGACAATCGGGCTTTTTGCCAGCAGAAAATTAAGGCTAATATGTAAATTTGTAAATCTTGAAGTAATCCACACTTTTGCTTGTCAGAAGGAGAAAAAAGCAAAGGCATTTATTTAACTGATTCAAGAGCTTGTTACAGTCTGATACCCTACCGGAAAGGAAGAAGCACATACCCACCCACGCATGGCCTTGAGATTTGTATGTGGATGCAACTGCAGTCATGGGACAGAGCGCGTATTTCCCCAACAGTCAATGCTAAGGAACGTGTGGTGACTGGGCATGGAGGAGCCGTGCAACAGTTATAACTCCGGTGGCTCGGGAATCGGCACTGTATACAATGTGGTATACATCCATCCAACAACCGAGCTAGGCCTAGCTGAATGTTAGATATTGGTTCGCATCTTTGAGCAGTAAAATCATGCAAACACTCTGGTGATGGTACCTGCTTCCCTCCTCATGAGGGGATACATCGCCGGACAGTTTTTCCATTGTCCCAGCAGTATTGGAGCTCATGTTCCCATGATTCCAACGGGGAAATTGATGGTAGCGATGAGGACAACAGGATGCTCATAGCTAACCCGAACGGTAGGTTACAAGACAATGCCGTTGGAACATTCCAGCGAACTCGCTTGGAAGGTGCTATTGTCCAAGCCGGAATGCTGGCTGCTTTGTCTAAGGTTGGGCAACTCCTTAGGCAACGTCAGTCGTCGATAACGAATATATATAGGGCAGCTCGATGGCCCAATGATGATGAACTGAGAGATGGAGAGAATATGGTTGATATCGTATGGAAAATGACTATTTGTAGGCGAAAGAGACAAAGACAAACAAAGAGCCCATTCTATATCGCAAGGCGGTAGAAAAGGCGGTAATATTATTTCCCATTAGGGAGATTATCTATGCAGAAGGCCGAACCCTAGTTGATCTTTAAATATTTTTCGGAATGCGTTTGCCTCTATGGAAATTCTGTAGTATTTTAGATGGCTTCTTAGTATAACTGCTCTGTCTATTTCCCATCGAAGCGTGACACTTGCGGGTCATCGTGTTGCACGGAGGACTAATAATCGGATTGGATCGGTGGGATTGATATCCTGTCGAGGGTCGGACAAGGTGAGAATAAGATGTTTTCAGCTACCTGGTGACCCTTCCAAAGAGCACAGTTCGTGCGATGTTTCATGTTGCTTATGAGGTTTACTATTATTGGTTGTTTAAAAGTAGACATCATCTACGTGCAGGAATACCTCACTGAGAGTTGAATTGATTTCTGTAAGCCATACAGTGTCTGCATTGCGTTGCAATCGCAGCTGGAGCATCGGGGTATTATCTCATTCGTCATCATTCATGCGCCCGGGTCACCTGGAGTCGAGGGGTCGGTCCTGTCTCCATCAATTAATCCCTACCTGGGCCTCGAGAAGGAAACCGGGAACCCTTTCCTGGTGCAGATACCTCTCCCTTTTCAGGCTTGACCTCTAGTCCTGCTTGGAGAACAGCGGCATGTAGAATCCGCCAATGGGCCTCCTCGTTGAATTCACGTAGGCTCTCCAGCGTGGTACGCTGCACCTCTGCTCGCAGGTCGATCTGGTTCGACACCAGCAACCCCTTCTCAAGGTCGATGCGAGCGTTCAGCACACCATCCTGAATGAGTCCGACCAGTTCTTGCACAAACGGCGAGGAGATGTCCGTGGGACGCGCTTCGCTGCCAACGACCGTAGGGGCAAAGATCTTCGCCATCGAGTCGAGTGTGACTCGGCTGAAAGGAATCATGTACTGCTCGATGGATTTGGTGCGGATGCGTTTGTACAATTGGGGAATGTGACGCTGAAGGTGAATGTCGAGTAGGTAGTCAGGGCGATAAGCTTCGAGAATGTCAAGGCATTGGCGGAACTTAAAGTTGCAGAAGAAAGTGATGGCGCGGCGGATATGAGGCTCGAGTTCGAGGAAGTTGCGGAAAGTCTGACTGTCGAGCACGTTTTTCTGCAGATCGTCGCGGTTCATAGAGGCGAGAGCACACAGACCACCGTAGACGGCGACATCGTTGGGGGTGATGATTTCATTGTAGGTGTCGCCCAGGTCGGGCGGGATGGACAAGAAAGAGTTTGCTGCTTCGAGGTATGAGCCTTGGTGCATCTGTGACAGAGCGGAAGCGGCCGTGATTTTAGATAGGTTTTTGGCTGCGTCATCGGGCTTTGACTGAGAGTTGCGCAGTCGGTGCACGTTTGACTGCACAGACATCCAGTCACCGCGTTCAGTAGCGACGTTGACCATCTTGAAGAGCATAGAAGTGATGTGGTTCGGGGTGGTGCAGTAATCTCTCATGCGAGAGTAAGCCTTGGAGGCAGCAGGCAGGTCACCAGTCTCGTAATGATGGTTGCCCAAATCCTCATGACCCATCTACAGAGGTTAGTGTCACGCATCTCCCAACACAATATTTCCACTTCTTACCCGGATGCTCTCTTTAATCAAATTGTTCTTGTATCCCCGCAGCTCGTGTTCCAATCGCTCTGTCTGTGTCTGTACGTATCGATTGGTTTCCTGGACCCAGGCGGCGTCAAGAGAAGCGTCAGGATCGTTCGGAGCTACTTCCGCAAGCGCGCGGACCGCCCTCTCGTATCTGGAAACGTCTTTGCTGGTTCTAGCTTCGGTGATGGCTGCCTTGAGGGCGTCGGTCGAGAGCAATGTGGAGCATGTGCCGATGAGGTAAAGACGGTCGTAGCGGGTGCGGCCTGGCGATGCATTAGAATGGGAAGTCCGCCTAGGAACAAGAAGGGTTACTCACCAGTGTAGTTTGCAATGTAAGTATCAAGATCGAATTTGGGGGCCTCTGCCAAATTATGCATGTCAGTGTTATCTGGGCACAGCAACATCATCGCGGAGATGGCCCCGCGCGGGGGTTAACATACCTTCCACTTTCACTAGTACCTTTGCTCGGGGGGTAGTAGTAGCTGTGGTAGCCTCCAAAGCGGCAGCATCCATATCTGCCCGAGACGGACCAGAGGCATCTGGAAGCGTGGTGTCCATCTTGCCGGTCTATGCGTTGCGGGCTGAAGTAGCACTGGCAAATAATCCTGAGGAACTGGAGCTTGATTGACAAGCTAGTTTTTTTGCAAAGGACGATAGCAACTAATTTGAACGCTAAGAACAATACGCTGTTTAGAGCAGAGAATAAGAGAGGTGGGTGACAAGTCATCCGGTCGATCATTGTGATGGGTGTTTGATTATATGGCAGAATTTGACCGCCTAATACACCGCCATCCAGAGGTCCTTTGATGAACGGTGGACGTAGATGAAGATCTACCTACATAGAGATAGGGCAAAGAACCCGTGATTATCTGAGAGAAACTAAGACTTTTGTCTGCAGTATCTTGTCGCATAGTATAAAAAGAACCAAGAGGCCAAAGGACAATCTGGAAAACTGGAGCTGCCGCACAAATCGTAACAGTATATGTCCATAGGGCAGGTTGGTTGCATGGACATGATACCAGAAGAGGCTTTTGATCATCAGGAAGCATGTAATGGAAGTACCGAGCCATTGACGACTACATATAGGTCTTCGGGCGTAGAAATTAATTACCGTGCCTGAGGCACCAAAGATCCTTGAACCCCGTGGAGTGGATCTGCACCAGGTATGTACCTCGGAACTTGAGTAATCAGGAAATTAAGCATCAAGTCAATCATTCGCCAGTATAAAAGCGGCTCGGGACCCGAATATATTGATTATAATCCTTGTGTTTGCCGACAGCATAAACAGATATATAATCGACTAAGCTCGGCAATCAGAAATCACAGCGACCGAAGTATATATATAACGAGCCTACTCCACGACGTCAATCGAACCCCCACTCGACATCTAGCACCATAACCGAACCACAAACTCGCCAAAGCCCTCGAAATGTCCCAAACACAGCAAGTCGCTCTGATCATAGGCGCATCACGCGGCATCGGGCGCCAGATCGCCATCGATCTAGCAAAGAACGGCTACGCCGGTACAGCCACATGCAATCCCAAATAGACCATCAAAATCATCTAAACTAACCCCGAAACCTAGTAATGCTATGCGCGAAAACAACCTCCGACGCATCAGCAGTGACCCCATTCCCACCAGACCCGAACTCATCGCTGTCCACCATCAACACAGTAGAGCGCGAGATCCGCGAAGCGGGCGGACACGCGGCAACGGTCGCCGTTGACGTGCGCGACGCCACGCAGATCCAGCATGCTGTCGAGGAGACCGTGCGCGTCTTTGGGAAACTCGATGTACTTGTGTACAACTCCGGCGCAATCTGGTGGTCGGCTGTGGAGAATACGCCTCTCAAGCGGTTTAAGCTTATGCAGCAGGTGAACCCCGAGGGGCTGTATGCGACTGTTCAGGCTGCTTTGCCTTTCTTTGAGAAGGGAGGCTGGAAAGGGCGCATTGTTGTTGTTTCGCCGCCTATTTATTCGAGGTTCTTTAGAGGGAAGACTGCTTATGCGATGGGTGAGTTTGCCTTTTATCCGTGGCTTTTGGAGGCCGGAATCGACAAGTGTGCTTGACGATGTGCTGATATGTGATGTGTTGGATGTAGGCAAAGTCGGAATGAGTGTCTTGGTCAAAGGTCTGGCCATGGACTTTGTGCGTCAAGGCCGAAATGAAATGGCGGTGACGAGTATCTGGCCTGCATCGGTATGTGTCTTGATCTTGATTTTATCCTGAGCCGGTATATGTGAGGGGATCGCTGACTGCATTACTTTCCAGTCGATTGAATCAGCAGCTACAGAGCATAATAAGGGATCCGACACATCCTACAAAAAGGATTTGAGAAAGCCCGTATGTCCATTTCTGAACATGTTATACTATACACCTTTTCTGGTTTTTTCAATACTGACACGCTGCAACAGACAATATTCTCAGATGCTGTTCTGGCTATGCTCCGTGCCCCACATAAAATAGTGAACGGGCTCCTGGACACAGATGAGGACTTCCTCCGGGAGAAATGTGGAGTCTCTGACTTTTCCAAATATTCTGTTATCCCAGGATCAACACCGCGGCGGATTATGCCGGACAAGTTCCCAGTCCTGGAGGTCGCAGAGCAAGATGATGAAGGACAGCGAATGGATAGCACCAAGGTGCGGGCGAAGATATAGGTTTGATGAGGATCAGAGGTCAATTGAGCTTGTCGCTCAGTCAAACCCAGATATACGGTTTGATATAGTACTTGGAAACTCGAGAATGTCAATAACCCATGTATGCATTAAATAGGCTGAATGGTGTTCTATAACAAGATACACTACCAATGTAGGCAATGTTAAAACAAGATGTAATGAACGAACGGCCAGCAATAGATTACTCCATAAATTCACAAGCAAGAAAGAAAAAAAAAAAAAAAAAAACAGACGCTCAATGCTAATGCAGCCGGAAAATGCAAACCCAAAAAGCAACAAAACACTAGCCAATATTAGTAAAGTCTCGAGCAAGCACAACCACAACTCCAAGTTTCATTATCCAAATAACCAACTGGACTCTTGAATCATACCCCCCCAGGGGGAGCTAATCAAGACCTAGACCCTTACACTCTACAAGAGAGTAGCAAAGCCGGCAAAAAACCCACCAACCAAGACACAAAGCCCATAGACATGACTCATATCAACAGAGGCCATGCGGGGAGCAGCGCCAGTAGCTCCATTAATAAGGGTATTGACAGGGGTCTCGGATGCAGTGGGGGTAGCGGCTTTGGCGGTAGTAGTCACATTAACACGCTTTGGATCCTGGGCTCCACAGGGGTTCTTTACTCTGCAGTCATTTTGGCAAGTGGAGTCCCCATTGCATTTGAGGACACATTGGTTGTTGGTTTCCGTGCAGGTGTAGTAGGGGATTGTCTGGGAATATTCGGTGGCATTGGGGGTGACATTGTTGCTGCATAGGCAGTAGTAGAGTAGTGTGTCCTGGGGATTTGGGGTTAGTTGGAACTTTGTTTTTCCCTAAAGGAATGCTTGGTATGTGAATGACTTACGGGTGAGCAGGTGTTTGATGTTGGTGAGCCCGAGGCTCCTGGTAGTTGTAGACAGAGGAGGGGACAGGCGGATGTTTGGGAGTTACACCAGGCCTCTGAGGGAAGGAAGACAAGTTAGTATGATAGTTTATATATAGGGGGAGGTATATAGAGCATCAACTGACCTCTTGTAGCATAGGGAACTGATGTCGGGTCGAATTGGCTGTTGACTAGAGTGGCAGCCGAGGCGAGGATGAACAAGGTCTTGGACAGCATAATGTCGGTTGAGCTTGGTGATAATTCAGGAAGAGATTATAATTTGGCACTGGGCAGCTATTGAATTTTAGTGTTAGCCTTTTTGTCTTCAACAATGCCGTGACAGTCTGACACGCCATAGAGCCCAGATATAGACCTAGCGATAGCTACCAAGGGTAGATGGAATGAAGGGGAGAAGGTGTAATGGAAGTAGGAGATGTCTTGGAACCTACTGATTTTGAATTCCTAGACTCTTTCCAGAACAAGGCGAGGAATGAGGAGGGATGGAGATGTTAGATGGTGATCTAAAGCCAATAGCAAGAGGCTGTTTTTCAAAGATGTAAACGTGAAGGGATGCAAGTAGCTCGAGGAGAAAAAAAAAGTAGCCAGCAAGGGAGGAGTGGGGAGCTCATAAAGGAAAAAAAAGCAATCACAGGACTATAAGTGACTATGTATAGAATGTACTAGTTAGTTTGCATGGTGGCACGCACTAGTGCCACCCTCGCGGTTTTACCGCATCGAATGTTTTTTTATTCTTTTTTTTTGGGCACGGCCAAGGTGTTCCCTGCCAAGTGAATTCAGTAGTGAGACCCATTGCTTTGGAAGTGAGGTGTGGATTTATTGACGAAGGGTCCGCTATAGGGGTTTGCCCTTGAGATGTGTCAATCCGGGGATATCTCGATGATCTCGGATTGCAGCGACGTTTGTCCCAGGTGGACAGCTCACTGTGTGTCACATCTGTCATCCGGTCCCCGCTCTCCACTACAGAGACATCACTGTGCCTTTCAAAGATAGGAAAGTGGCATGTCTCAGTCTGACTTGCCAGAATTAAAGATTAGAGGACGGCGATCAATCAACGCTTACCAGATTGGGATTAGTATGCAGCTTGGCTTTAAGTAGTCTGATGAAATTCCTGAGAGTGTTAAGTTAAAAGTTCAAAAGCAGACAGGTTTGAAATCATCGTCGTATCTGAGATCTTCAGAGAGGAGATACAATCAAAAATGTCAATCAAAAGGCAATTGGGCATTTCCCCGGCATATCCATATCTGCCCAGATAGCCTTAGCTAAGCCACTAACCCCGAACCAGCCATGGCCCGTGACCGCCGTTGTCTCAAATCGACTCCAATTGAATTTCCCAATCAAGTCTTAACACTTGTCTACACACTTTACACTCTTACTCTCTTGCCACCACAGTTCGCGAAGGTTAGTCTGTCTCACCTCGGATCGCTTGTACAACTCCGCCCAAGTCCAGCCCATCCTTGCATCAACCCCAATGTCCAAAATTAGCCCGTTCCCCCCCAGCACTTTATACTTGCCACCCCGCATGATGGGGGGAAGACCAAGACCACCTCCTCCCGAGGTCGGAACCATCCCCGAACCGAGCCCACACCCACTCCAAATGCACATGCATTGAACCTCAAGCAAAGCTAACAAACATCATTTCCACCAAACAGGCTAACACCATCCTATCCCTTGCAGCATCTAATGGATGGAGCCAGCAACCGAGGAGACCGGACCGGCATCTAAGCCGCACCACCCCTCCTCCCCACACCCAGATATCCAGCCCGCCCCCGCACTCCGACCTGAGACCGATACCGATACCGATACCCCCCATGACAATCCCACCGCGACAAACAGCCACAGCCAAAATGGCCCGCCCCAGAGCTCCGCATCCTCAGCCTCCGCAACATCCCGTCCCCTCTCAGCCGTAGTACCACCCTACTGGTGCCGACATGAGCGTAATATCTCGCAAGTCTCGCAGTCGTCGCTGAGTGGCGCGGCTCACATCACCCTCGAAGATCATACTGCCGACCCGAACTCGGAGACGAGTCGTGGGCTCTGGGCCAGTAGCGTTGCTATTGATGATCATGTTGTCGTGCGCGGTATGACTGGGGTTGGGTCGTATGTTGTGTGGAATTGTACAATTCAGACACTTGATGTGAGTTTTGGATCTTGTGGAAAGGGAATGCTGTTGGAATGGTTTTCTAATTTTGATGCTTCCTGGTATAGGGTGGTCCGATTGTTGTTCGGATGAGGTGTGTTGCTTATCCCCCTCCGTCTTGTTGCTTATCCCCCTCCGTCTTGTTGCTTATCCCCCTCCGTCTTTTTCCGTTTCTGTCCGGGTTGAGAGGATGTTCAGCTGATACTTGGATTTGCTACAGATACTCCGAGTTCGATGACCTGCGCCAGAGGCTGGTTGATTCTTTCCCGCATGCAAGGAGTGCATTGCCTGCATTGCCGCCGAAGAGCGTTATCTGTATGTATCCGTGCTCCCCGTTCCCTTTTATATTTCCATCGAATTAGCTAATATCCATTATTATGAAAGATAAATTCCGACCCCAATTCCTGGAATCAAGGCGCGTGGGCCTGGAGTATTTTCTCAAGTCAGTATCTCGTCGCATCCCCATGATTACCATGCATTCATTGTCTAGACCTATTTCTCACACCCTTCTAGCTGTATCCTTTTGAACCCGGAGTTCTCGGGCTCCCCTATTGTCAAGGACTTCCTCTTCGGTCGTATCTGTTAATTGAATCATCTTGTCTTCACTGGGTGATGCGGGATAGGTTACGTGGCTGGGCGTTTAGGAATCGCATTTTGCATTGTATTGTACATCATAATTCACACTTCGAGCTGATACTGGCATCGAAAACAAGCTCGAGTATGAATTGCTCAAATATCTCATTAATATGTCTCATTCGACAAATCCAATTCACGATGTGACACTTTGCTATACAGAAAAGAACAAAATCTACATAACCATGGCAGCCCACCAAGTAAACGCCAGATAGGAGGGAGCGGTTTAATACATAGACAGAAAGTAGAAAGGTACATATATAATCGGTCAAGAAACTTTTCAAGAAAACCGCACAATGACGCCACTAAGGTACAAAGATCCCAGCAAGAACACCCGGCCAAGCAATTAGAACAGAACGCCTTGAGTATGATGTAGTGTCCAGGATCGCTGACATAGCCACAAAAGAAAAAGATTAAGTTTAACGCACACAGGGCGAATAGAATACAAGAACCTCATCCTCCTCAAAATCCTTACCCTTATCGGGCTGTTCGGCAGAATCGTCCTTTTTACCACCAAGCGACATCACAACCTCACCACCAGCCTTCAACTTGCGAGTCAACGGAAAAGCGGCAACATCCGCCCGGAATATCTTCCGCAAACTTATATTAGCCATGTGAGTCATAGCGAGCACATGTCGGGGTCTAGGCATGCCAGATGGGAAAACAAGATAAATATCCGCGTCCTGAGTGGGATCCGGGCGGAATTTGTCATGGTATGCCTTCTTGCCGCCGATGGGCAGACGGTGGAATGCATGACCGTACAAGCCGCGTGTAAACTTCTTACAGGGCCACGGCATGCCGCTGACATCTTCGCTGGTGAGTGATTGGAGTGGTTCGACGCCGAGCCCGAGGTATGTGACGCCGGCGCGTCGGAGGAGTGCCATTGCCATGATGAGGAGAAGGTCGCTGATTCCATTTACGCTGCCTGGGGCTGCGATGCAAGGGTCGACATGGTAGCCGCCGGAGCCGAGGCGTCGAAGAGCGGCGAACCCGTTGATTGTTCCGTCAGGGGTGCGGATGTAGATGAATGTCATTAGGGAGGGGACAGCAAATGGGTCGTAGACGGTTATGAAGGCTTGCGGGCTGGTAGAGGTGTTGCGCTCGGCGCGCCAAGCATCGTAGATGGTAATTAGTTTGGTTTGTAGTTCCTGGTTTATGCCGTGAACGGCAGGGGCGTACACGCCCATGGTGATGCCGCCTTTGCTCTTGTTCGTGAGCTGACGGCTCTTGGTCAAGATGCGTTTTCCGCTAGTCTCGAGAATCACTTCGTTTGTCTGGGGGTTGAGTACGCGCTCTGTGGCGAAGCGGATCGTTGTCCAGCCGTTTGGTTTGGCGTGGTCTGTCAGGAATGTCTCGCTGGCGCCCATAAATGCTATGCTCCAGTGATGTCGCTGTCGGTAGGCTGCAAATTCGGAAAGGAGCTCGGGGACTTCGTCTTTGTTGCATAATGGATCTCCGCCGATGACTGCCACCCCGTTCTGGATCTTAAATGACAATGCTGCTGTTCTTGATTTGTTGACGAAGAATCGGTAGCTGCGATCGAGGATTCCCATGTGTGCCACTCTGCCATGTAGTGCAGCTATCCGTTGGATGGCTGTCATGGTTTCGAAATCGTCGAGCCCGAATACGGCATCTTGGTCTCGGTCTTCTGTTTTCGCGTGAAAGGAATCAGTAGTTGAGTGCAGGACATCGACCTTGGTTGATAGTTGTGAGCGAGTGATTGCGGGTTCATGACTGTTCACACTCGTCGCCGGGCTGGAATCGGTTATCGTGTGGAAGCTTGCAGAACTGGAATAGGAAGAGACTGCGGAAGGTGCTGCGATGTTGCTGCGCAAGTGATCCATGAGGGAAATCGACGAGTCACCAATATTATCATGATCATCGTTGCGTTCGGGTGTCTCGTAGAGCTGATCAGCCAAGAAATCTCCGATCTCATCCGCAAACAAGGTCTTTTTCGGTTTCATTGTGACAGGACCCGGAGTGTTCCCTTTGCGTTCGCGACGTGATCGCTTCTTCTTGGTTGTGGTTGTCTCGTGGGATTCCGCAGGTGCGGCCATTATGATGACTAGGACGCTTTCAGCGTCGGAGACTTAGGCTGAGAATGGAAGAGTAGGATAGATGAGAAACAAGAATCAAAATGAAAACACAGAATAAGAAAAATCAAAAATGAGGTCAGAGGCTTCGGGGAAGTCAAAGCGGCGAGAACTAAGTATGGCATGGACCGCACTTGCCTAGACGTCAGTCGGGACATCCAATGGATACAGTAGACCCTTAGACCCTGATTTTCACTAGGCAGAGGCATTTTCACGGATAGGCTCCAGTGTTACCATCTTCGAAGACACTTAATTAGGGGTATTGCTCAACTTCACCAATCATTATTCACCAATGGGGGGATCGACTGGTACCAGCCTTGTGGGTCTTTGGTTCGTCCTATCATAATAATACGAGGAAAAGCTTGGATAAAGCGCAAAATTAACGTATCCAAAGAGAAGAGCTACATATAAAAGTATGATACTCTAATATTGTTCTGTCTCCGCCCTTACGTGACAAGCGTACCTGCCTCTCACATCTTATGTGCCCTTCATCTTATTTGTGTTGGACCTTCAACCTTGCCATGCGAAAGAACAGCCCTGTCAGCATCACAGGCTCAACGGGCCTGACGGGCCCGTCGGGTCCCGTGGGCTTACTAAGGGACGATTACGTGTCTGAGGTCTGCTACCCGTGGACCGCTGGAGGTACGGATTCATCACTCCATCCATGAATAATGTGGCATAATTAAAGGCGGTCTGAGGGTTATCTATAAAGAGCACCCAGTCAATATTCTTCTTCTGTAAGCATCCCTTATCTAGTCAAGCAATTTCATCATCCTCCGCTCTGTGGGCCCAGTCTTATTTCTTTCGTAAAAATAACGACCGGTGACCCGTGGGCCTAGATAGGTAAAATCCACCCCCGGGACCCTCGCACCCCGGCACCCGGGCACCTGAGTCCTCACATGTGCAATCTTTTCCCGGCACTACCTTTGTGGCCTGTACGGGTTGGTACCCGGAGTACCCTTCGTCCCGAGCCCGGCATCTTGAGTTCTTCTTACTCTAATCCATACCTACATATGTACATTGGTCTGATTTCGCACGTACTTGATGCTATAGACCCAGTTCTTTCATCTAGGTGTAGTCCCTATCTCCATTGTATTTGCCTTACATCATTTGTTCCGAGCTAGGCAGAGGGATATAGGGGAACTAAAGTGATATGAAGGTGATGTAGGGGAACTATGCCAACTATGGGCAATTCATTTGTAATGTCTGAGCAGGTTGACTACCCTAGTTTTGAATATCAATATATCGACCTAAACAAGTTTAGCGGTCTAGCCAATATACAAACAATGGAAGTTAGCTAAGCGTGCCTAGGTTGGTTGCTGCGTCATAAGAAAGATGGGAATTAAGAAATAAATTCATAGACAAATGCAAGAGACGGGGTATCGTCAAGTTCAAGACCGCTTGAAATGGGCCGTACATAAAAGCGCAACGTATGTCTTGATCAGCACACGCATTCAATGTCCAAATCACGAGAATGAGAAAACCTGCCAGAGAAAGACAGCAGGGGGCAAAGAAGATGACTACTCATCCGCAGTACCGCATCCATTGGCCGGAGGCTCGTAACCATCACCGTCACCCTCACCGTTACCCTCAACCTCATCGCCGAACTCAATAACCTCACTGAGCTCGCTAGAAGAATCACCACTGTGATATTCTTCAGTAGAAATCTGTCTCAGATCTGCCAAAAGTTCCCTCTGCTGCCTCAAGATGTTGTTGGCCAAATGAAGGACCCTGTCAGTCTGCTCAATGCAATACCGCATCTCTTCTCTCTGACTCTCAGTTCGCACGCCCAGCAGGGAATCCTAAATATCTCAATTAGTATATCAGTATCCAAAAAAACAAACGTTCAGTACTGACAATGTGGTCAATCCACAATTGTCCAAGAACGGGGTCTGGAGTCTCCGGCAGGTACGGCGGGTAGCGATTCACGGTACGGTGCACAATACAGTCACGACGGTGGTAGGCAGATGCCGAGCTGCATCCTTGGTCATTTCGTGAAGCCGAGGCGTGGGGACGGGTAGGCCGGGAGGTCTCACGGGCGTTGTTGCCTGTGTTGTTACCTATATCCTCAATAGTCTCCACAGTGGGTTGTTCGGTCTCCCTAGTGGGCGGGTCGGCGGGGGGCTCGGTGGTCACGGCGGGTGCGGTAGCGGGACCCGCGGAAGCCGCGGCAGCGGCAGCCAGGGTCTCCAGAGGAGTGAAGTGAGGGCTTTGATCTTGAGTTTCTTTGTCACCATCGTGGCCATTGCTGCCAGGCGCGGTCGTGGCAGGTCTAGCAGCCATGATGATATGCAGCAACAGGAGGAAATCACTGGTTGAAAGTGAGTGAGGAATAAGAATTGGCAAGTAAAGAATAACGTGAAAATACGGGGACCCGATCAAATGAGGCAAGCACCGTTGGGCGCCGAGACCGAAGGGTCGCATTTTGATCGCAGTCTACCCTTTCTCCGTTATTTATAAGACTAAAACGTGTCGCTATCGCTGTCGCAAGACCATGTTTCCCTCTCTTTGTTTCTATACTCCTGGTTGGCTGGCTAATATGCACGCCAGTCCTGGAACGGTTAGCGTAGCAGCGTTTACACTAATCCCAATTAGGAAGTTGACATCCCGCATTGGTTTCGACATCATGTCTGCCCACTCACTCTTGTCAGACGTCCCTTCTTTCGAACATTCACCTTCACTGTTTATATTCTTGTATTTTTACACTAAAACACAAAATGATCACAAATCGCCCCGCTACTCTGGCTGATATCCCCCAAGTTCGCGATATCAACCACTGGTACATTGTTAACAGCTGTTCCACTTTTGCGACTACCCCACCACCGATATCCCACTATGAGGACATCCTTCGGGATCTGATGAGAAGAAACCTGCCATTTTATGTCGTCGTATCTGACACGCGGAAGACACCAGACGGAGCAGATTTAATTCTTGGCTACGCTTACTTGTCTCCTTTCCGTGGTCATTTGCTGTCCTATGCACCGACCGTTGAGATGTCCATCTTCATGCGCTATGATCAGCAGCAATATGGCTATGGAACAATTATTCTTAGAAAGCTATTGCGATTGGTGCAGGAGGGTGAAGTTGAGCACCGCTGCGAGGAAAGAGTGGGCGATATTCCACGAATTGGGTTTGGTACCTCTATGGGTGTCATGAAGACTTCTCTTGTTCAGAATATCATTGCCATCGTACCGTATGACACTGAGGATCCAATTGATGGGGAGAGGCTGAGGAAATGGTACATGAAATGGGGATTTATCGAGAAAGGGCAATTGGAGAACGTTGGACGAAAGATGGGTCATTGGTGAGTCGTTTATTACATCGTTGGACTGATGGATTTGACCAGCTGATAGCGTTTTCTAGGATTGATACTGTCTATCTTCAATGGACAATGCCAGAGCAAACGGATAGTGATTGACTTGGAGTCAGCGAACATTATCTGACTCAATGGACAAACAAAACGGCTTAGGCAGAGACGGGAGTGAACATTCACATTCAAAAACTAGGCTAGTCAGATTGCTCAGATATCACCAATGGATGGAAAATGGCCGGCGTAGTTCCCCCATATTACTTCCATGTCACCCTCATGAACCACACCCAGCTCGGAACCCGCGAGAGCACTCAAACGGCACCAAATCTCGTAGGTCCAACACTGTAGAACTTAAAGTGATCAATTAGTAAGCACCCAGAGGCTGAGAACAGAGAAGAACGTACCCATCTACTTCCTAGAAGGATGATTGGTGGCCCTTGTTGAAAGCATCAAGGATACCGTCGACAATAATGTGGAACTCCTTGTAGGCCATACTGCCAGAGTCAATCTGGCCGTTGATGTAGTGGTACAGGTCAGGCATCTCTTCCTTAAGGTCGTCAAGCATCAACTTAGTAGCAGCATACCAGCTGACACCGGGGTTCAGTTGATCGCAGATAAGAACTTGAGCATGCCAGGCGGTAACATAGGTACCAATCGAGTGGAACTGGTGGCGTCGCAGGGACCACAGCTTGGTGAATTCCTTGGACCACATGTTGTTTTCGTCAGTCGACTGCGATTTGGTGATAGCGAGGTAGGTTTCGTCAGCCAGCTCAAGGCGAGGGCGGATAGATTGGATGATAGCAGCATACTCCTCTTCCACATTAAGTACCAGCCACTTAGTGACGAGCCGGGACCATTTCAGCCAGTTCGCATAGTAGATGTGGCCGACGGTGGGTTTGGGAAGATATTGGCTAATGACAGCCAAAAGGTTGAGGCTTCCAAGGGCGAGCTGGACATCGGTTTGCCAGTACTTGAAGTCCCAGATCTTGGACAGCTTCTTGATGTTTGGGATGGTGATTTCTTCGAATGGTGGCAGGTCGTCTGCTTGGGTTCGGTTAGGGGTGGAACGTTCCATCGGACTGATGGCTTGAGTGGAAGACATGATGAGAGAGAAAAATGATGGAATGTGGATGAAAGGAGGTTGATGCAGATGAAAGGAAAGGTACGAGAAAGGAGAATAATGATGGGAGAGGGAGAGGGTGATTGTGGTTGTCAGTAACGTGATGTATTAGAAGACGAAGCTATACTCGCTTGGGACCTCCAAGCTTCACTCATCAGATTTCCCATTTGCAATAACCACTGTCTCACTCGTTCCTTCCTCTCTGGCTCGCTGTACCGTCGCAGAATACCTCTTTCCGGCAATGAACCACCAAGCAAGCTCAATGCTCAAGAAGCCGCCTACAACAACGCAGGTATAGTTCATGTTTGATACTGCGTGGTTGTTAGCACATAGCTTGGGCAAAATACTAGGTAGATGGAAAATTGCAGCACATACCAGTTACCGGCATCTGGTACGGGAACGAGAAAAAGACAATGGCAAACACTAGCCACGCCACAGAGATGATGTTCACGGTCATTCCTACCGTCTGGCCCATGAAGAATGGCCCACGGTGCATAGTCCGGCGGAATAGGAGAACATTCGTCAGGATAGGCACAAGGTAGGCCAGATTGTTGATTGTCCTATATCCATGTTAGTACCAAGCCCTTGCTAACTGCTTTGTAGTACGCGGAAAACCTACACCGCAGAGCTCATCATTGAGTTGAACGCCGTGGTTGATCCCAGATATATGCAGCCAAGAAGGGCAACAATCACGGTAACGCAGAGCTGCGCATTGAATGGCGCGCCTAGCTTGTTGTTGACGCGGGCCCATATATTCGACAAAGGCAAACCCTCGTCGCGGGCAAAGGCCCAGAATACTCGCCCAGTACCTATCAAAGTCAGAAGGGGGGTAGTCTTTGATGAATGAACAAGCACTACTCACTCAACTGCGAACCGATGACACAGGGTCCGAGAGCAATCCACACCATGAACACAAGCCCGAATGCTCCACCTCTTGTAGAGGTTGCCTGCCAAAAGAGCTCGGCAAGAGGAAGTCCAGTATGTGTGTCAGCCAAGCTGCCATAATTTTGAACTGAAAACATTAAGCTGAGCAGATATGATAGTCCAGTCACGAATGCAATTGTTAGGGTGATGGCTATCGATGCATACAGTTAGCCAGACTTTCGATGCAAGCAACCGTATCACAGAACTAACCTAGACCCAAAGGGGCATTCCTCCCGGGCTATAAAACACTGGTTAGTACAATACACAAGATTTTGTGTGTCTGATCTACACCAACTTACATTGGGCATTTCTTCTGTGATGTGCTATGGTACCGTCAGCAGCTGCGTTCAACTGGGCACCTTGAGAATAGGTACAACTTACCGAGATCCCATCCAGACCTCCAAGTGAGTACATTGGATTGACTAGTCCGGTGATGAAGCAGATAACATTGTTGTCCCAGCCGGTTTCGTTGATCCAGGTGCGAAACACGAACTTGCTGTCATTATGAAGTGGCGCTTTGGCGGCCACGACAACCATGGTAATAAACCAGGCCAATTGCAGGTAGACCACTGACACTCATTAGTGATTGAACCATGCAGGAAGAAGAGCCGACTTACATGAAAACTTGTTGATTGTCGGAATAAACCGATTCCCGAACATGACCACTCCGGCAGTCAGGATATTGAGGATTTGGTAGGCGACAAAAGTCATCCACGGTTGAACCACCAGGCCATCATGGTAAAGCGCAATCAGTGCCATGGCCGTTGTGGCATAAATCAAATTGGTCGATGCAGTTGTAAAGATCCCTAGGAGTCATCAGCTGCATGCCAAGACTTTTGATTTTGGGGCCAACTCACACCCAAATACAGTGCACCACCCAGTGGCAAAGCTGAGCAAGCTATTATATCGTTTGGGAGCAATCGCGGCGATCCAATGGTACATTCCTCCTTCCGTGGGGTACGCTGATACAAATTCTGCCAGTGAAGCCCCGACGAATGATTGGAGGATAAAAACGAGGATGAAACCATATATCACTAGAGCCCGGTCAATTACTGGCTTCCTTGCGATCGATATGGAATGGAGACTCACGGGCGCCAGGACCACCTGCATTGATCGCAGTCATTAAACCCAAGCCGAGGCCTATTATCATGTGAGTGAAATGTTGAGCGATTGCATGAACCCAACTAACCTGTCCATGAAATTGTACAATTCGCCGCCAGTCCAATCAAACTCCAAAGTGAGAAATGTCGCTCCAACTCCTGTTTATGCCCTGCATTGCGGTCAATATCATACCTCTCAATCGCACGGAATTGGAAACCTACCCATTTGGGCCAACCGCAGCTCGTCCTCATTCTGCACCCTCATAACCTCGGTCCCTTTTCGATCTCCAAGGCTTCCGACCGGCGCAGAGGCAGATATAATCTCAGGGCCGCTCATAATGGACGCAGAATCGTATGTCGCTCACGGTAGGAGGTGGGTGTCAACAAAAACAAGAAAAAAGGGGTGAACGTGAAGAACAAATTCTGCGCGACGACTTAAGTACGATCATGTTACCTCCGCGTGATGATCCTACAGCTCTTATCGTGTCCGGGAAACCTGAAAGGAATCACCGGGTTCACCGACAGTGACCCGACAGGATAGCCGGGGAGAAGGCGACGTATCAGCGCGAGGAATTGCGCCAAGACGCGGTGCGCCCCGCCGGCGATCCCGAGCTCTTCGCCGGTGCAAAACGTGGGGATGGCGGGAATCCGCTCTCGTGTCTGCTTTATGCACATGTCGTTGTAACCCCATTTAGCCTTGGCAAAGTATAAGCTTGCGCTAAGGCTTTGAGGTGACATGCTTGTGTTGGATGGGTTGTCTAATTCATGTTTGGAGATTGTGCCCGGCTTGGACTTCCGGAAGGATTGCACAAGGAAGGTTGCGACGACATAATCAAAGCATTACCGACGACTAATTGTGCGGTTTACGACCTTAACGACATAAGCGACCATGATCATGTGGTCCCAACTCTAGCCCTGGAGGCCCTTGGCGACGACTAAGCGCGCAGTTTTTCCTGCAGGTGGATGAACCACGTTATCTCCTTTTAGCGACCCTATCACCTGAAAGACGAGTACCTCATATAAGTAAGGGCGTAGTTTGTTCCAGAGTCACCAGCCCAAAAACCCTAAAGGTACCTAGGGACATATGTATATGTGATTCCATGGTATGCGAATGTTCCATCCATGGTTCAGATAGAATTTACTAGCCTAGGGCTGATTTGCTTGCACTGCACTCGGACACCACAACTATAGGAACTACAATTGTATCATGCGAATACGTGATAAGAATCCCATGTATTGAGAGTATATGGGAAGGTCTGGTAGCACGAAATGCCATGCAAAATTAATCCCCATATTTTGCAGAAGAAGAAAGTAAACGACAAATTTTGTCTATGACCTGATAAATATAGCACACCTATACAACAATAAATGATGTATGACGTATTTAGAACACAATCCCTGAGTACCGAGGACATGAAAGATAACTACCATTTTACACGTACATGTAGCTTTTGAGGCTTGTTTATGCCTCAGGACGACCTCTGGTTCTCTCAGCATGGATTCTCCCCTTGTCCCCTCTCTGTCGGACTGCATAGCGACCTCTAGGGTCGTTGGTCCTATTCGCCTTTATTGCCAGCAGAAAATCGCCCATCAACTTGAAGTTCTAACTTATCATCCATGGTTAGTGTAATGATTGATTAAATAAGCACTTCGACTCAGGTCCCCAAGAGTACACAACGATGGATATCACGGTCAGAGTGACGCCACTGTCGGCCATCGTACAATCTCTTCTTACCACGCCCTCCGCAAACCATCGTATTGCCCCACAAGTCTGTTTCCAGGGCGTCGTGACTAAGGAACTTACGAAAACATCTTCCATCCATAATATGCGGTCCGAGCTTCTCACGCCGGTTCCCGTCGGCATTGACGTTGTCGGCAACGATGGCGGCCTCGAAATGGTTAGGGAACTACGGGCACTTAAGGATCTGACTCTGCGACAAGATCGTCAAGTAGCAGAAATCCAGACACATCTAAATCAGCAAAAGAACTTCGTCCGAGCCAGTCACCATCACAACACTCACCCGTGGGGCTATCCTAGATGAGTGGGCCCACATCCTATACGACCGATCGGAACGCAATATAGCCGTGCACGGCGGAAATATTATCCTTGACATGATATTACCGCTATTACCGATGTGGACTTGGTTGATCCTCACCGCGCTACCCAATGGAAGCACCAGTTCCTCCGACATTACAACATCTCAGAAGATATTAAAAGCGCATCTAGAATTGGATGTGCCCTAATCGGCTGCGAGACCGACAAATAACTTAAGGGTAGTGCAACCTCTAGAAAGAAAAGCAAAAAGGAGACACATGACAGTTCCGTGAAGGGTTGTCTTATACTATTTCAAGAATTATACTTCCCTGTGGTTGTTTCTGGTGATTCCTCGGAGATAAAACCAATTACAATGTGCTGATTGGCGAGATCAAGATGAAATACATTGCCCCATAATTCTTCAGAGCCCCTCCAAAAAAAAAAGTCAAAGACGAGCCCCTTAAACGATAAACTATGAATGTGCAGATCTCCAAGAATGGAACTCAAATGCCAAGACCATCCATGGATTATTGGAGCTGTTACATCATTGAGCTGTTTGACTTTGTGATGCAGAACGTATTTCGGGACCTGAAGATCGACCGATCGATCAGATCGAGCCTGGAAATTGTAAGGTTGCCGATCATTTCCCAACAGCTTGGGGCATCCAGGGCAATTTGCGCTTAAAAGATGGGATTCATTCGTCCTCGTTTCACCAGAATTATGGGCGACTACCGAAAAAATAGAAAACTGCCGATCAGCCTCGTGGGCTCGCGATCTAATCATGAATGATCTCATTGTTCTTTTTAAAAGACCTGAGGCCTGAGCACAAACCCGATCTCGATTTCGATCCCTCGCTTCAAATAGTCACGTCAGGCCATGGAACCGCCATCAATCCCAGATAATCGTCCTCACAAGAGACATTCCGCCATGTCTTCTACGCCCACTATTGTTGAGCCGGGCGACTTTAACGCGCATTTCAAAACCTCGGCCCATAATTACTCACGCTCGCATTCCCCAGCACAAGCATATGAACCGCTAGCGTTTGGCCAGCCGGCCATCGGGAGACCGCCCGTGGGATCGCAAGAGAGATCGATGCCTGGATTCAATACCAATGGTTGCTCTAATGGCAATTATAATGGCGAGAAACCTTCACGCAAACCCTCCATCGACCAGGAATCAGTCGCAGATTCAGTTGCGACCCTAGATCTGGGCTATCACGCTATCGGCCAGCCACCACGACGGAACGAGAAACACTCCTCAACCTCAACAGGCAATCAAAGCTTTGACCAGCGATCTCTCAGCGCCCTCTCTTTGGATCAACAGTCTGTCGGAAACCAATCGCTAGGCCACCATTCTATAGGTGGGCCACCGGGTGGCTATCTCTCGTAAGACCAAAGAGTTCCAATCCCCAAATTCTTTGCTAATGATGCAGATCACCGACTTCCCCCACTCGCGATGTCCACTCGTCTGCCTCAAACAGGTCCCTACAACGCAACTTTATTGCCAACGAACTCCCGGTTCTTCAGCAGACGAATCCCAATGAGGGCTCTGAGCAATTCAACCCCATCATTGAAGAAAATGAGGAAGCATCTTTTGATCTGGTCGCTCCATACGAGGACGATGCAGCCCCACTACATACTCTGGAGCGACAAGCGGACCTCATGTTCTGCTCGGACCATATGCTAGCGATTCTGAGCAATCCGCGCTACCTCGCGCGCTTCCGCGAGTTTCTCGCCCAGGAGCGTCCACGGTCATTTTCGACCCTGACTTATTATCTGAATGCTTCTAAATCTCTCAAAGCAATTCAGTATGCTAATGCGCTCGTGCGTTTGTCTGTCGATGTGCCTACATCCGGTATTGAAACTGCAGAGCACCCCATTGGCCCGACTGTAAATATCGCCCTTGAACAGCGCGTGCAGGCAGCCCTGAATGCTTTGACGGCCGAGGAATTACCTGCTTTCATTACCTCGACCTGTATCAACATTACCGGCAAGGTAGTCGAGGAGCGCGTGCGCGGAACCTTGCCCGATAAGTTCCAGGGAACGGCAGATGCACTGGCTGAGGTATTCTGTCTGACTGATCCATCGAGGCCAGACAATCCTATTATCTTTGCTTCTGGGGGTATGTCTGTGGTTACTCCACACTGTGCATACAAAATTGGCTAATGCGGTATCTAGAATTCCACCGCACCACACAATATGGCATGGACTACGTCCTAGGGCGAAACTGTCGATTCTTGCAAGGACCAAAGACGAATCCCAACAGTGTTCGACGAATCCGCGAAGCGCTCAAAGCTGGGCGACACCACTCCGAGCTTTTCCTAAACTAGTAAGTGCCTTTAACCTTTTTGACTCTGCAAAGCTAATCCGGAAAAACAGTCGCCGCGATGGCTCACCGTTTATGAACCTTCTTCAAATGGCTCCGCTATGCGACAGCCGCGGCAACATCCGCTACTTTATAGGCGCTCAGATCGACGTCTCCGGACTCGCAATGGAAGGTGCACAAATGGAATCCCTCCAAAATATCAAAGCGCAGAAGGAAAACCCAGAGACAGGCGGCCAAATAACTAAAGAATCAAAGAGCGAGTTCCAAGAACTTGGCGAACTGCTCAGTCCCCGCGAGCTGCAGAACGTGCGCGAGCACGGCGGAAACCTTTTCCAGCCGATCGTCAACGAAGATGCCAACCACCGTCTATTCCTACAAGACTCCGACACCGAGAGCGAGATACACACCCCATCCCAAGGACCACCGAACCCCAACCCCACACCGGGCCCGGCTCCTAGTCCGTCCTTGACTGGTGTCTACAGACACGTATGTTCCTCATTTCTCCCATACCTGGATATGTTCCAGAAAACTAACAGAAGTCCTACTAGTACCTCCTCGTCCGCCCGTACCCTTCCCTCCGCATCCTCTTCACCTCCCCCTCCCTCCAAATCCCAGGCATGCTCCAATCCTCATTCCTAAACCGCATAGGCGAGACCGGCACGAAACGCGATAATATCATCAACGCCATGATGGCCGGGCGAAGCGTCACGGCGCGCATCAAGTGGATGACAAAGTTCAACGACCAGGGCCGTCATCGCTGGATCCACTGTACGCCCTTGCTGGCGAATAACGGGCAGATCGGTGTGTGGATGGTTATTGTTATTGATGATGATGAGGAACATTCGGTTAGATGGCAGGGTAATTGGCCGACTACTTATTAGATGGTCCTGTCAAAGCATTTGTATATGTATTCTATATTTTATCTGCATAAATCTGGATTTCGTGGCGATGCCAATTTATTTGAGTTCCACCTGGGTTTGGAATGCGCTAGCCTTTATATGGATTAGTGCGTAGCTTAAATGGCCTGGTTGGTTTCCCAATTGGGCGGAAGGTGTCTCTAGGCTCGAGATGCACTTTCTAAAGCTGGACCAATTGACTTGGCGCATATCATAGTGATTTGGTTCATTGCATTTGAAGTTCCTAGGTCCTGCTTCCACCGAAAACGGACGAGGTCAAGTGATGCTCATATCAAATAAACTTTCGGAAACCCAACCCCAGATATGTTGATGTCATCGCCCAAACAATCCAACAAATATGTATCTAACCTCACACTCTCCTTCGGGGTTGACATCCTAGCATGAAAAATATATAACTCACGATGATTACCTGGCGTTCGATCGCCCGCACGTTCCAAAGGGTTTGTACAATCCCCCAGAGTTGATCTGAAACATATTAACCATATTGCAGCACCATGCGCCGCTCAGAGCCCAAGTACGGCAGCTGAGTCTGCTTGAACATCATTCCCACAAACTACTCAAAGAAGTAAGATATCCCTTCATGCAAGGCAGCTTCAAAGCTTATACAGCCCAGTTCAAACTACCAGTTCCACTGGGATTCCTAGTTACAACCCCAGAGCAAGCCAAGGATGTTGTCTCCGAGATGAGTAAGTCAAAACCATCCCCTCCAAGTTCTCTGTTCTACCGAAACCTAACATCCCAGCATATGGACCCTCAATGATAAAAGCCCAAGTCCTCGCAGGCGGGCGTGGTAAAGGCAAATTCAACAGCGACGGGAAAAGCGGCGTCCGACTAGTCGACTCGTGAGTCCTCCCGCCAAACCAAGTCCCATCCCAATCCCAAATGATCACCGAGCCCAAATCTAACTCACCCAGGCCAAGCGAAGCCTTCCAAAGCGCCACCAACATGCTCGGATACTACCTAACCACAGCACAAACCCCTAAAGATGGACTCCGCGTCGACTCGCTCTACATCTACAAAGCCGTATCCATCGCACAGGAATTCTATTTCGCAATGACATTCGACCGACAACGCAGCTCACCCGTGCTACTAGTCTCCTCATCGGGTGGAACCAACATCGAGTCGAACGTAGACAGCCTGCACAAAATCTGGTTCGGACTGTCGACCGGCATCACCGACGAGATCCACGCGTATATCCAAGCCGAGCTTGGATTCTCGGATGTCGAGATGAAGGATATACACCGGATCCTGGTGCAGATGGTTAAGTTGTTCAAGCAGAAAGATGCCACGCTGCTTGAGTTGAATCCGCTGGTGCGCACGGAGGAAGGGGAATTTGTTTGTCTGGATGCTAAGTTTGGGTTTGATAATGCGGCGCGGTATAGACAGCAGGGGATTTTTGCGTTGGAGGAGAGGTCGCCAGAACAGGAGGAGGAACATCAGTTGGCAAAATTGGGGCTTAATTATGTGCGGCTTGATGGGAATATTGGGAATATTGTTAATGGGGCTGGGTTGGCGATGGCGACTAATGATCTTATTGGTTTGTTAGGTGGAAAATGTGCTAACTTTTTGGATGTTGGCGGTGCGGCGACGAAGGAGGCTTTGTCAAAGGCTTTTGGGGTTTTGAAGAATGATCCCAGGGTTAAGGGGATTTTGATCAATATCTATGGTGGTGAGTATTCATGTAAACGGTGGGAAAATGGAATAGCTGATCGGTGATAGGAATTGTGCGATGTGATATGATTGCCGAGGCGATTATTGCCGCTGCTGCTGAGATGGGTGGTTTTAAATGTCCTGTTGTGGTTCGGTTACAGGGTACTAATTCCGAAAAGGGGTTGAAGCTGGTCAGTAAAGCTGTCGAGTTGTTGTAGTATTCGCTAATTCCCATTATAGATCGAAGAGTCTGGGTTGGATAACGTGGTTGTAGAACCCGAGTTTGAGGAAGCTGCTCAGATGATTGTGAAGCTAACACCCGGGGTTGAATCGTAACAAATTGATTCATAAATCGCAAAATAGCCACAGATTCTGTTACTATATACGTGTGAAATCATGTCGTATTAACAGGACTAAAAACAAATAAATGCAAATAAATCATCATCCAAAGTGGAAACTCGCTATCGGAAAAAAGGACCCATCAAAGCAGAAATTAGCAGTATTCCAATGCAAGGCAGCATGGCTGGTTTAAATCTCAGGGGTCTTAATTGCCAACTTGGCCATTTCTTCCTCCACCGTAGGCTTCCTAGCCCAGACTCGGCGACTAAACACGATCAGCAAATATAACCTCCCAGGGTACTCATATGATCAACTCACGCATATTCATAAGCATGTGTACGAGGATTCCTCAACTCAGCCCGAACCTTGGCCAAATACACCTGGACCTCCTCTTTAGTCCAAGGAGTGGGTGCACCGAACTTGGTGAGCAGCCACATAGCCCAGCCCTCCAACGCAGCAACCCAGTGGGCGTATTGAAGCTGACCAACCTCCTTGAGAATCTTATCTTTCGGCCACGGCCCCAAAGGAACCTTGTATAGCTTTTCGTGTACATCGACAAAACCAGCCTTTTCCATTGCGCCTCGCATTGTCTCCTGCGTTAGGAGGGAGCGGCCGGCTCTCTCGGAGCAGCCAATGAAATTATCTCCCCATGTGGCTAGAGTACCGCCTTCTTGCAGGGTGCCGTCATCGCTGTATACTCGCACATCTAATTCGATCTGTTCGATCCAGCCGCCTGGGGTCAGAGCGCTGGATATCATAGTGGTTAGATACAGGTGTTCGGTAGGTAAAGGGAAAAGTGTGGATAAGGGACCCACTCATAGCACTGCTTGTATAATTGATCCCATCCCTCGGGTGTGAATGCTCCCAGCATTAGACGCATGTGGATAAAATCGAATGGCTCTCTCCAGGTCCACTCACGGAGGACATCGTCTACTTCGAGTAGGCAGTTGGGTGGCATCCATGTCACGGGAGGGGGAAATATGTCGACGCCACGGACAGTTGCTGACACTTGTTAGACTGTCACAATAGGAGAAACGGAAAGAAAGGGTATGTACCAGATGAATACATATCTGCCATATCACTGGGTGAATGTAAGCGAGATTCCACCGAGGACAATGGGTCGGGAACTTACACAGCCCATGTTCCTTTACCAGTCCCAATATCCAGAATATGCTGGAATTTATTCTCAGCAAGGGGTGCGTATCCAAAGTCTAGATGGCTCTCTCACCTGAGGAGATTTGCCGATGGGAGCGTGGTGAAGAGGGTTTTCTCGTTCATGGTCTAACACCAGAAACATCATATGACTGAATATCACCCATAAGCTGTTGCTTGGACCAGACGGAAAGACAAGAAGAAAACGAGTATTTACCCAATTTCGAAAGCCTCGAATTGCTGTTCATCGGAAGGACTCCTGTATGATATGATTAGCCTTGAGTCTCCCACATTGAAGCATTGCGACCGACCAATAGTCATCTTCCTTCATAGCCTGATATCTGCTCGTACTATTAGCAAGGGCGCATGCCTGCACTGCTTCTGTTGGTTCAATCACCGTCTGCCATTTTCTAACCGACCCTTCGCAATAGACGAGGCGATAGATGTAGTTTCCCTGAGACGGTTAAAAGGCAAAACGCCGTGGAAATCGTTTTGGTACTCACGACTGGAAGTCTTCGGGCTCCCACTCTTGGGTCAGAGTGTAGTAATTGGAATCCTGGCAATGTTAGCTATGATATTAGCAACTATAACTTAATAACTCACAACAACAATCTTTTCCGCCATCTTTTTGGGTTTTGGACTAGAAAGAGAAAAAACGTGGCAAGTGGAAATGACAAGGGGCGGGGGGATGTCGGGTGCATCCGGCCAAGCTACATAAGACATATAGTTTCAACGGTGTACTTATGTTAGGGTTATGGATATTATGTACATTTCATGTATATTATAGCGCATCTCCTTCTATATTTGGTAGCTGGGTGTGGGCCGAGGGCCGTGTCAGGTGTCGGATGATCCCCTATCAACCTTGGAAGGTTGAAGGTGCAAGTTATGTACTGTACCTGGTAAAGAGATATCGATTGCATCGTTGATTCTCATAATTCCACTGAAAAGCAACCGAGATTCCGTACAAATGGACCGTCGCACCAATTACCACTGAGATGTGGAATATCTGGCAAGATGACCCCAAACGTCAAAGCTTCCGGGTCTACACGACTCCGGGAAATGTGTCTGCCACCAATCAGTATGATCCAGTGTCAGCTCGTTCTGGGAAAATAACGCACCGCGTAAAATAAGACTCCAATCACGATGACGAATCCTTCAAGATAGTAATATCGCAATCCTGCTTGTTGATCTAGCTGCTTATAAGGGAGGATGCTCGCAGCCTGGATGATAGGAGCAAATGCCGAAAACCCTGTCGTCAAAAACGTTGCTAATCGCAATAGTCTCCACTTTTGGCTTTGAAGGCGGGAATGCACCACGACAAATCCACTCATGAAGCCCAGAGTGCCAATCTAATAATGTTAGTTTGATGACGCGATGGAATAGTGAAAGAATTGTAGCGAACCATCGACCAATAAAGCTTTTGTAGCAGTGGTTCACAGTATAATCCAATATATATCTCTGAAATGAACGAACTAAGAATGTGAAATACAATAGTAACATAGTCCAAGCGACCCCATAGATCGGTGAAATGGGCGGAATGACAATGGAAAGTATGATATGCAGACGAAATACCGAAATAAATCACCGAAGTTGTCAAGTAGATATGAAAAACAAGCTGATCAGCCCAGGTAGCCTCCGGGAAAGATATCGAGAAATAAAGATAGAGGACTCCATTGTCCAACAATGCTATAACGGCCGGGACTAGATAGGGATAAACATTCAGTTTCGTTGTGAAGGTACAGTAGGCTCTTCAGACACAGAGAGGTTGATGGTGTCACTGGCCTATGACGGGTCAGAATGTACTGGTTATGGCTATACCACGGAGGAACTTCATCATCAGCGTCCGCTCGGCAGGCGACAACCGTTTGAGTAGTGCTATCTCTCAACTTTGTCGTTTTTGTTTTAATGATATCCCAAGTAAATGGAAATTTGCAGGTACGAGCGAGAACAGGATCTTTGTGGGATGGCAGAGCATCGTGAGCCGCCGCAGTAGCCTAGCCCCAAGCTCACCCTGTTCGGCCGCATAAGTCTTGTTGCTAACAGTTGACTGTGATTGGTCGCGAGGGCGGGCGTGTCGCTATTGTATCTCAAGATTGATGGAGTCCAACTATGTTCATCACGCTCTTGGACAATATGGGATTTAGATGTGATTCAAACATCTAGGAAGCGCGGCCCAGCTATACCCGCCCTTGGTATCATTGCTGTTATTCTTTTGGTTCCAGTGCCTGTACTATCTTTCAAGCGACATTAGGACAAGAGGCTAAAAGAACATAGGAACCAGCAAGATTGGCGATCTTTTATGAACAAAATGCAGGTTTGTTTTTATTATGTTCATCGAAGTGTAGCAACTGTAATCCTGTGCGGAGGCATCATGGTTCCCCATCACGGTAGGGGCCCATAGTTCGAAGAGCACACTTCCTTGAATTCCACTTGATAAAGTGCCCATATGGATTTCAAGAATGCGGCAAGATTGTTCAAGTGAACTCTAGGATTCCTCTTGTGATTGCACGGGCTAACTGCCGCACACATCACATTGTTGGTGATAACACTGATAACACCCTAGCGCATCGATTGTGTTTTCATCACAAGTTCCGACAAAGCGAGAGTGAGATATTTTATTCTGCTCAGCGCAGAATGTTGCTTCATGATAAATGGTTTCTGTTTCAGCATTTTCAGCACAGCCTTACCATCTTACTAAACTTGTGCTACATGTCTAACTTTCGTGGGACATAGCTTCCTTTCCAACCAGCATCACTATATTTTTAGTCGCTCAAAGTACTGCCTTGGTAAAACTAGTGGTTTTAGATTGTGCCGTTTGCTCGGCTACTTCTCGGGCAACCCCGACTTTTGGTCTTTGCAAAGGTACATGATCATCACGCGACCAAGTTGCACGAGCCCACGGGGTCCGGCGTATAATGCGTGCGATTGCCCGCATTGGGGCCATGGCGCTGCCAGCACAGAATTTTTAAGAGCCTCAATCATATGCATGAAACTGTCTGAAATTTTTAGGGAAAAGATCCCGCTAAGGCCCGTGCCATGATTCTAGAATTCTGCAATTGGCTTAGGGTAGATCGCTCTCTTCTAAGAATAAGATAGTTCATTACATAACGGTATCGTTACACAGAGTACCGTATTTGACGCGGAATTGACCGTTAGTTGATCACAGTCCTTTTCCCTGCCCTTAGTTGCAGGTCAAGACCTAAATGACCGTTGACATATGGCTGCAATGCGGGCAACGGAAGAGAACGGCGGGCGTTGAAACCGCACTTTATTTTCAATAATTCTGGCCCAAAGAGGATGAGAGTTTCCAACATAGCAGTATTCTACTCTCGCCTTGGAGCACGGTTAGTGAAGCCGTGGCCTGATGCAAGCACAAGCAATTCCTAATGCACAGCAAGATTGAGAATACTTAGCAAGTGAGTCCCCTTGTTTTATTTCTTCTCGGCTTCACTTGTTCGGAAGTGGCTGCTTAGAAATGATTGCTTCACCACACAACCGATCGAGTCGACTTGGTCCGAGCAAGAAACCAAAAGCGCCAGAAACAGTGTTGTCGTCATAAATCAACTCTGATGACAAAGTCATACGAATACAGTAAAATGTGCGATGCAGATAGATATCTGGGCATACGTCCCCGTGAGACGGGCCAGGTACATATTTTCTCGGCGGATTTTGGGCCTTTCTTGGCTCTCAGCTTGTATGTCTATGCAGTTTAATGGCCAATCCAATAATGTCAAAGAATGTACTAGACACGAGCTACCTCATTGCCCCTTCTTCTTCCCAGGCTTTCAACCCTCGTGTGCTTGCTCTGGCCTGACATAAGTGTCCCCGAGCCGAAATTTTTTGGAAGTTGATTTGAGTTCTAAATTGCTTCTTGAATTTTGAGACGAGCGTGTCTTGATTCCGATCTTCGCGGTGCATGACGAGGGCGATGAATGATTGGTCCTATTAGCGCCGCTAAACCTGCGTCCGTATCACACCCCTCGCGCCTTCCCCTCTCGAGTGGGCCTTTAAAGGGAGTTCGACCTTGCACCACTGTCCACCGTTGCAACGAAATCACTACAACTGAAAAGAGCTTCACGGAACCTCCTCATCTTCTCGCTAAATGGATGGATTGTCGTCTGCAGCTAGCGTGATTGCGATCATTCAACTCGCGGGCAGTATTGTGAAGTTCTGCGGGGGCTACATTCAGGAGGTAAAGGATGCTCGAGATGAAATTTTCGAGCTACAGCGGACTGTTACAGACCTTGCAGGAGTTCTCCAGGAACTGAAAGTACTCCTTCAAGGTCCTAATGGCGCGAAGCTCTCCAGCTCTCACACCCTGAATGATCCTTTTACTAAATGCCATTTAACCCTCACATCCTTGGAAGCGACGGTAGATCCAGGTAAGGGTAAGAGAGTGATGAAGAAATTGGGGTTTCGAGCATGGAAGTGGCCACTTGATCGCATAGAGGTGAAAGAAATTATCGAGGATCTTGAAAGATATAAGTCGTCTTTCACCTTGTCCTTGGCGATTGATCAAACGTTCGTCTTCCAAGATGTGTTTAGTTATTGGCGGCTAGCTCATTTCTACTTAGAGCCCTCCTCGCTGATATAAACCAAACCACCGACCGCCTACATTGCAACATGGACCTAAAGCAGTTGTCAGTTGCACACAATGCTGTATTCGACTCGAACGCGAACCAGTATGAAGATGATTGTCTTCCAGGCACAAGAGGACACATGCTCCGCCAAGTTGAGGAATGGGCTACATCGCCGCAAGGAAAATGCATTTTTTGGTTGAACGGTAGAGCTGGGACCGGAAAGTCGACTATCGCACGAACGGTAACAAAGGCTTTCAGCAAATCGAATTTACTTGGTGCAAGCTTCTTCTTTAAAAGGGGTGAAGCGGACCGAGGTCATGCGGCGAAGCTTTTTCCAACAATTGCAAGACAGTTGGCGAGGAACATTCCTCAACTGATACCCGGTATCCAAAAGGCAATTCATGACGACTCTGAAATCTCAACAAAAGGATTAAAGGAGCAATTTGATAAATTACTCCTTAAGCCACTACTCAGCTTGAACGTATCCATCCTCCCAATCCTAACTGCGGTGATAGTGATTGATGCACTAGACGAGTGTGAAGTGGAAAACGACATGACGCTTATTCTTCAACTGCTTCCGCTTCTACAGAAATCGAGCACTATATGTTTGCGGCTTTTTATAACTAGTAGGCCTGATCTACCAATACGTCAGGGGTTTTCAAGGATTGCGAACTATAATTATGAAGTTCTGGTTCTCCATGAGGTTCCTGACAGTGAGATAAAGAGCGACATATCTTTATTTTTACAGCACCGGCTTGCAGAGATTAAGGCGGAGCGCTCTATGCCTGTCGACTGGCCGACAAGTACCGATTTTCATAATCTGGTGACTTTATCGGTCCCATTGTTCATTTTCGCCGCTACTGCCTGCCGTTTATTTCAGGACCCTCATTGGGATCCAGTGAACAGCCTGGCTGACATCCTTGGATATCGAAATGAGGGATCTAAGCTAGAAGGGATGTACGTGCCTATCCTCAATCGGCTTCTGCAGAAACAAAGTAAGAAGCAGGAAAAGCAGCTGGTTCAAGAGTTCCGAGAGGTAGTTGGAACAATCATGATGCTCGAGACCCCACTCTCAGTCAACACACTTTCAAGGCTTATTGGTCTCCCCGAGAGGCTGGTTTATCTACGGCTGAGCCCATTACAATCGGTTTTGAGTGTACCAGAAGATGAGGCATTACCGGTACGGCTCTTTCACTTATCATTTCGAGATTTTCTTCTAGATCCCGAAACCAGCAAAAAGATCCCTTTCTGGGTAAATAGGAAAGACATACAACACTTATTGGCCACAAGATGCCTCTTTCTATGTTACGGTCTGAGAAGGAACATATGTGGATTGCAAAATGACGGAATTCTGCGTGCAGATATCGATCTTCAGACAGTCAACCATTACCTCTCTCCAGAGTTGCAATATTCCTGTCGCTATTGGGCACATCACCTAGTGAAAAGTAAAGACCTAGGTGCTGTTTTCGACGAAGCTTACGCCTTTCTCCAGCGCCACCTTTTGCACTGGATGGAAGCAATGAGCATACTAGGTCTAATTTCCGAAGTTTTGGGAACAATTAATTTGCTGCAGTCAGCCGTATATGTGCGCTACTCCGAACTTCATAAAATACTGCCTATGCTAATTGATATAGGGGGCAAAGTCTCATGAAATATTGGACTTTTTGCACGATGCAAAGCGTTTTTTTCTGAAAAATTGGCAAATAGCTGATGAGATGCCTCTCCAGTTGTATTGCGCTGGACTTGTGTTTGCACCAAAAAGTGCAATAATTCGGCAAAATTTCGACAAAGCGCTCCCTAGTTGGATCTGTAAGTTTCCAGACGTCGCAAAAACCTGGAGTGCAGAATTGCAGACTCTCGAGGGCCATATGGGTGCGGTTTACACGGTGGCATTTTCACTCGACAGTCGTCTGTTGGCTTCCGGCTCCTTGGATAAGACAATCAAACTATGGGATACTACCACTGGCTCTTTACAGCAGACTCTCGAGGGCCACTCAGACTCATGCAGGTCAGTCGTTTTCTCGCCTGACGGCCGTCAGCTGGCATCCGGGTCCTGTGATAAGACAATTAGACTGTGGGATACCGCCACTGGTGCTTTAAGGCAGATTTTCGAAGGACACTCGGATGCATGTAAGTCTGTGGCATTCTCGCCTGATGGCCGGCTCCTAGTATCTGGATCCGAGGATAAAACAGTTAGGCTCTGGAATTCAACCACAGCAGCCTTACAGATGAGCCTTCATGGTCATCGTGGTGCGGTCTACTCGGTGAAATTCTCGCCTGACGGCCATCTTCTGGCGTCTGGCTCCGAGGATGAGACAATAAAGATCTGGGAGCCTACTACAGGCGTCCTGCAGCAGACTCTAGAGGGTCATTCAGGTTGGGTATGTTCTCTGGCATTCTCCACCAATGGTCGTCTGTTGGCTTCCGGCTCCTGGGATAAGACAATCAAACTCTGGGATACCACCACAGGAATTATACAGCAAGTCCTGAATGGCCAAGATGGGTTTCAGTCTGTGGCTTTTTCATCCGACGACCGTACATTGGTATCTGGCTCCCTGGATAAGAAAATTCAGCTTTGGGATACCACCACAGGCGGCTTGCAACGTACTCTAACGGGCGATACAGTGGTGGTTCGTTCTGTGGCATTCTCACCCGACAGCCATCTCTTAGCATCTGGTTCCCAAGATGGGACAGTCAGGCTTTGGGATACAGCCACGGAGACTCCACACGAGGCACTTCAAAGTCCTTCAGATCGGATTCGGTCTATGACACTCTCCCCTGATGGCCGTCTTCTGGCACTCGGCTCAGACGATACGATAGTCAGGCTTCGGGATATATCCACAGAGACCACAATACAAACTCTTCGGGGCCATTTACATTGGATTTTGTCGGTGGTATTCTCGCCAGATGGCCGTCTTCTCGCATCCTGCTCGAACGAGACAATTAGGGTCTGGGATGTAGCAACAGGCGATCTACATCAGACTCTCAAGAGCGAATTAGGCGACTTTCGGAGCATTGCGTTCTCTGCCGACGGCCGACTCCTGGCATCTGGTTCCTGTGACAAGATGGTCCGAATTTGGGATGTTGCATCGGGCGGTCTGACACGGACTATCGGGGGTCATTCTGGTTGGGTGTGGGCTGTTGCCTTCTCCGCCAACGGTCATATAATAGCGTCCGGCTCGGATGATAAGACAGTTCGGCTCTGGAATGCTGCTACCGGAGCCCTACGGCAGACTCTTGAGGGTCATTCAGGCTGGGTTCGGTCTGTTGCTTTCTCCGCCAACAGTTATATCCTCGCGTCCGGCTCAGATGATAAGACAATCCGGCTCTGGGATATCGCCACAGGCGCCCTGCGTGAGACTGTGAATGTTGAGGGAACAGTTGTTGAGCTACAATTTTCAGATGATGGAACATACCTGATAACCAATCTCGGATGTATCAGTGTCCAGTCTAGATGTGTGGATCACATCTCCAAGCCGCTTCCCACAAATGCCCAGATATTTATACAGGGACTTCAGTGGATAACACTCCGAGGCATAAAGGCACTCTGGCTTCCTCCTGACTTTCGGCCCACCTGTTCGATGGTCAAAGACAAAACGCTTGTCCTCGGACATGAATCAGGGCGGATTTCAATAATAGAATTCAATTTATAGTATGCATCAATGGGATTTTTTTTTCTTCTTTTTTTTAAATAGCTGGATAGCCAGTTGTGACATGTGCGTAGTTTTGTCAGCAGATACGCCCGGTTCCTGGGTAAGTTCCCGTATAGCTTTCTGGTGTACCGCGCCGGTAGGGTGTCGTCAATTTTTCGTAGGTACCAGCCTTTGGTAGTCGACTTCCATTCTTGCCCCCATTGAGCTTGGATCCTATCGCGGATAAATGCGTTCTCCCTCGACAGCAGCGGCCAGAGGGATGGGTCTTGCCCGGTTGCGCAGCTTCCTTAGCGCGTCGATCCGCTGCATCGTTTCCGGTGTTTTCACAGTGTCCCGGCATCCACTGGAGGCGGAGCGTTATGTGTGCTGCCTGGACCTCGGTGGCTGCATGGAGGGTTGCAAGGACGATTCGCTGGCCCGATTTATTTCTTGCGTTTTGAATTGCTTGCAGAGCCGATCTGCTATCACAGAGTATTGTTGCGGTTGTGTGCCTACTGTTTCCCACGATTGAGCGTTGGTGAGCTAACTTGAACACTATGTTGACCGCGTAGAAGACGCCAATGAGTTCCGCTACATAAACCGACCAACGGTCCATCGGCCCCACCTGGATCTGCTGAGACTCCGTCACCTCATCGTCAGCGTTAAGTGCGACAATGGTAGTCCCCAGATGACCCTCGCTCCCGGAGGCGTCCGAGTAGACGACAATATCCGATGTGTCCCTCGCAGACTTTGCTCATTCTCTCGCTGTTTCTCGGTCACGCTCAAGCTCGATCACCGTAAAGGCGTCTGTACGCCACAAAGGCAACGGGCGTGGGTCAATCGTTTCCAGTTCGTTGAGCCTGTCGGCGTCCATGGTCTTCAAGGCTTCCGCTAGGGGGAAAGCGGGCGTATGATCCCACATTGTTTCTACGATTCTGGGCTCTTGATAGGGCACTCCAAATGGGATGGTCACGAGGTAGGGTGTGTAGTCTCGCTATGGTGCGCTGCGCTCGGTAGCGAAGACGGAGATGCGTGGGGAGTATGTGGGCTTCGACCTCCAGTGTTGTGGTTGCTACCGTTCTGAACGCTGATAGGATCCTGATCAACACGGTTCTCTGAACTGTGTTCAAGTGGCGGAGGTGAACTTTGTCCCGGAGCGGGTCATGCCAGACCGTCGATGCATAGTCTACGATGGGTGTGACACATGCTTGGTAGAGCTGTCGCATCTGTTCTGGCCGCAGGTGCCCAATGCATCGTGGCGGGGCCAATAGGGATATGCTTCTCAGACAGGGCAACGAGAAGTCGTTAGATAAATTGATTATTTTCTTACAGTGGTTTTTTTTTTTTTGGTAGGCCCGCAAATACTGTATCTATCGAAAGATAGTCCATCATGGCGGTGTCCATTACCTCCGGGTGGCTGCAGGCTCTAATACCTCACCATATGAACCCAAATGTAACCTCGACCGAGCAACAGGCATACATCATCTCAACTGTCAAATTAGTCAAGCTAGTCAGTCCGTGTAAATGGATCATCTGACTGAAGCATCCAAAAACACTGCCAAGATCGTTTGGGTAGTATTTCACGGGCACTACTCTATGATTCTTTTCGGAGAAATTAGCCCCCGCTTCCTTTGTTTGAGCCTCCGTGCCTCCTAGGTAGGCGAAGACTCTTATGACAAGCCCTTCAACTCCCCTAAGCGATGGGTCGCATGGGGCGCATGGGGCGCATCTTATCCCCCATGGTATGAGACATGCGTTGAATACCCTCGCGCTACAGATTTGTGCAGCAATAATACCCGACGACATGCACGAAGTACGCCTGAGCCACCGGAGAATGGGCTATATCCGGCTTCGCTTGGATCAATTTGTGTCATGGGTCGAGGCCCTGGTGCAGCAGGTGCAATTTCCACGGGCGCCCAAGCGGATAACCGGAATGAGCCGTTAGTGTTGATTCGCGAGAGGAAGGACTATACGAGCCCTTAAGGACATAAAGCCTTGGCTTCTACGGAGTAGACATCCATGGATGCAATCGAAGGATACATATATGTAGGGGGTGGTTGATAAGGTTTAACCACGTTGGCGTGTCGGGGGATTGGATTGGCATGCGCGGCAAATGTGGAAATTATGGCAATCGCAACGTGGAAACATGTGGGAAAAAACCTTGGGAGGACCCTGAAAAAGGTTTCAGAGGGAAAACGTTGATGGTTTCCTAGGCTATGCCCAAACGGGATTAGTATTTATGTGTCATCAGCCTCCAATAACATCTGCCTACAACATATCTGCCTAATTCAAGCCTTTTAATGAAGTTAATTACAAGTCAGCGCTAGCGACTGAACGTCGAACAATTGACTCGTCTCAGAGATCGCCAGGGGTACTTCCAAGGTTAGTAGGTTTTGGCTTATCAGTGTGAGGCTTAGATAGTGAGATCGCCCCCTGAATGTGCCCAGCCACCCCCCAGTGGACCTAAATTAGCTCAGGCAAAACCTACTGGCAAATCAAGACGCTTAGAAAGCACATCTAATAGCTCGGATCTGACGTTAAAATTTGGTCGGGTAAATATAAGAAAATGGGGATTCCCGGTTGATGTTCCTGCAAAACTCCCTCTACACAGTTACCAGTCACCATGAGGCAGTCGACGCCCATTCTCTGGGTTGTCCAGGCTTGCCTAATATGGCTGACATTGGTATCGGCATCACCTGCCATTTCTCCTGATAATCTTGTGTCTTCGGACTCCGATGTCTCTGCGCTTCAGGCCCGTGACACAAAACCGTTTCCGCTTCGAATTCTGCCGCTCGGTGCTTCTATTACCATGGGGTATAAATCGAAAGATGGAAATGGATATCGGAAATGGCTTCGACAGCAATTGCGCTATGCTGGGTGGGAGGTTGACATGATTGGCACCATGAAGAATGGTACCATGCATGATAATGTAAGTTACCCGGCTGTTATTATGCTTTGTCTTGTTTTTAAAAGAATATATTTTGACTCTTCCTAGGACCACGATGGGCACATAGGCTGGAGAATTGATCAAATAGCATCTCATGCCAAGCAGATCATCCCACAACAACCTAATCTAATCCTTCTCAAGTGGGTCTCCAAGTGCTGGTACAAACATCTCCTCTTCGCATGCTAACATATCCGCCACAGTGCTGGTACAAACGATGCTCTTCAAGATTACAAAATAAAGACCGCAGGAAAGCGGATGGACTCTCTCCTAACATACCTCTTCGACAACATCCCCAACACAACCATCATCCTATCAACCCTCACATACAATGGAAAGAAACCCCAATTGGCCACAGACATCAGCACGCAATACCTGGAACTTGCAGCGAAACGCCGAGCGCGAAAGGAAAGGCTCGTCGTAGCTGATATGAGCACCTTCATTAAGTGGAAGCAACTCGTGGATAAGATTCATCCGACAGACGCTGGCTACGAGGAAATGGCATCGGTGTGGTGGGCGGCCATTCAACAAGCCGAGAAAGAAGGCTTCCTCAGCGCGCCAGAGTCCACCTCTATAAGTAGTGGTACTATCAGCAAGGCGCGGGAAAAGGAACTCGATGATAGCACTGGTGATCCGAGTCTGCCTGCATACACGGCCCCGCCCCAGCCTACGAAAATTAGTAACGGGTCGTCTCGGTCCCGGCAGTGGCATATCTGGGCTGTTGCATTCCAGATGATTATGAGTACGTTCCCTGTTTCTCCCTTGTACGTCTTGGGCAAGACTAACTCTATCCAGTGTGCATTGGTTTCTCTTGTATATGACGGGAACCTTAAGAACAAAACATCAAAAATAATCAAAAACAATTCAAAACTTACTAAACCATCTTATCCCAAACCCCAACAGTCATACTAAATGCCACCTAGGTAGGTACCTAGGTATACAAACAAGGCCATGCCATACCTCAACCCCAACCAAACCAACCCCCCAAGCGCCATCCAACTAACCACGCCCTTCACAACCAAAACCCATTTAATAAAAGCAAAAGTCTTCCTCTCATTAACCCTCGGAAAAGCAACCGCAGGAACATCCCTCCCAAGAAAAGCACAAAGCGGCCCCCACCCATCCTCAGCCTTAAACTCCAAAACCTCCCTCCCACGCTCTCTAACAACACCCCTCACAAAATCATTATACCTATCATAAATATCCGCAGAAAAGATATCCTCCTCCCCAAACCTCTCCCCACACCACTCTAGAATCCTCATATTAAGCCTAAACCACAACCTCTCCGTCCCCCAAAGAAACCCAAGAACCGCAAACCACCTCGTGAAAAAGAACCCCAGACTCTCACGAGAACTCTCTGCCCACGTCTCCGCGCTAGGCCGTGTCGTCAGGATCACCCGTGCGTCGGGTTACATGTCCATCAAATCAGAGAGGAAGAATATAGCTGGCATATCGCATACTGCGGCGTAGCCGGAGATTAGCGTGTGGATTTGTTTTTGCCGCGTGGCCGTGTCTTTGGAGTGTGTGGCTGCGATGAGGAGTTCTTGTCGGGAGGTGTGTGGGATTATTTGTGCCATGTGGAGGCATGGTGTTAGGTTTAGTTCTTCTAGCGCAGCTTGGAGAGAGGATGTTGCTGTGCGGGGAAGACCGGCGCCGATTACGAGGAGCTTTTGTTTGGATTCGGGGTTGGAGTTTGGGGTTGGGGCTACGCGCTTGTCGCTGAGGAAGCGGACCATCTTGGGGGTTTCTGGTTTCTGTGGGGGTGGATAATTTGCGGTTCGTGGGATGGTTGGCTTCTTGGTTTAGGGGGATGGATGTGCAGGGCTTCTAGATATATCGAAGGTTGTGGCCGAATCTGACGTCAGCTGGGGAAAGGGTCCTGGTTGGTTAGGTGTGTAACTGTTCTTGCATGAATATGTATCTAGTCGCGTTAATCGCACATGAACTTCATGTCTAGCTCAAGTCGGATTTTTTTACATAAAATGCGTGTGCCAACGCACTTGTATATATTCTGACTTCCAGAGGCCGAGATGTGAGTGACAACAATGGGTCAACCCCGGGGCATCCAAATGTGGGTTAACCCTTTGATGGAGGGTTGTGGCGCTGAGTACTACTGGAGCGGCGGAGTTGAATTCCAATAAAAGTTCTCTCCTTTCTCCAAATAAATTGAAGTTCCAAGCTGGTTTCCGAGCTGGGACACACCATGACGTCACCACATGAGCTACCTGGAAGCTCCAAGACCTGGGTATTCCAAGCTCTGCTACACCTGTTTACTTCTTGACAACCTCCTTGTTATAGGTCTCTAAAACCCTCAATCTTCTTTGAACCATCACAATCCAAAATGTCCGAATCCTTCGCCATCCTCCGCCAACGCCGCTCCGACGAGCTAGCCAAGCTCGCCGACGAGCACCTCCAACATGACCTCAACTCCGGAGACCGTGACAAGCTCAATGCAGCCGCATCTTCAATCTCCCTGTGGACAACAGTTGGCTCTGCGGTCGGTGTGAGTCTTGGTCTTCTAGCCGCAATCCGACTGCGCAGTACGCGCAAGGCGTTCTTCTCTGCCATTCGCGCGCAGGAGAGGCCTACGAAGGTTATTTTTGAAGATGGGAGGACTGGTATGTTATTTCTTTGTGACCCTAGAGGTATTTAGGGAAAAAGAATGGTGTGGTTAATTTGTGTGTTTAGAGTCTATTCCGGACCTTACGCCGCTGTTGAAGCCCACTACTTTGGGTGATGTTGCGACTTATTTCTTTGCGACGGCCGGTGGGTTGTTTTTGGGGGGGAGAGCTTGGTAAGATTATATTTTACGTTGTGATTGTTGGGTGATGGGACAACTGTGCTAACCTTTTCGTTGTGTAGGCTTTGCTGGTGGTATGGCGAGAGGGACAAGCAGTATCAATGCGGATCCGGAGAGCAAGAAGAGAATTGAAACTGCTTTTAGGAGATTCCGGGCTCATGTGCTGCGGAAACAAGCCGATGCTTTGGATAAGGGGAGCAATGATACCGGTTTGATCTGAGATAATAAACATAGCTATTAGATCCTTAGGTGCAAAATGGACTACTTGTAAGATGATGATGTCAATTATTTCATTTATTTCATTTATTTCATTTATATGTCGCAGTAATGTTATTTATACAAGTTTAGACCTCCAAAGCCTTCAAGAATGCAGGGCTCTCATGGCCTTGCGCAACCTTCGAAATCGGCGTGAGATACGCCTCAGAAGATTCTTGGCTCTCCTGAATCTTCCGAACATAGAATTGGGCAACCTTGAGCCACATCGCCTTCTCACTCGCACTAGCTCCAGACCCCTGCCAAACCCAGAGTCTGTTCCCAGAATCATAAAGGAAGACATCGTTACCATCCAAGTCGGACCGATCAACCGGGCCTCCATCCTTAACAAGATCAAAGGACAAGTTTCCAGACGCATCGCTGAGTCTGAAAAGCTTGCGCGAGCGAGCACTCTCATCAACACCCTTCTTCGCAAACCGCCCAGGTCTAGGCGCTTCCAGGGTAGACGGGGCGGCATCCCTCCCACCTAGCAAGTCAACGAAGATCTTCGACCTGGACTCAAGTTGTGACAGAACCTCAACATCAACATGCTTCGCCTGTGTCATATCATTAACCACCTGCGCCGCCTTAGCCTTCTCCATCGGGCTACACTTCTTCCCCTGCCAAACCCAAATCTTATTCCCCTTATCCAAAACAAAGACATCATTCTCATCAAGACTCTTCCACGTAGGCTCGACCTCATGCACGATCAGCGAGTCAAGACGCGCAATACCGGGATGTTTGAAAACACGCAGTAGTGTAAGCACCTCCTCCCGCGCCTCGGGCTCAACATGCGTGAAGCCCGAGCGCACACCCCCAGACCGGATCGCGTAGTTTCGGAACAACGCAAGGAACTCGTCCGAGGGGTGTTGCTGGACCTCGCGGTGTTGTGTTGCGGCGCCGTGCAGAAACTCGTCCAGCTCGACGGTCTTGTAAGCTGCGACGCCGGCTTCGTCCTGGGTTGTTTTGCTGCCGAGCCAGAAGAAGATGTCGTGGCCGAGCTTGTCGTCGCCGACTTTGTAGGTGTGTAGCACGATGAAGCTGTCGCCGTCGTAGAATTGGCCGGTCTTTTCTTTCGGCCAGGGGATTACTTGGAAGTTTTCGATGCGCCAGATCGTGAGGCCGGGCTCTTGGCCGATGTTTTGCCAGGCGGGCTCGGTGAGGGCCGAGTTGTACTTCACGCGGTGGTCGAGGTCGCTGCCGATTAGCTCCACGTTGCTGTCTTTGATGTCGTATTCTTTTGGGTGGACGAGGCCTTCGTGGGGTGCCATGTTTGCGGATTGGTATGTTGTGAGGTGTGTGCTGCGTATAATACAAAGTAGAAGGTGTTGATGTTGATAAAGTGAAGGACAATGTGGCGGTGGGTCCATGTGGCTGAGCCGCGGGGCATCCTTTTTTGGGAGCAATTGGCCAATGACGTCGGTAATGTTCAAGATACTATTTTTAGTCAGTGCAACAGGGCTTTATTCTATGTTTATATGAGGCTGAAAGTTGTGGGAGAGGATCAGGAGAAAGGGTTCGCGCAATAGGCCTTCGAAGGACCATGGTGGCATGTCAAAAATACATATTTTTCTCATATTGTGGCTTCATTTGAGCCTCATTTTACGATAGAAAGCACTGGCTATGGACTGGATATGAAGAAGACCTCATATATCAAACAGCGAAGGTTTAGTTGAGTGGACAAGCTTCAAGGAAGTCAACGATATTAACATGTCATGCCCTGACGAAATTTTCAGAGCGGAGCAGAGATTTTTGTGCGCAAGAGGACACACAACAATGTGCATTCCCACCACCAATATTCTATTTACAATTGCTAGGTTGGGTGACACCACTTGTGATATATGTACAAGATGCTACATTGCGACCAATAATTTAATACAAATCCAGCCTCATGGCAGCTTTGCGTCAAGTTGGGCACACAAAATTTTAAAAAATTTACAGCAGAAAAAAAAATAAAAACCAAAATGGTGTGTAAATCAGTGCACGAATCGATCGGCTCCGAAATGAAATTCCAAATGTCCTTGTGGTATATGAAACACCGAGGGAAATACTATCTACTTCTTGAGTAACTCTAGTAACTGCCTTGTGACTGATTTCTCAGGGGCGCACAAAGCACCGTCACCAACGCTAAGCGTCAATATCTCACGTTTTTCTCGTTCTGCATAACCATCGCGCACTTTTCCATGTCACTGATCACGTTTACCAGCGGCCACCGCCGGCACCGCCGCCAGCACCACCACCGAAGCCACCGCCACCGCTGGGGCGGGCGTTGGCGAGGTTGACGCGGATGCGACGACCATCAAGGCTAGATTAGGGTCAGCAATTGTGTTTGTGGTATTCGGTAGGGAGGGGTGAAAACATACTCCTGCTCGTTAAGAGCATCGATGGCGGCGTTGGCCTCCTCCTCGGAAGAGAAGGTGACGAAGCCGAATCCACGGGAGCGACCAGTCTCACGGTCAGTCATGACGATCTAGAAGAGATGAAAAGATTAGTGTCTTTGTTCCAAGCGAAAATGTGACATTTTTGGAATTTTCACGTACAGAGTCGACAATGTTGCCGTACTGGCTGAAAGCCGCGCTGAGCGACTCAGTGGTGGTGTGCCATGAAAGGTTTCTAGGAAGATTGTCAGTATAAAGCGTTCATTCATCGTCTAAATTGGATGGTTTTTGACATACCCGACGTAGATCTTAGACATTTTGAAAGAAAGTGGGAGTCACGAGGTGTTGATGAAGAGAATTAAAAGATGCGGGGCATCTGAGGAGATATAGGGCCTTCGTGGCGGTGAGAGGCAAAATTCATTCGCCCCGCATAAAATCCGAGCACGTATTTGAAGGAGGCGAAAGAGCAAACTCTACCGTGATGGACCACGTTTATTCAATCCCATTTTCTAGATTGTAAGGATTCTAAGGATTCTTTCAAATTACTATTCGTCAATGAAATTTCCGCCACATAGGTGGCCACAGGGGATCTGGTCTTCTCTGACGCAACGGCAGAATATTCTGTAGCGACAAACGATGGCCTGACTGTATCTGGAACCCAACAGAACTATGGCCTTGGCTGCTGTATGGTCCAACAGACTACCATGATCTATAGGTCTCCAGGCGGATCATGCATATGAGCAGTAATGGAGCCACAGCGCCACTGCATAGGCTAAGGTGGGATATGGAGAGGTACAGAGTGGCAGTAGTGGATATGGTCCAAGTCAATATTGCATACGACTTCCATTTGAAGATACACCTGCATGCATAAAAATAACCCAGCAATTCTAGAGCGTTTATCTATATCTAGATAAAAACAGCAAAAAAAAACATACAACAGTGAGGATTCGCTGGTGGTCACCCACCCAACTACTAACTCACCGGCGTGTGGCTTAAGTACGGCTGAGCGGACGGGAAGCCCTGTTTTCCACACCCTATGGTCGTATGTATCAGGTTATGTTTGGAAAAGGATTATAGGATACAAGAGGCTGGGTGGTAGTGAGTGACTGAGTGATGGGATGGGATGGGAGGGTGAGCGGGCTATAGATAGGGTGAGAATCACTCTACTGTTGTACCTAATATTGATCACCTACATATGTAGGCTTCTAGTCTACCCCTGGGTAGTATATGTTCCCCATAACACTGATTATTGATCTATCTACTTTTTGATGGCCCTTGATTACCGCACTGTCTCTATTTCTAGAGGTGCTTAATTACCTATCTCTATTCCTAGCTAGAGCACGGTGACCGAAAAATGGAATATGCCGTGGTGTCCATCACTAGGCATTATAGGTGAAAATATCTAATGAAATATATATAGATCGTAGATATAATTGTCATTATAAACTATCCTTAGAAACGAGGTTGTATGGGTCTAGAGGGGCTGAGATAGTTATAAAAAGCGAGAGAGAGAAAGAAAGGACAACGGCCAAGGCCAGGACGAACCTGGATCACTGCTGGGCCCGGAAGGGCTCCCCATACGAGGATCGGCAACGCAGGCGTGCTATCATTACACCACCTTGGTTAATTTGAGGGCATCAGGTAGGATCGATGGTGATAGCCTCGACAGAGAACATAACTATACTCCAGGGCTGCGTGATGATTGCTTACCACTAAAGTCTTCCAACCGTACTCTTACACAAAAGCGGTTAGGCGAAGGGAAGGCTAACAATGGAGGAACGAATAGTGAAATAAACAACATAGATGTCGAAATATGTAGGTAGTTGTTCAAGTGGAATTTGTTAGTGCAATTGGTGTCATGGGTAAACGTAGCCAATTAAGGCTTGTAGCGAGGGAAAGTCTCTGGAAATTGGGGCGAGGTTTACATCTATTATATATTTCTCGGTTAGGGTGCTACATACATAGCCCAAGGCCTAATCGAGGCCAACAACCAGCTTTTTTAAAGGTTAGAGAACATTAAGCATGAGCATGGGCCTACGTAAGGATGAATGAGCCGCTCAGTCTGAACTTATTTCCACTGTGCCTCTACGAATCTTCTCAGAGCTAATTATGGTGATTTTAATATAGTGGAATAAGCCCTTTCAACTCATTTCTGTCGGTGAAAAAAGGTGGATTGTTATCCATAAACAGCATATACTGCCGTACCCTAACTAGTACCGATGAATAGCAATACGAAATTGAAATTGACAGGAAAAGAAGAAAAAAAACCACCCGCTATACAGTGAAACAAGAAGTGTTTCATTTTTGATCTTGTTCGAATTGCACCTCCCACACCATGGATGCGAACTCGACGAGTTCTTGTGTCCCAATGACTATATCACGTTCTCTGTTGATTTGTGCGGGGCGTCGAAAAAGAGATTCAAAAGGGATCACGAGCTGAGGTAGAGGATGATGGGGATCAAAGTAGAGTGCACCATCGGATTTCCTACCGATGGTTAAGTGAGCCCTGTTGATAGGGTGGGAGGTTTGGGAGCTCCATTCCCACTGGTCGATCGTGATTTCGGGCCTTTTTGTATGGAGATTAACTCCGATACCCACATTGGCATCCTGTGTTTCTGGATCTATCCAGTACTGAGCATCACGGCGGAGCTTGGCGTAAGTCTCCGAATTGGCGACCTCCAAAATAGCCGTGGGTCTCTTAGGAGCGTTGGGGAGGGGTCTTCGTGGACCCCACCCCCATCTGCCTGCTTCCTTGTGCCATCTATGGCAAGCATCACTGTTTTTCCCCATGAGTGAATTGCTTTATGCAGGCCCATTGGCTCAAGGGCCAGTATAAGCATGTCGTTGAAAGCCATCGCGGCTTGTTCGTGCGCCGGGCCGAGCATTTTGACGATAAGGATCTTTGTTTTCGGATTGAAGAATGTATTGGTACGAACAGGAGGATCCGAGTTGATGAAGTCGTGCTCGAAAGTCGTAGGTTCAATATAGAAGATAAGGTGTTCGCTGTGGTCTTCTTTCTCGAGGCTATAATCTTCGTCTGGCGTATCCTTAGTGTTGTCTCTCTCACCAGGGATATTCTGACGATTACAGTCATCTACAAGGCTACTGCCGTGGAAAGTGCGAATGGGCATTGGCTTTTGCGCCGAGCCGAATTGAAGGGTGTCTTCCGCCTGTGGCAGCGTGATCGAATGGTCTTTCCGCCCTTCCCAACTTGCACCACTTGCCCGCGCTTTTGCCTTTCGTCCAATGCGGAAAGAACGATAGAGACGATCATGCTCAAGTGAGATGATCCTGCAGAAATCGTCCATACCACTGTAGCGATATGCTTTGACCGAAGGAGATAATCCTTCGATATCCTGCCGGCCATGTTCGAGGGCGCTATCATTAAACTCGAACATCTTTGTTTTTAGAGAAGAGCTCGGCTGATATAAAGCTTGAGGATAATGTGGTTTATAGAACTGGCAAGAAATCATCTTTTAAGGCATTAACAAGAAAGCTACCTCATTATGACTGTACTGTGTCGTAATATCCCGTCGGTTTACATCGGTCTGGGAGAGGAACATGGACTGTACGCGATTGGGTGATGGGAGAATTATAGATAGTGTGAGTAGGATGCGACCGCACTAACCTGCCCAGGTAAACTAGAATGTATATAGAGAAAATGAATGGAAATGAGACCATGGACTGAAATAAGCTGGAGAAAGAGCGAGAGGAACAGAGATCAACCTTAGAGTAGCAACGTCCTACACTCGCCGAGTCATGGACATCCCGCTGAACAATTTTCAGTCATTTGCCTTCCTCGTTTTCTTACCATTCCATTTCTAGGATGCCCTCCACTTCCGGCCTCGCCTCGCCAGCCCTTTCAAAGCTCGTCCCTACCACATCCACAAGGCTGATCTTCTCTCGTGGTGCGCCAGGCTCAAGTGAACCGTCGGCATGGGTGACGCTCAGCCTCTCGAGCTACTCACCGGCGAGTACATCCAGCCAACAACTGTTAAGCCACACGCAGTCGATACTTCCTCAAAAAGGGGGCCAGTCTCGCGCAGATACTCTATCCCGCAACCTCGCCGTCGACGGCCCACTCAAGTCATACATTGACGTCGCAGCCAGCGCTTATGCCGCGGACCAAAGCCTCCATAACACTTTCACAAACAACTCTTTCAACAAGGGCTACGCACAGTTCCCCAATTGCTTCGCACTAGATACAATCGAAGGCTCGTTCAAAAGTGGCATGACGCTTACTTCCGGTTTCACCGACGCAGGTGTCACCCCTGCTATTTGGAGCTTCTCCTAGTACTACCATTTCCTTGCCGTCGTTAGTGTCAATAATCTCGCTACTCATCACCGGCTCGGCGGCCGAGGGACTTTCTATTGAGAGTCCTCGAAGTCCGTTCCCCTCAATTCGTTCTCCCACTTAATCTCCGAGGAGTAGCACATGGATACTGTTGATAAGTCCCTTGGTTTTAGTCCCAGTACGACTAATAAACAGGGTAAAAGGTCTCCGTTTATCTCTCTCTTGCCAGTTCCACAACCGTCAAGATGGTCACTCATCGGCCGAGTGACACGCTCAACTCAGCTGCAAGCCCTAAAGCAATGCACCGATACAGTCTTTGCTGGAAACCCGATTTGCAAGTATAGCAGCTTCCTCGATACAGGGGGTCATCTTCGTTGGGAATTCTTCATTTTTTAGAGTATTCAACGCTGTATCCCTTCAGGAGATTACGGGCCCATTCTCCCAATGTAGAGCAGTACTCGTGAGATATGTTGAGTCTGTGTGGCTCGAGCATCCCCCATGTGTTTTTATTCCTACATACATCGTGATTCATCTACTTACTTCACGGCAGACCTCCTGACACTTTTTTTCTCGTTTTGGAAGTTTCATATTTTAGAGATGTACCCAATCATCATGAAACAGGATGCATTATCCATTAATACAAATAGAACGAACATCGAACTATTTACATATGGGCTCGTCTTAGCTTCACCCGAAGGTTACTAGTCACCAGCACTGCTAAGAAGTGCGAGCCCTTTGCTGGTGGCCCCACCACCCGAGCCGCCTCGAAAGACGGAGAGCTCGTACACCATTCCCTCGGCCAACCTCCCGGGTGTAGGGGTGGGGCATCGAACTGAACCAAAAGCCAACTGACTGATATCGACTGTCCGCAGACAGTGATTCAGCCGGCTAGCAAGCCTTGCGCCAATTCTTCATCGCCAACCCCATTTTGAACGGTCAATAAGGCAGCCCTACTACTATCTAATGACTAGATAGTAGCACAGGATCGGGGGTTTCGATTCTCTCGATAGAGATTTCTCCCGCGAGCTGCCTTACCTGCCATTCAATATAGATCGAAGGGGCGTGTGCCTTGATCAACTGCTCCAACTCAGTGTGAGTGAGTGTCAACGGTGTTCTCAGCACCGTCGCTCCTGGTTGGCTCAGAATTGGCTAGAGCAGACTCGTCATTCCTGGCTGACGGCGGACACAGCCAGGGGTAGGGTTGCGTAGCCACTCCTTGACAGAGGGGAGGCATGTGCCAACGTTCAGTCCGAAGGTGAAAGCACAGATAATGTAAATAACAGTTTCAGTCTGCATGGTTGAGAAAGAAAAAGAAGAAAGGGGCCACTATCTTCGTGTTGTCTGAAAACTCGAAGAGAAGAAAAAGAAAAAGAAGAGGAAATGAAAAAGAGGGCGAAAAAGTATACGAAGGCAGGGGCAGCTGATCCTAACTTGGGAAGGTACGTGTATGGGAAGGAGCGTTGACTATCGGACTATCATATTGTCGATAAAGTTCGTTACATCGTCAACTTGTACAATCAGCCCCAATATTATATCCACGTCGTCGTGGAGGGATCTACTGGACAAAACATCGATGAGTACGACGAAGCAGTGATCATTCAAAGAGGTCAACCCGAAGAAAATGAACAGCGCATAGGTTTTCGACAAACAATTCACGCCCTCATTCTACAAGTCGAATCTATTGGGGTGGACGAAACAATCAAATCATTTCTGATGCTAGAGTGTCCTATAACAGATGTGGCAACTAGGAAGGGGTTTTCCTATGCACTCCCTGGTGAGACATGTACCTCGGGCTGCTGATGGGTCTCTTATACCTTACAGGTTAATGCCAGCCAAATCATCGCCGGGTTCTACGTTCAGTACCATCTTCGGAACTACAAGCCGCGGATTTTCAAATATTATTCCTGCCTGGTCACGGTGGCCTTTGATGGCGCTGCTCTGACTGTCATGTTCATCCTTTCATTTGCTATTCTCGGAGTTGGTGGACCCCTACACCCTTTCCCAACATGATGGGGCAATAACGCGGATGGAAACTATGACTGGTGCCCTGTTACTAAGTAGGTCGAGAGAGTGGGGCGAGGACGGCAGCAGCTGATCACAGTCTGCACGCGTGCTCGATATCAGTTGATACCTTGAACTTGGCGAGAGGAAGAGATTTGTTTTTATCAAATATCATTCTAGTTTAATGAAGGTTTTTACTAATCTTGAAGTGGCGCGGAGTGGATAAATGCTTACTTTCCCCGTGGTTCAGGTGAACTAGCCGTCCAGATTTGGACAATATTCGACGCATGCTTCAAATCAGATGTCAAATGTAACGATAACTCAACCCTAGGAAAGTCGAGACATGATGTATTCAGCTTGGTACAGATATTTACAATAAACATCCAATGCCTTCCTGGCCGATGAGACTGAACCTCAGCTAATTAAAACATTGTTATCAAAGCTTCGCTTGTGTGCCACCAGTAGATCTTGCGAATTTGCGATGACTAGCCGCAAAAGTCTTGTTAGTTATCGCTGCAACTGTACTCACATCCAGAGCAAGGGCAAAGGATGCAATCAAGCCAGCCAGGCGACCTTTGGACCCTGGACCGGTACATCCCAGAAGTTCCAACGCTTCTCGTTGTGTTTCCAAAGCAGAACCACCCACAACGGTTCCAACTGGGAGACTCGGCAGATATGTAGAGAGAGTGATTTCCTCGGTTTCACGATCGAATTCAGCAGTCAGGTGGCTCCAGGATGATTCAGACACACTCGCAGCATCTTGCCCGCAGGCAATGAACATTGCTGCCACAACGTTGGCTTGGTTGGCGCTGTAGCCAATCTGCCCATTTCTTGTCCCTCCCTCTTTGGTATTCTGTATAACTTGGTACGCATCCCAAGTAGAACAGCCAAGAATGCTTTGGCAAGCGTGCTGGGTGACGGTTCCCCACGCCATGACACCAACACCGCGCGAGTGTAGTATATTTCCCCAAGATAGGCTTTTCTCTGCGACTCTCTGTCCCTCAACAGTGATGTTTTTGACTTTCATCACCAGGGCCGTATTTGACTCTGCAAAGAGATCACACACCTTCTGCGTCGCAAATGTGACCATATTCTGCCCGGCAGCATTTCCTGTGTAGTATTCAAACAGAATGTGCACAGTGCTTCCAATAATTTGAGGGTCGATTCTCACAAGCCGGGCATAGTTGCTGGTAGACTCTGCAATTTCTCGAAATTCAGACAAGAGACCAGGAACGACGTCGTAAAATGCTGCGGCGTCTTCTGGACAGGAAAACCAAAAGACAGGAGCTCGTGTCATATTGTCTCGGAGGAGTTTAAACTGAACTCCACCGCTGGAGTTGAAGACCTTGCATCCGCGGGCGCAACTTGCCACTAATGTGGGTTCGACTGTTGCCAATGGGGCATGATAAATACCATCCGTTCCATCGGAGCCCTTGACGGCCAGAGGACCGGCGATACCGACAGGGACTTTGACAGAGCCGATGCAATTTTCAATCTTTGCATTTTTAGCCGTGTTTTCATCCTCGGTCATGTATTTGAGACTTGACTTGATGGCGCTCAGTCCACCGATGTTCAGACTAGATGATGTAGGCATAATAACGTTTGATCACGAATGATGGTGATGAAGATTTGGATAGACCCCGAATTGACTGGAGACGAGGTTCGAAGAGTGAAGAAGGCAAGACTTTAAGTATGTTTCCAAAACGCGGGAATGACCCACATGAATGGTAGCTAGCTAGCTCAGATTTAGCGAGGAAATAACGGAACATTTGACTTCCAAGTTTGGTTTTACTGAGTAAACTTTGTATTTCGAGCACAAGCATAGCCTTTCATTGGTTTGCAATGTGATCTGCAGCGCAACATAGCATTTACCAGTTTTGGCGTTCACGAACTAATCCACATTCAGGTACTATATGTGGATTCCAGAGGAAGTTATATCCATAAACGTATCCACAGAATCGAGTAATTTGACCCACTCGTTTGAAATATTATCTTTACACCCCCTGGACGATGGAACTCTATACATGATTTTTTAACTTTATATCTGTCCTAGAGTTTGTGAATGAGTAGAGAACTCAATGAAGATTTGGGTTGAAACAATAAGGATTATTTCATGACAGCATATGGCAATTCTCTGGATTGTCCACCTGCTCTTTTATACCTGAGGACTTCGGAAATAAAAATGCTAGGGCGTTCTGCAGCAGATAAGGTTATGAACCTGCCGATCTTCACATGGCGTCAAAACTTAATTCCCGTTCACATCAAGGCTCCTGGCCATACACCCCATCCGAATGGCGCATACACGTGCTCACCGCTGATCTTGACACCCACTGTGACGTCTGTGGTAACGACGATCCGATTAGCGTTCCGCACAAATAAATAATAGCATACTAACATCGCGTAATGCATCTCCGATTACAACAAAACTCCCGAAAAGATACACTGTAGTCCCTCTGTACATTAAAGCAACATCCAAAGCCAAAACAGGTCTCGGTAACGGCAATATATTTATCCTTTTTTATAGGTTCGAACAGACGTAATAACACTTGTTTTACACTTAAAATAATGAGTGGTAAATAAAACAACCGGCGGAAACTGCTTCGACAACTGTTGTAGATTCGCGGTTTATAACATAACTATTCAATACTTTCTTCTTTGATTTTCAAGTTATGATATATTGATCTCGTCGGAGGCTAATTTTGAGATCCGGTATCATCAAAACTATAGCTATCTTCGTGGCAAAATCGATTGTTAGTGACAACCCGGATATAGTCCGCGAACCACCTCTCTACGCCGGTTTTATTAAATTTAAGACTTTTTCGATATCCAGAGCTTTTGATAAAAGTAACTGACTAGCATTGTATGGGAACCAGATTGGTGACATCAAATTCGTTAAATATCTATGGAAAATTAGCAATCTTACAGAACAGGCTAACTAACAAGGAATAGTAGGGGGAATTGCTTTTCGGATGTCCCAAGTGATTCTTAGAATCCGATCTTCTAAGGATTTGCATGCGTACAGATTATACCGTTTCTTCGACTATTTTCCGACGGGAATAAATGACTACCCATGGACGAGCTATGAGGTCTAAATATGCTTTACAATCCGGACTCTCGCTTTTCATCAATGTCCCATATTCTTCTCTTTATTGAGGCAGACTTCAGAAAGTACCAGAAAGCAAAATTCAGATCAGGCATGGCTACTTGGTCGTTAAATGGTGATTTCTGTAGACAATTTTAATGAGAATCCCATCGCTATGCGTGGAACATCTAGCCTCTATTGGCCCATTAAAATGGTTGTTGCTACTGGAAACTTATGATGGTCAAAGTGCGAACCAGGCTATCTTAAGGCATGCAAACAAGTTCAGTGATATCGGCCATCGCAATCGTGGCTCGGTCTTAAGGGCAAGGTAGTAATTGAATAGCGGGAATGAAGGCTTCCTGAAAAAGACAAACTGAGTTTATGCTACAATTTTGACATCATTTTATAATTCTAAAATCCTGAGCACATGACCTAGAATGGCGTTCTAAATAACATTCGAGCCTTAGAAAAATAGATACATCAAGCTTTAAGATATTTAGAATTCTCAGCTCGACACCTCCCAATGGTAAGAACCCCGAAAATATTCAAACCAATGTTACCTGGTTCGTCAAATACGACAAATCCACGCTCGATATACCATCGGGATCCTCTCCAAAGAACCTCAACAGCCGATCGGCAACCCATACAGGACTTTCATCCAACACCCAATGGCCAGCCTTTGGGACCACATCAACTTGAAGGTCACTGCTCACCGGCCCAAAGATTTGTTGCAACACAGACCCCGGCGCAAAGCTAGCCTCGCCTCCAAGAGCCAACACCGGCATTGGCAACGGATTGCCACTAAATGATGCGTTGAAGAACGAAGCGTCTTCGGTCACGGTCGAAACCGAAAATATGTTCAGCATGCTCCGCAGAAATCCCGGTTTCGATATTGATGTTGCGTAGCGAGTCAAGTGGTCCTCACTAATGGCTTCGTTGCCGGAATACGAGCTGTGCCAGAAGTACCAAGCCAGCATCTCCTTCTCGCGGCCTTGGATAAAATATTGTGCTGCGTCCGGGACACTAAAAAAGCCGAGCTGCCAATTCTTGTACAAGTCCCAGCCAGTGCCACCGCCGGAGCTGGGGGTCCAGAAATTCTCATATCCGAAGCCAGGAAAGGCATACTCGGAGAATCCAATTCTCTTCACGTAGGATGGATACTTTGCCGCTAGCGCCGCTGCAATTCCAGAGCCCTTATCGTGCGAGAAAACGTAGGTTTCGTTGATGTGCAAGAAGTCCAGTATCGCTTTGAAGTCATCTGCATGGGTGGAGGCAGTATAGTCGTCGTCCGCTGGAATTGAAGAGTCGCCGGCGCCACGATTGTCGGTGGTAATTACGGTGTAATTCTGTGCAAGAATGGGGGCGATGGTAGAGTAGGAGAGCTGGAAGAGAGCGGAAAGTTAGCATGCACAAGCATTGTCCAGAAGGATGTGTTAAAGCCATGGTGCCGGCAACACCAAAGTTGGGATACCATAGGGTCGTAACTCACACTATGTTGAGGGTTTCCATGGATTAGGAGGACGGGGGGTCCAGTGCCGTAATAGCGCAGGTGAATGCTAACGTCTTTATTTACTCTGATGCGTTGATGAGGCCAAGAGTCCCAGGAAGGAACGTCGGCGACGCAGACGCTGATAAGCTGGACGATTGAAAGAACAAGAAAACGCATTTTCTCCCTGAACACTGTTCAAAATGAAGATTTTAGTGATACAGTAGCAGACGAAAAACGGATTTAATATTTCCTAATCGTTGGTTACATTTACTTTTATGTCATTTAGCCCATGACGTTAATTTTGCGTTCGGGCAATTGTGAAGTCCGGCTTCATAATCCGAAAAACTCGGGATTTTGAAGCGCGAAAGTCCGAGATTTAAAAGCCTAAAAGCATAATCAGACCTCGCGCCTTGTCCATGGGCAACCATCCCCAGTGAATACGACAGCCAATAGACCACTCACGAAGTTTTATTGTATTTTATTGACTTTACTGTCGATACCTTGTCTTGAGTACCTTCCACTACCAATTCTATGTCCTCGTATCTTCAAATGAAAACTTTTCACTGGGTATCGTGAATCAGCCTAAAACGGTATTTTTGTACATTATCTCTGCCACTCCGTTGATCCGACGGGGCATCTATATATTACGTTCAATTCATTCCATGTTTACGAGGGTTGTTAGGGACCATTGGGTCAACCGGCTTTTTGCCTAGCAGAAAATAGTAATGTACCCGGGTATATGTGTTAGGAGAGAGGTCTACAGAGACAGCTAGGTGCATGGTGGAATGTGAAAAGATGACTGAATAGTTGAGAAAACCAAGAAGCTAGACTATGAAAGTTGACAATATGTTTTAATTATTTCTGTATGAATTCAGCACACCATATCCACTTACCAACATCAATGTTCTCCCGTCTCACACTTCTGGACTGGATGTGACGGCTTCCAATATGGCTACTGGCTCATACGGCCCAAAAGAAATGTGTCCATTGAAAATTCCCGGGTTCAGAGACATAGCCGTTAAAAGAATATGGTGAGTGGTTCGCATTCACCGTATCGGATGATACTCTTAAAGCTGGATTCCGACAAGCGCGATGTGACACCCTTTTATGGTTTTGACCTTAGGCACATACACAAGATCAAACCCTGGAATCCTTCGTGGGCAACGGGGTCAAGCGTATTTGGCCCTAACTTATCTTGAATAGGTTCCGTGTATGCTAACGCTGAACATCCATTGCCCGACTACCTGCGGATATATCCTCGACTACCTTCGGAAACGAAAACCGGCTTCGACCTATTCCTCCATCTCATCAAGACCGTGTTTCTAGAAAGTAAGATATTGGGTGTCTCCGTCCTCACGGACGTCGTGCAAGACAACCCTGCTAGTTTGTTAGTGCTGCAACACCACGCAACCAATGCCACCGCATGTTCAGGGATATTAATATTATACGCGCATGCCGTTCATATCCCCACTCTCGCCAGTGTAGGACTGATAATTCTTGAAACCAGGATAGACCTTGTCCTTCGAGTAGCTGGCGGCTCCGCTGACAAACTGTTGTATCCCCTCTTCAGACCAGCCCGTCTCCTTGAGTTTGCCAGTAAGAACCTTGAAATAGCCTATTCAAAATAAAAATAGAATATTATAAGTTCTAGCACAATAGTGGCAGCCACAACTAAGTAGTAAGGAAAAAAGGGTTAGGTACGAGCGCATACTTGAAAGGTAGCGAAAGTAGCCTTTTTTTCACCAATTGTTATTAAGCTGGTGACGGAAGGCATGCACAACATTAATGTCCGTATTTTGAGCCGCGGAGATTTCTAGAACCAGCTTTTCAGTCATCTTACTGGTATATATCAGAAGATAGAAATTACAAACCAATTTCAACACCGCCCTCGGTTAAACCTATAATAGTGCAGTCGACTTCGTAGGCGACCCCACTGACCTCTATAAGGTTGTATGAGTCTGAGAGCAACTTGTCGTTGGTAATTATAGTACCCATGGAGTAAGTCTCTGAATACATATAGCGATCACGGGGCTGTGTGCTCATAGCAAGCGCTGCATATGGGTGGAAGAATCGATTATATAAAAAGTCATACCTTGTAAACAACCATGTTGATGGCTTGGTAACACGAAAGAACACTTAAGGGAAAATAGAGGCGGAGCCTATTAGAAAGAAAAGAGAACATGGAGGGGGAGACTGACTTATCCCCACGTAAGAGCCTACATCCTCCCAGTATCCTTTGATTTTTCCGCACTATAATCGCATACTTACGCATGATGCATAAGTCAACGCACTATTTCCACATAATTTTTAGCGAGCTTCAGCTAGAAGTTATAATTGTGGATATTCCACGATTTGACGATCAATAGCGGTGTGCATTCTCGTCACTCATAATTCGATTAGAGAAAAGATAAAGTGGGTCTATAATTTAGTGTAATGTACAACATAGAGACGGCTACTATGCTCACGAGCTGAAAGCACGTCATTATGGAGTCTACCAAGAAACTTAATCGGTTGCAAGTGCGTCCGTTGCTTCTAATGTGGACACGGGGCGTCGAAGAAGCCGCTTTCCAGGCTCTGTGCTAGACGGCTCGCCAAATGAAATAATGTCACTAGGAATAAATTGTCAATAATCTAAATCTTCGATAGTCAGACTTCCATTTGTCTCCATGAAGTATATAAATGGCTTTATGGCAGTAGGTAGATCCAGCAGTTCTTGGATCTTCCTCTCCTGCTTCGTAGTGTGCCTCCATCACTTAATTATTGTTACTAGCCAGATTCTCTCGGAAAAGAGTGATGACCCCACAGTGTAATAGGCTCGTGATATCTACTAGGCACTTATTCAAACACGTTCAATACATAATTGCAAGCATAGAAGGGGAAATAATTAGTGTAGAGATCGGTTTATACCGGTCCCACCCGAGAGGGAGCCTCTATAGTCCCAGGCTAGCAAACATGGTCACGTTACTACGGTCTTAACAACTTGCTCAAAATTAGTATAATTTTAGTCTGTGATGGTGCAGTGACGGTTATTGATTGTTTATCTATCTGAGATTCAACTACCATCTTCTAGGGCAAATTACCATCCCGTGTGGCCTCCATCCACCAACAAATCCGCACCAGTCACATAGCTACTTGCATCTGATAACAAAAATACAACCGGTCCCCTATACTCATCCGGTGTAGAGATACGGTTAAGCATACTACCTTTAGACATCAAGCCCTCTTGGATCGGATCCTTTAGCAAATCTTCGGTCATGCGTGTGCGGATATATCCAGGGCTCAGCGAATTAACGCGAATGAGAGGACAAGTTTTCGGACTACCCCATTCAGAAGCTAGGTTCCGCGTGAGCTGATGGACTCCTGACTTGGAACAACTATAAGCTGCAGTGTCAAATCCCTATAGCTATATCAGTTTCGGCCAATCATTTTGTCCAAGAACATCCTCACCTTGTTCACCACATGACCACTCATACTGGCAATAAATACAATGCTGGCAGGGAAGCCTTGCTCGAAAATCTCCCGTGCTGCAGACTGCGCGCAAATAAAGGTGCCCGTCAGGTTGACATCGATTATACGTCTCATTTCGTCAATCGAGAAGTCAATGGATCGGCCAATGCTGGATATTCCGGCGCAGGTCACAAGGCCTCTTAGGGGGAAGCGAGCCGCTGTAACGGCCTCCCGAAACAGTGATCGAGTAGTGTCAATGTTTGTGATGTCGCACTTATAGTACCACAGTTTTGCACTACATGCTTTCGCTAAGATTTGCAGATCTTCTGTGATAGAAAATTGTGGTCTTGTTAGAATTATTGCTGGAAATTTCATTATTCTCGGTACTTACCCCATTGTTCCATAGGCGGGATCTCCACAGAGTCGATGCAGATGACATCTCCACCAGATTGCATGATACCAGTTGCGATTTCTTGTCCCAAACTACCGATACCACCGGTAACTATACTCTAAAGGTTATTCAAGGTTCTAGAGGTTAGAGGAAGAAGCGGAGTGAAATAGGCAGATGCCGTTGACAAGACGAGGGATCTTCTTTGGTGTGAAATGAATCAAAACTAATGAACTAGTGTAAACGTACCGATGTATGTTCGCTTCTCTAGACTAAATAAATCACGCGTGTGCGACTTCGGCGACGGTCGAAGGCCGACTTCTCGGTTCTCGAGGTATTCGCCCATTCTGGGATTCGATCTCGGTAATCGTAACGTAGGGAAGGACAAGGCTTCGAATGAGTATCAAAAAAGGCCTTGAAGGAAAAAGAAGTAAGAAGGTGTGGGAATAACTGATAAAAGCGAAAAGTTCAACAATGGCGCATTTATGAAATGAGAATCACACTGTTGATTGACTGTCGAAATGAGGTTGGCAAGATAGGAACTTATATCCTGTTGGATGGCTTGGTAAAGAACTTAACCCTGCCTGGTCTTTGCCGACTGACGCGTTTCCAATTCATTCCTAGCGGGACCGGCGGCCCGCATTATCAACTAGTGGATGTGTCTACATGAGGATGCACTTTTCTCTACTTCGGGACGAGCTGCCCGCCTCATTTGTTACTTGGCGTTTCTACACAAGCACAATTCCCCACTCCCAGCGGGATGTGCGGCCCGCAAATACTTGGTGTCGAAAATCTACCAACCTGAACCCCAACATATGTCGCCGCTATCGGATTACGTACTTGAAGAATAGATTTATAAAGCTGACATGCAACCGCCTTTCCCCTATTTTTCTTTTGACAAGCACTGCAAGTTTGAAAGCAAAAGTCCAATAGTCCGAAAACCCGCCAACATCCAAATATGTCCGAGCGTAACTTGCTCGAGAGACTCGAGAAGCTTTGCAATGTCGATGTCGACGATGTTGACACCGGGCTTATCGCTTCTTTGCCCTTCAAACCTCACAACCGTCAGTCCGTTTTGGGGGTTTTCTAGCTAACTGTCAAGCTAACTTTTTGCCACCAGTCACCTCAAATCAACAAGTGATCTGCAACACGATGCTTGCCGACTCAAACCGCGAGTTGCTTACGAATATGGTTGACATGTACGGCAGCCAGGGCTGGGAGGTTGTATTTGACAGAATGGTTCGGTCTTAAACTCCAGTAATCAGTTTCAGGAAGTCTGACCGTTTTGTTTCAGGCAGTACAACTCGTCAAAAATAACCTCGAGTACATAACGGGCCGCGTTCTGCTACAGATTTCTCCTCGGCATATTAATAACAAACCTGCCATAATTCAGCACTGCCGCCGACTCGCAAAGTATTTCGATGATGCAAATATTCCAAAAGCTCGATTTGCCATCAAGCTTCCATTCACAGGTGCTGCTGCGTGCGCTGCTGCGGAACTGAACAGTGAGGGCATACGCACTCTTGCAACCTCGGTTTTTGGGCTGGAGCAAGCCATCGCTGCGAGCCAGTCGGGCTGTCTGTTCATCAGCCCGTACTATAACGGTAAGTCGTAGTCATCAAAGTAAGAAGGTCTATCTAACGACTCGCTGCACTTCAGAAATTGCTGCATACTCAAACTTGTCATTGTGGACAAACACCCCCGATCCAGCGCTGGAGGTAAGTTAAAATGAAAGAAGAAATCAACGTCAAGGAACTTACCAGAATATAAGCATCCCATGTCGGCTCGGGTGATTCACATTCTTGAGGCGTACGCCAAATCCTACAGTGAAACAGGCAACGAGCAGCCAATAATGGTGATTGCAAGGTAGGTTCCAAAGAGCCATCCGGAAGGACCTCGCTGATAACCTTTCTTTCACAGCCACCTGAACGCTACTGAGGTCATGGCCATGGCTGAGCTTGGCTGTCAGCATGTCACGGTCACAGGGGGGAATATGAAAGCCCTTCTACAGACTCCTGACAACCTCTCGCCGGTTACCGTCCCAAAACCTACCCATCCATATGCGCATCTCATCACACCCGCGAGATTGAAGTGTTTGTCGCACGTCGACTCACTTTCACCAGCGGGCTGGAGTGACATATTGGCGTCGGGATCAACCGATTATCTCACAAACAATGGGTGTGCCCTAGACGAAGCTATACAAGCAGATGGGTTTGTAGCGAAGGGAATTAAGGATGCGATGGATTGGTTCATTGAAGCTGAAGAAAAGGCAAAGCATGCGATCGAAAGGGAGATTTCCATGAGGAAGGAGTCTGCCAGTGCACAGTAAGAGCATCTTTGATCTCTTTGTAGCTAGATCGAGCTGTTCGCTAGCATCGTAATGAATGTTACGATATTTATTTATTTCTTGCTTGCTTAAGAGAGATTGACGCTAAGCAGCGAGTTGCTAAGCGATGGATTGCGTAAAGTTTATAAATCGGTAAATATCACAGAGACCTTGGACATGTTAATTTTGTGCTGTCATAAATGCGGTCGTCAGCTAGGTCTCCAAGCTAAGGCTTAGTGCTGGCCTAGCAACGTGGATACAAATCCACTTACAAAGTCCCTTCAGATCTTGTATGCCCATCCCTTTTTCGCAAGAGTCGGATAACTCCAGCCCCGGTCCTTGTCGTCAATACACAAACACATCCATTTTCGATGGCAACTACGACTCAATCCATCATGAGGCGTAGTGGCAACTTTCATCATACTCGCGAAGTGGAATATGCGGCACCGTTTGAAATTGGAAGTCTATTGATTTTCATGCTAAGTACAATCCCGTTATATGGTCCTATCTATCAACTCCGGAGCATTAAGCATTAAATAGCTGCTTCGCGCGGATGGAAATGGCAATCTCATGCGCACGCTCAATGCTAGATCCAGAGTTGCTCCATAACTTCAGTGTTTCGATGGCAATATTCTGAAGATTATCGATGTCTGGAACTAAATGTTCCAACAAAGAGGAGTGTCGCGCTAAAGTGAGGACTAAAATAGAGGCGAGGCAGCTGTATAGGAGGTAAAGTTAGTAAGATGAACGAGTTTAACGGTAGGCAAAGTAAACCAATTTCCGCCTCCATAGTAGCTATGAAGAAGCTGCAAAACCAGGAAATAAATGACTGACCATTGGCTAGCGAGATACGCATATGGTGAAGGCGTTGACAGAAGATCAGCCATGGCATGTAAATAGGCGCGACAACTCGAGAGACATGCTTGGCAATTATCAAGAATTACTGGTGATTGGTCTTGATCGGCAGTCATCGTAATTGCATATATCACGAAGGGCCGGTAAATGATATGTCTTGCCGACCAATATCGAAGTCGGAGCAAACATGTAGGTGGATCACTCTTTGCACTCAGATCCAATTGTGGTCTGATATTACCTGGTAACATATCGTACCACGTTTGTAACTGATGGTCAAGTTCAGTGCATACTCTAATAAGAGAGCTGCTCGGTAGTCGTGGTAACGAGAAGGCAGCGTCGAGCGCCATTGATGAATGATTGGGATGCTTAGTCGGTACATCACTAGTGAAGTAGATCGAATGATGAATGCGATTCAGCAGACATCGTGCTGAGAGGTTTGCCAGGTAGTGCTGCACATTTTGGTCCGGTGGGTTGCCACAGCTGGGGAATGGCATGTTGTCTACCAGTGGCTCAATTCCGCTCCTTGGGTGATCAAACTCTGCCAAGTTGTCACTAGTACTCGATTAGTTTTGATAAATATGGATGATTGGGCAATCACACCATTCGACAAGAAAGCAGGACCAACAAATTCGAATGATGCTTTCCCGCTGGGATTTACTTAGCTGTTCTGATCTATATCATTTGGTCAGCGCTGAAGTTAATGTTAGATTGTAAGATATACCGAATTAAAGTCTGCTGGATGTTCGTTGAAGCCATGTGGATGAGACGCCATCCTTGTAGCGGTCTCATCAAATAAAGAAGGTACAAAGCAGACAGCACCAGCCCCTGGGCCAACACAATATTATTGCCGAAGGAGTTCGCCCATGTTGCGAAGAAGATGTTAAGAGCGGGTTGAAAGTATATAAAACCTGGCGTTTCACGTTCGACCTCTCCATCCTGTTGCCTAGGCTCTGAGGCGATGGCCCCAAGCGCCAATGCAACTAGACACAACGCAGACTCTTCATTTAGTTGAAGACCTCGGTCTAAAGCATTATGATATTGATCGATAAGCACATCTCGCTCAAAAAGCGGGTGGTATGTATGGACCAATTTAAAATATTGTTCCAGAAGTCTGTCTGTGATTGCGTGATCAAGAAATGGTAATTCATATCGGGTTGATGACCCCATCGAGAACAGCATATCTCCCAGAAATGACCGACCAGCCTCGATTTGGAAGAAAATATCATGCGGAAAGTTTCCTGCTAGTTCACGCACCTGTGGGAGGACAAGAAGGCTGCTCGTGGTTGTTTGGTGACCGAAAGGAATAGTGAATAGAGGAAGAGTGAGACTGTCGTCGAGAGTGGGTCTAGGCTCTGCTTCCCTATGCAACAAGAATTCTGAGAGTGCAGGAGTAGGTTGCTCATCAGAGTTCGTATCGTGCTTTGATGATGGCAAACTTCCATGCTCGCTGGAATCTACCCTATCAGACATGATATCAGCTCCTTCAAGTTGCCGGTTTTTGGACAGGTCTGCAATGGCGTCAGAATGTGCTTGAAGTAATGCCTCAATTCTTTCCAGTCGTTTTGTTTGATCAACCCTATCGCATTGTTAAGCCGAGGGTATCTGTATAAAGCTTGTGGCAAAGCATACCTTGGTTGAGCTTGCTCTTGATAGGTGCATTCGACCAGCATATTTTCACAGTTGGTACATCTTGGTAGTTTACCATCACACTTTCGCTTCCTATGAGTATATTATTAGATCTAAAGTGCCTCGGGCGCAATTGGCCGGAACTATAGCTAATATTGCTTAAGCTACACATACCTGGTCCGACAGAACTTGCACGCAATGGCCGCCCGTTTACGAGGCATTTCGACCACGACTGGAATAGCAAAGTGCGAATAGTTGTTGCGTCAGAATATCCAGCTCAATATGGATATATTTCGAACTGAATGACAGCCAGTTCATGTGTGGTGGGGTAGCCTGCGGTAAATGGTACATCCAGGGCCAGGGCCATTAAAGTCGAAGATAACGTAATCAGCAAGCCAGACCAACCTTGGAAGTTGGAAACGAGCTGATCACCACACCAAAATCGCAGAATTCATTCCAAAAAAATAATGTCGGAAATACCAAGAGGTGAGCGAGGTGAAGGATTGATTCCCTTTTGTCGAATTCATCTAGATCCAAGTCAACCCACGAGTCCTATTCATAATGCTTATCTCATCCCCTTTTTTGTTTTTGCTTCCCACCGATACAATGAGTTCTGTTTACATTTCCAGGGGTCGGAAGGTATCTTGGCTCTCCCAAGCTTGTCTTATCCTTCTCATTCCTATCGAGTTTAATACAAAATAATGATTGACTCTTCTGGCTCGATTTCTAAGCTACCGTGATCTCGCTCCAAAAGATGGTAGGATCCACGGGGCTACTGCCTACCCCGTACGAGTACATACACGGGGAAGCGTCCGGCAACCCGCAGTAACGGAGTATTATCGGAAATTCCCCCAGACAGCACAGATCTGCGGGGGAAGGCTTCCAAATTATGTGCCTAGTCTGCCTGTCCTTCCGCATTCCGTGTCTCACTCGCCAATCAAAGGGAGGTTCCCCGGAGGTCCGAGGCCATCGGTGGACTAACCCTATTCACTTGCAGGTTTCACTGTAACAGTACAACCACTCGTGTGTCGCCGTACATGCGGAGCTCACATTATGATTTCTTGGCCAGGGAAAATCCCTTCATTCTGGTCATGGGTTTCAAATCTGCACCTAGGCCGGCGTCTGGGACGAGGGGGGAATTCCAGGCTATGGGAATTTAAGTCCAATTATCCCATGCGCAGGGGTTTATAAAGAGTACACCTGCGCCGCCAGACCAGGGGGAAATTTATTAAATGACCATCCCCGGCAAACGGTATTATGCAGAACCTTCTTCTCTCTGCTTTGGCATTTAGTGTCGCGGCTGATGCATATGGCTCAGGGGCTGCCGGCTGGAATGCGGCTTACTCAAAGGCCCAAGCAGCCCTTCTCAAGCTAAACCAGACCGAAAAAGTCGGCCTTGCCACTGGCCTCGGTTGGGAAGGAGGGCCCCTGCGTGGGCAACACCTATGCTGCCAGCTCAATTGGATATCCCTCCTTATGCCTACAGGACTCGCCCTTGGGGATCCGTTTTGCCAATCCTGTCACAGCTTTCCCGGCGGGTATCAATGCCGGAGCCACTTGGGATCGTAGTCTCTTGCATGCGCGTGGCGCTGCAATGGGAAAGGAAGCCAAAGGGCTAGGTGTCCACGTCCAGCTAGGACCAGTCGCTGGACCTCTAGGAAAGAATCCCGATGGTGGTAGAAACTGGGAAGGATTCTCGGTCGACCCGTATCTCAGTGGAGTTGCTATGGAAGAAACTATCCAGGGTATGCAAGATTCGGGCGTTCAGGCCTGCGCCAAGCACTGGCTCGGGAACGAGCAAGAGCACAATCGTGAAACCATGAGCTCTAACATCGGCGACCGTGCGACGCATGAGTTGTATGTATGGCCGTTCATGAACGCCGTCAGGGCCAATGTCGCATCTGTCATGTGCTCCTATAACAAATTGAACGAGACTTGGGCCTGTGAGAGTGACGCTCTCTTGAACGATCTGATGAAGGAGGAGCTAGGCTTCCCTGGCTACATTGTGACCGACTGGAACGCGCAGCACACTGGTGTCAACAGTGCCCTGGCTGGACTTGACATGACGATGCCTGGTAGTGACTTCAATAAACCCCCCGGTAGCAAATTCTGGGGACCAAATCTCGTGCAGGCTGTTGCTAATGGCTCTGTGCCACAAGCGCGTCTGGATGACATGGCAACGCGTATCCTGGCAGCTTGGTATCTTCTTGATCAGGATAAAGGCTACCCTGAGGTGACTTTCAGCTCTTGGAATGGCGGCAAAGCGAGTGTCGACGTCACAGCAGACCATGCGACTGTCGTCCGCACCGTTGCCCGCGATTCCATTGTCCTATTGAAGAATGAGAAACATGCTCTGCCTCTTCGGCAACCTAAGAGCCTGGCCATTATTGGACAGGATGCTATCGTCAACCCCAATGGTCCCAATTCATGTGCGGACCGCGGCTGCAACACCGGCACGCTCGCTATGGGGTGGGGCAGTGGCACATCCGAGTTCCCTGTAAGCAAGCCAGTGCCAGCACATCAACCGCAAATCCGATAAGCTGACAATACCGCTCTAGTACCTCGTTGCTCCTCTTGATGCAATCCAAGTCCAGGCCAAAAAGGACGGTACCGAAATTATCCAGAGTACGACCGACAGCACTACGGCTGCTGCCTCCGCTGCCGCAGCGGCGGAAACTGCCGTAGTCTTCATTAACGCAGACGGTGGCGAAGGGTGAGTTGGACTTGTGTCAGTTAGGATGTATTTGCAACCACTAACACAGTGCCTAGTTATATTACAGTGGAGGGCAACGTTGGCGACAGAAATAATCTCGATCCCTGGCACAATGGAAACGAGCTTGTCAAGTCCGTGGCAGCAGTGAACAAAAATGTCATCGTAGTCGTGCACAGTGTTGGGGCCATTACCCTAGAGACTATCCTAGCACAGCCCTCAGTGAAGGCAATTGTCTGGGCCGGACTACCGGGCCAGGAAAGCGGAAACGCCCTGGTTGACGTGCTATATGGCGGCACCTCTCCAAGCGGCAAGCTCCCATACACCATCGCCAAGCAGCCCTCAGACTACGGGGCCAGCTGGAACAGTGCGCTAGACGACAATTTCGTTGAAGGTTTGTTTATTGACTACCGCCACTTCGACAAGAATGGCATCGCCCCGCGCTACGAGTTTGGTTATGGCTTGTCGTATACGACCTTCAACTACAGTGGACTTGCGGTTAGCATTTCTGCCACAGCTGGAGCATCAAATGGACAAATTATCCCTGGCGGGCCGGAGGACCTTTTCAAATCGGTCGGCACTATCTCGGTCATTGTCCAGAACACTGGCGAGGTAGCTGGTGCTGAGATTGCTCAGCTGTATCTTGGTCTTCCGGATTCTGCTCCAAGTACCCCACCCAAGCAGCTGCGAGGATTCCAGAAGTTGAATCTCCAACCGGGCGCCCCAGGGACGGCTACTTTCGAGCTCACCCGGCGTGACTTGAGCTACTGGGACGTGCAGTCACAGAAGTGGGTTGTGCCTAGTGGTACCTTCACTGTCTATGTTGGAAGTTCCAGTCGGGATATTCGCGAGGATGGAACGTTCACTGTCACTCAGTAGTATATTTTTATATTTTGACTTGTACATATCTGTTGTTTGGAAACGACTTGTCTCATGATGGATTTTTGGGTTTGAAAATATGGCAACTAAATTCACGACTCAATTTACCGACAGTTTCTAGGTCCAGACTTCCTTTGTTAAGATTCGTGTCTTTATCCACAAAGGACCTTATCCCTAAGACACGGTGCCCTCGGATTATTTGCACCCAAGAGAAGAGGCGGTAAAGCAATAAAGAACACAAAAAATGGGCTTTGTAACTACTGTTCCTTTTATTGCCAATGGGCATAGTATTAACTATCTTATTCAAATGTATATAGTAGCTCACAAGTATAAATATCATAAGCCAGTCCGTTTCCTTCTCCAAGTAGCAAACTATACCTAGTTCTCGATCTATCTTCAGCGACTAACATATACAGATCCACCTCTCCCACTTTATCCCAACTACTCATTCATTCATTTCTCAAGAACAATGGCTTGGTGGGACAGCTCTACACCCGGCTGGGTCTACAATCTCATGCCAACCTACGAACAAGAGATCTACAGGTTCCGACTAGAACTCGAGGGTGAGATTGAGATACTGGCCAACCACCCGGGCCATCAACACATAGTGAGCCAGAGACTGACCATGACTGCTAGATCCTTGCGGAAAGTCACAATGCTGGCGAATGATATCTCCGTATATTTTCCGGATAATCCATTCGTCACTCGTAAACGCCCTGGTTTCTTCCGGACTACTTTCCCGAGACTTTGTGATTTTATCGAGAGGACTTTGATTGAGCTGAGTAGAACTCTAATACATGATCCGCAGAGTGAGGTTTCTGTTGCATGGCAGCTTCAGGATATACTGGATTCTCTATAGTTCTAGTATTTATTGGTTCGTTCTCATGCCATTCAAAAGATGTATCTGCAGTACGCTTGGTTTTGGTCATTTTGGACTACTTATCTATACCTAACAAGTAAAGAAATATTTAAAATGATACCAGTAGAATTAAAGCAGAGTAAGAATTGGTTCGTGCCGTCAGCTGAATATCGGAGACGACCTCACCATTTTTCCACACGACCCAGCATGGATGACTTCATATCTGCTTGCTATTGAGATTTTTACTAGCCTCATATATATAATGGTCTGTAATTTCAGCTTACCTCGACCTTTTTCCGGTCGGAAAAGAGTTCCATATCACTATTTAATTATTTCCAGGTTGCGTTTCTTGTGACTACATACTAAACGATACTTACGGCGTGCTTAAACAATTTGGCTTGTCTTTTTCGAGTTTTATTTTCGTCCTCATTTAAAGCTTGGAATGAGAGGTTGTTCGCCTAAACTATGTGCAAGGAGGCTGGGAGTGGCTGGGTTATCAACCAGCCCACTACAAATATGCGACAGCGAAACGCCTGAAGCTACATAATTTAGATTTGACTTCAAAAGTTTGATACAATTTTACTATACCGCGATATAGTGATTTCGAACGTGTCGTCAGTCAAAACTTACCTGCCAATACCTAAGGCTCTCAGCAATGTCATGGACGGTTATTTTTTTCTCAGTCTAGCCAGCCGATATTCGGCGCGATGTTCCCACTCATATCCAATTTGAAATGCCTCTCATCAAAAGTGGAATGTAATTAGTGAAATTCCTCATAACAACGATGTCCTTCACATACAAGGACCAAGCCGTCCCTGTGTGAGTCCAAGCCAACTCAGAATCATCACAGGCTACCCTGAAAGGATTGACATGCGTTTCCAATCTGGACAATGGAGCTTCTTGCTTGCAATTATATTAGCAAGTTTGTTTGCTTCTGCCGAATCTAAGGATCCGGAGCATCCAAAATCAACCTTCACATTTGACCAGCTCTGGAAACTCGAAAAGGGCTTTTGGGATTCCTTTCTCTACCCTGCAAATCTTCAACAAACGCAAGGCAATGCATCGACTATTTTCGCATCAGATGTCAGTTTATCCCAGTCTTTGCGGTGTTCTGGTTTCAATAGTCTAACACAATACAGGTGCAAGGCCGTGTCGACATCACCCGCACCTTCGATGGCGACGAGCTAAACCGCGAATACATATTCGGCCTATTCGCAGATCCAGATCACGTCAGTCTCGTCGGTATCCCGATCGCATATAACATCACTCAATTTACTGCCAACGACAACATCGCTTCTGCGACAACGGTGGTCACCTTTAATGCAACTAGTTTCGGCGTCCTCATCCCAGTGACGATCGACACATGGATCGAGTTCAACGCAGACGGCAAGATCGCACAGTACGACGCGACATTCCGCTGGTTCGAATATTTGCTGGACTTCCTTGTCCAAGGAGTCGCAACAAAAATAAACGCTACTTCGCCCGACCAGGCTGTCGCCTATGTTGCTGATTTGCTGGCCACGACGATCTGTGATACACACGAACAGTATTGTACGGGTTCGAACCAGCAATATACAGACACCGCAAGTTGTTATGACTTTTTGACTAAGACTCTACGATTTGGAAAAGCACACGAGTTGGGTCGTAACACACTGCTGTGTCGCGAGGTTCACGAGCATATGGTGCAGTACCGGCCCGACGTGCATTGTTCGCATATCGGTCCTGGTGGTGGTGGATACTGTGTTGATGATATGGACTACATGCAAACTGTGTTACAGAGGTACTTCAATGACTCTTGGATTCCGTTTGGATATGGCACAGATCAGAATATTTGGCTCGCCAACTGAAGGGGCATCACCTGGGGTAAGGAACTGATCTTCCACTCATATTTTTATGCATAATCTTTGGAGTTAAATATACGGGCCCATATCCGCAATGTATTGAGTGCACGATAACTAGCTCTTTCGCCTGCTGGGACATGTAGGTGGGAACAATTGAAAATCGTGCCCACAGACTCAGGATGGTGAATCAACAACTCCCTTAAAAACCATTCTGCTGGCCTTCAGCACAACTTGCTCCTCTGTCACATGAAAATTCAACTCAGAGTTTTCGGAAACTTGTATTCAGCTCCATGCTGTGAATACCACATGTCATTTAGAATCCTGCGCCAGCCAAACATAGTCTCACGATCTGCTAGGAGTGTGACCACAGCGAACTTAAAACGATGCAATATTGCCATGGACCATATGAAGGGCTCACAGGCATCATATATTGGCATGCCGTTATCTACGCCATCTTGGGTGCTATGTCACACCAAACACGAGATGATTGGCGCTTTTATAGCCCCTTGATTATAAGGTCCAAGCCTGCTAGTTGATCCTCAGTCTAACGTGGCACTAGGCGGAGTTGTACCGAGCAAGGGGCTGTTTAGTGATCTGCAGCTCGGAGCTTTATGGGTGATATCATAGGGCATACACCGGCACAAGTCTCCGACTTCTTTAACCTCATTTGGCGATGATCATACTCTACATTCCAATCCCTTCGCACGTCCGTCCCTAACCGTGTTTTATGCTGCCCCAGCTTACAATCCTCCGTCGTAGACCGAGGTAGCTCTCTATTCCCCACGCAAATCACGTCAGTTTCAGCCTTTTAAAAACGTTGTTTTCTTCGAAGCTTCAAAGCAGGGGCTCAATATCATACCCCAGCACAACACATTCATCAAAGTGGTCTCGCCAATTTACATATATCCACATCGGAATCATCAGATTCCCACCCTGATTGCGAAATCAGCGATATTGCGCTACCACTCGTGTTTGGGGTAGATACGCAAGTGTATAATATCCCGCTCGGCCGTTGAAGTTGCATGCCAGCCTTAATGGTCTACGTACAGAAATTCCTTCCGTCACCTGGCTGATCTTTACCAAGGGTTCTTGCCATCCCTTCGAACGCTAGACCTCCTTGACATGATCAAACAATGTGACCAAAATTTCTTATTGCTTAATATAGATGCCGTTAAAATGGGCACATTCACCGTTAGAACTTGCTTTTGGTCTCTAATGTCCCTGTCTACTCAGACCCACAGAATTCAACATCACCAATATGGATAGAAGACGCCCTTCTTGCAGCAACTCACTACCTAGCAGTGAAGCTCAGATACGATTGTGCCCTGAAAAGTTCGATGAATCGTCCACCGATGATGGACAGAAGTTACCACCCGTTGACGGAGGGTTCCAGGCATGGATGTTTCTGGCAGCTTGTGTAATGCTCGAGGCTTTGATATGGGGTAAGTCGAGACTCCAAAGAGATGGCAACCCCGAGGCTAACTATGAGCAGGATTTGCTTTTGCATTCGGAGTCTTCCAAAAATACTACCACGCCCATGAAGCCTTCCAGGACTCTAATATGGTAGCTGTTATTGGAACATGTGCTACAGTGAGACCACCAGCTTCACTTACAACGGTCTATTGCTAACACCATCGACAGGGAATATCCTATTTGAGCTGTCCACTGGTCATTGTTGCTATGATCCTCCTTCCTCAATGGGGACGCTGGTTCTCATCTGTAGGGGTGATTATAATGTGTCTTTCCCTGGCATTGGGCTCATTTTCTTCCAATGTCACTCATCTCGTCCTCTCCCAAGGAGTCGGCTTCGGAATCGGCGGCTGTATAGCATACAGTCCATCCATCCTGTATATGGACGAGTGGTTCGTCCACAGACGAGGTCTCGCGTTCGGCATAACCTGGGCTGGATCAGGTGTATCCGGCATAATATTCCCGATTGGCCTAGAGAAGCTATTGAATCGCTTCGGATTCGAAACTACTCTCAGGGTCATATCCGTGGTGGTGTTCGTTCTCGCTGCGCCTTTCATCTACTTCCACAAACCCCGGCTTCCAGTCAGGAAAACAGTCGACTATCAACGTCTGAACTTCCGCTTCCTTACAACCAGGATATTTTGCGTCTATCAACTCGGCAACATTATAGAAGCACTGGGGTTCTTCTTGCCCGGTATTTATCTACCGACTTATGCCCGCAGCATTGGCGCTACGGATTTTCTCTCCTCGTTGACCATCACGCTTTTGAATCTGGCGTCGGTTTTTGGGAGCGTCACTATGGGACATCTGGCAGATCGATATCATGCTATCACCTGCATTACCATCTCGACTGTCGGGAGTACTCTGTCTGTGTTTTTCCTCTGGGGGTTTGCATCAACATTGCCCACATTACTTGTTTTTTCTGTCGCATACGGATTATTTGCAGGGTGTTACTCGGCGACGTGGTCGGGGATAACTCACGAGGTCCGACGAGTCGATCCGTCTGCCGACGCAACTATCATCTTCGCGGTTATTGCCTTTGGGCGAGGAATTGGAAATGTCGTTAGCGGTCCATTAAGTGAGGCTATACTTGATGTAGACCCGTGGAAGGACTCTGCTGCAGCGGGCTATGGCAGTGGATATGGGGTTATCATCTTGTGTACGGGGATTAGTTGCTTGTTGAGCGGAGTATGTATAGTCGCGCATTATATGAAATGTATATAGGCGAGTCTCGTTGCACATTTATGCTGAGCATGAACGTCTGCTTTTTTGTGGGATAAAGAGGGTTGATACCTTTTTCAAATTGATGGGCTCATACTTCCCAGTCTACCAATTATTTCCGTCCCTTCGAGCATACTCTATATTTAAGTCCCCAATTATTTTTGGGAGATTTGATTTAGTAGAAAATCCTTTAGAGACTAGTATTAGTTTTTGTCGGCGATCCGTCAGCATCCGAGTGCACGGAAATATATTATCCTACTCGCTACCATCACCACTTCCACATTTTACTTCAAATATTCAGAGATTGAGTAGCAGTACGTCGCAAATCCAGAAGCCCTTTAAAACCAATAATGTTAAGATTTATTTTCTATGCAACATTTAAGTAGAATTTTCACATCCACGACGCGATGATCCAAGTCACCGGCTCTCCCGACGATCCCGAACCCACTTAATCTTGGATCTTTTCGAAGCTTAAATTTCGACAGATTTTTATATCAAATCTACGTGCCTCCAGCTTGGAGTGGACAAGTGGTCGACGTCATTCCAAGAGAACATGGCAATATTGATTCCACGACACTCTACGCTCAAAGGTTTATATTGTGGTCCATGACGCCAATGTACAGGAGACTACCGGTTATTTAGAAAGTCTACTTAGTATAACGTACTCGAAGACTACCGCATGCATCGCTAGAGTGATGATCACTCGAGATGACTTGGATGATTATGCGGTTTTATGGGTTTAAAAGGTATCCAAATACCTGTGGGCGTAGCAATTCCTCTGTATCTTTACACAATCTCACTCAATTTTCCTATACGATAACTCTTTAGAGATCACTCCAAGAGCTATGCGTTTCAACATCGTCAGCCTCCTCCTGGCCGGAGTTACTGCCACCTCCGCAGCCACCACCACCACCCCCGCAGGCTCAGCCTCAACCTGTTTGCCCTCATCTGCTGATGCAAAGGTCCTCGAATTCGCCCTGGGTGTCTCCAACTTCGTTGGCGGCTTCTACAACTCCACCGTGAACAGTACCTTCGGAAGCTCCACCAACGCCACCATCCAAGCGTACCAGAAGATCCTCTTCGGCCTCGAAAATGACAACACTCTATCAAGCGAGGCCATCGAGAAAGTTGGCGCCCAAGCCCCCGGCTTCTCCGCGCCCAAGTGCGACTACAAGTTCCCCGAGGTCAACAGCACCCAGGCCTGGGCCCAGTGGGCCTCCCGCTTCGAGGATACCGCCACTGGTGCCTTCATCGGTCTCGCCGGCTTTACCGAGTCCCCCGAGGTCTCCTTCCTCATGGCTCGTTTGGCTGCCGAGCACAGCGCCCACGCTGCCTTTATTGGTAGCCGCGTGAACTCGACCTTCTTTGCCCAGAACCATACTTCACTTGTGGCAGCTTACGGCCCCGTTCAGGTATTGTCCACTCGCAACCAGACTGGTAGCCTCGGCCAGTTCCTTGGTGGCTGTCTCACTGCCCCCACTAGCCCTTGTGGCCCGCTGAGAATCGGCCCCTTGGATGCTACTCCCTCCCCCTCTTCCGGTGCCGCGAGCAGCTCTGCTGCTTTCAAGAAGCACTAAGAGGTCAATTTCCGAATGATGACATATAAGCGTCTAACTTGAGGGATGCTTCAAAGTATACGATTGTGTAATAATTTTGGTCAATTTAAGAGGAGGAATATCGCTGTTAAATAGAGCAGGACTGGAATATATGAGATAATTAATGAATTAATTGGGAATGTGTCGATGATACTGCATTATTTTAGATCTAATTTTAATTAAATTAATAGAGAGAGCTCGGGATAGTGTTGGAGTCATGCAAGGCTCATTTGTTCTCGAAATAGACCGTCAAATATTCGATGCTAACGACCATAAAAAGGACTACGGCTACAAATTTCGGATTTCCCCATTGGTATTATAGTCAAAATCTCTGATTTGGTCACTAATGCATTCAGAACCCCGCTATATGTGATTATGACTCCGAATACGAGGTCGGGAGACTGCGTGGCTTCTATCTTCCTGATCTGTAACATCGTCTTTTGCTCCTTGGATATTGTTGCAAATTATTGCTAAGATATCACCGCTCTTTCACATTCCTCAACATCCTTGATTGCATATGCCGAGAGCTACGAAAAAGGACGTGGTGCCCCCCACGTTGGACGAGGATGCGCTGGAGCGGAAGCGCGTACTCAACGTTCTAGCCCAACGAAGATACCGCGAGTCTTCCCCTTTCCAACGAAGAAGCATCGTGCTGATACCAATTACCAGGCAAAAGAAACAAAGACAGAATTCAAGCGTTACTAGCTCGAGCCGAAGGAAACGAGTCGTCAGATGCAATCCCTCCCCCCAACCAGGCACCTTGCACGCTACCCACCGCGCATGAATCATTAGCCACTCATACAATTTCTCCGAGAGAACCATTCTCAGTATTGAGATCTGAACCCACACAGTCATTACCACATGGCTTATCCCTATTAGCATGGAGCTTCCCGTGGTCCCCAACAGGAGAATGGCCCGAGGTGAATACCCCGTCATTCGATTTCAACGAGCATGAAGATCTGGTTGCGAACCAATCACCAGACATTTTGGATTTCCCCAGCAATATTACTGCAGAACTGCAAAATTATGACACCTCCGCTTTCAGCTTCCCAGACGATCGCATCCTCGAAGTTCCATCCCTAACACTCCTGAACGCCGCCATGAAAATCGCCCAACGATTAAACATTACAGATCTAATATGGGACATGTCAGCAGTCAGCCCCTTCTTCCAAGGCGATTCATCGCAGACATTGATGACAGACCCGCCTTCTTTGAATTCTTCGTCGGCATCAGTGTCAGGGCCTTCATCAACAAGATCTCCATCCTATATGACTGTCTTCGACAAACTGCCTTCCCATCTCCAGCCAACTCCTACTCAGCGTTTGATCCCACACCATCCCGTTCTAGATCTGCTTCCTTGGCCAAGTACGCGGGACAAACTCATTCAAGTGTTCAACCTCCCTGTCAATCTACGCCCGCAAACCGCGCGGGATCCTATGGGCGTTGTGCGGCTGGTGTATGATATGGAGGATTCGAGCGGCGAGGGACTGAAGGTGAATGGACAGGATCCATTCGAACCGCAGGAATGGGAGATAGGACAGTTGTTGTTCGAGAGGTGGTGGTGGGCCTTTGAGAGTATTGTTGTGGCAAATAGTAATTGTGCTAGGAGAGATAGGGGAAAGGAGACGTTGAGACTTGAGTGCTGAATTCTATATAGCCCAAGGTCGGTAAATTAGGTTGGAAATATACTAAGGACCCTGCTCTATATTGTAGATCATATTAAAGATTTGATACCATGGGATAGATAGATCATTTTATCTCCATCTCAACTGCCGATAATTGGCCAAGGCCATAGTAGTATTTCCAATATAAAAACCGGTAAAACAGGGAAGGTGCAAAGGAAAAGCAAGGAAGGTGCAACTCATTGTTTTGTCAATTCTGCGTGAGGGGAATCTTGTCTCTTGTAACCCCATTGTTCACCGCTGAACACACTCATCCCTGAGCGACAGACGGAGTGATACAAAATACAACCCAGAATGCTCTACCTGTTTATCTTAGAGGGTTGGGAGGGGTGGGTGATTTCCGTTTGTGTTCCAGAGAGCGTTACTGCTTGTAGTTTGCGCTGCCACACTTCCTGGTTGACGAATGTGACTTTCTGGTTGTTTTTAGTCAAGTATAGTAGCCTTTCTGATGTTGCGATTATACAGTTGAGTTGTCTTTATATCCCCAGCTCACGAAAATACGGCTTATTGCCCGAAAGATCAGTAATCTTAGTATGTACATATGTACGATTTTATATTGAATAGAAACCAGGTACCTTTTGTACTGCACATCCATACAAAAGGTACCTGGTTTCTACATGAAGAACTAGTGGTTCATATACAGTTACAGGAAAGAAAGCCCCGGGATGATATTTACGCAGTCGTGAAAGACCCCGTCTGCTGAAGGTTCTTGATCCTTCCAAGCAAGAACTCCAAGTGCCTATAACCCGCACCGGGAGTATACTGCGGAATCTCATGACCAGCAGTATAGACCGAGCTGAAAGTAAGACCACGCTCAGTATGCGCAGTTCCAAGGATACCGCCGCCAGAATCAGCATTCCAAGGAGTAGAGGTCTTCCCATTAGCAAGAGCATCGAGAGCAGTCGTATACGGCACAAACAGGGGTTCGGTAGGTGGCTTCTGGAAACCCTGCGCTCCATTCCAAGTCATATTCTGGATCGTAGCGAGGGTTCCATTGGCGAAGAGGAGGTAATCGTACCAACCATGGCCGATCAGGACGTTGTTTGTGCGCTCGATGACGCTGGGGAGCGGGCCGAGCGCGCTGGGCACGGAACCATCGCCGTGGGTGAAGATGTCGCCGCCGCAGACTTCGTAGTGCGTTGGCGGGACGTTGAGGGCTTTTTGGACGGCGGAGCTGTTGAAGTAGTCGTTGGGTCCGCCGGCTAGTGAGGGGAAGCCCATTTCGTCCCAGAGGAAGGGGCAGAAGTCTGTTAGGTGATACATGTTGAAACAGGGGTTGACGTAGGTTGCTGCCTTGACGATTTCGTCCCAGACGTCGCATCCGGGCTGGTTGGGGTCTGGTGCTCTCGGGAAATTCTTTGGTGGGGGGTAAGTTAAGGCTTCGTTAAGGAATTTGGTGTAGCCGCATTTGGCGTCACGCTGGTTGATTTCTGTCATGAAGGTGTCGTTCAGGGCGAAAACGGAGGAGTAGTGGTTCAGCGCTGCCACGGCCGGGGCTATCGAATTCCGTTAGTATGAGGGATTTTCATCGGGTAGAGCGACAACTGACCATAGATCATAACATCATCCTCGTTAATGGACGGGTCGTTAATCTGGATGCCCTTGACGTTGAAATGCGTGGTGTCGTTGCGGTTTAACATCCCGTCTGCCAGATACGGAATGTATTGGCCAGCATAACTCTCTCCGGTGAGATAAATCTTGTAGCCCTGCATACTGAAGGTCTCAATGAAGCGCACCCAGAAATCATTGAATTGATTTGAGATATCGATCTCATTTTCAACAGTGGATGGTCCCGGAGAAAAGCCAGTGCTGGCAGGCTGGTCGATGTAGACCAGGTTTGTCAAGTGGGTCCATGAGTAGGGGTTGCGCACAGGCTCGTACACTCCAGATTGCCACAAGAAGGGGCCGTTCTCTTGCAGCAGACCGTCAAGCGAACTGCATCCGGGGCCTCCATTCAGCCAGATGGTAATCTTTAGAGGAAATTAGATGGAACTCTGCGCACAAATTGAAATCGACGTACCTCTTTTTCCGCAGCTGGGTTGGTAGATGGGAAGAACCAGAAGAACAAGCTCGATTCTCCCTGGTGCTTACCCGACGATTTTCCATGAGGCTTATTCGACAGAAGACCGGCATAGCTCTCGCCGATGTCAAAAGGAACTTGTGGGAAGTGGGTTCCGTTCACTTGGAATTCTAGCAGAAGTTATTTGTAAGTAAAAAGTCTTATATTCCCCCAAGACAAAGTTCCACACTTACTTTGGGTCTTCTTGTTCAGATACTGATGCTCAGTCGGAGCAGCGGATACCTCTCTTTTACGCAGACCACTTGCAGGCTGTTTGAAAGATGCAGCCTTGCGATGGGGATTTTGTACCGCCGCAACCGCGGCCACCAAGAAAGTAAACGGTGCCAAAACCAACATTGTGTGATAATCCTCCGCGAGCTTGGAGAACCCGAGTTGGGGCCGAGGAGCACGGAGGTCCGCTTTTATAATCCCATTGTCTTTCTCTCAGCGAGGCGCGATAATCGGAGCGATTCGCGTTTTGCAGGCGTGGATATTAACACACTACTAAGCTTTGCCAATAGAGATCGTTGCTAGTTGGGGCGAGACCCGCTATGTGGTAGACATTGGCTGCTAGCAAGCGGGATCTGCAGTGGTTGCAACGTCGTCAGGAACAGCCGGCATGGCGATTTGATTACCCGTCCTTTTACTCCGACGGAGTCCGGTACCGAGCACATGATGCAGTCGTAGCGTCGGTCATCTGTCCATTTGAAGAGATATCGATGCATATGAATTCCATATTTATTGAACAGGTACGGTCGCGGTGGGGCAAGACCTTGATGTCGAGGTGTTGATCTTAGTGAATGCACTTTGTAGGGTCAGAATGTGCGGTATTTATCCTGCTGCCTGTACCATGTACCTGCAGGATCCCAAATCGGATCAAATCAATTTGATACCACCCGAGAAATGTGGATCATGACACATCCTGAAGAGGTCTACCTAGGTAGATACCATCGACGTGTGTTCCCATCTGTGTTCCCATCGCATGGATAACCCTGTTGGATATCTGGTGATCTTCAAGGATCTCGGTCAGGGGAGAATTGAACATGAATATGTGGAATTAAATCGACATGCCGATGCTGGGGAGAAAATATCGCGCAAGGGTAGCTAGATGTATAGAGACTTTTCGAAGGTTCCAAGGCTGAAAGGATTTGGTGATTAATAGGCCTCAGGCAGCGATGCATCCAACACATCAAATGTGTGGCTTCTCCAAGTTGTGCATGTACAACACACGCTGCTCTTTTTTTCAATATAGCCCATGATATATACCCCTTTTCTAGATCAGCTGCATTTCGCCATCCTATATCGAACCGTGTGATAGCATACGCATACGCCGCATATACTTATCTGGCTCCCTGTGTATCTGGTGCGATAACGCTGATACAAAGACCCTTGGATGTCCCCAAAGTGAACAAGATCAGCGCTCAATCACAAAAGACAGAGATATAATCTAACATTGAGCTGAAAATAAAATGCACAAGGTGATTTTACTAAAGATAATTATCTTGCCCCTTGTTGAGAAATCATGTGACCTCTGCTATTTGTTCCAGTTCCACGACAGATAGTTTTTCTCTGCTTAATACACTCGATATATTTCCAGATCGTGCTATTTAGTCCTCTTCTAGATCTATCTCCTCTCACCCCTCTGAGAAAGACTAACTTTCATTGCCTAACAAGATCTAACCCCGCATCTATATCACGCTGCATAAACATCGCTCGTAATATATGCATAGTCAACGCATCTTCATGCCCAAAGTGTTCTCGGCGCCCGATCTATCCTATAGCCAATGCGGTATATTTTTTCCGCGGCTTTTGGGCAGCCTTTAAAATACAAACATGTATTTTGATTTCGAAAGTGAATTGAATCTCGTGTGAACAGCGCTCACCTACTACATGTTTCAGCATCGCGTTGCCAAGGATTTACATGTCGAAAAGGCAGTTTTAATATTTTGTAGATGCATGTTCTATTGCATATTATTGCGGGGTAACGGCAGTGGGATCAGAGTTGCTTTTTCGTAGTACATGTACGGAGTAGAGAGAGGTGATTACCTGTTTGAAAAACAATTCGGGGTCGGGAATATTATTACGTATTAAGCTCATGCTGATGCTATGATGAGGTAGCGAACCCATTCCGCAGCTATTTTTGAGATCGGAAACCTAAGCTGTCATTATTGTCGGTGTCTGGGGATGGAATGGGGAATTCGTGATCTGCATCTAGCGGCATCTGCGAGGGGCGGATACGGCGTGTGCGCGATCAGCACTGCGCAACAGCTGACATTCCTCGATCGACAGTGGGGTTAGGTATCTTGGTGATTTTTACGGAGTAGATAAATCTATGTTGCACGCTCGCTGTGAGATCGGGGTCACAAAATCGTAGTTCATAGAGCTAGAGCACATACAACAACTACTATCTAGTGCGGCAGGTGGAATCATTCTATTGAAATATTGAAATACCAAGGTAGAGGAGGAGCTTGGTTGGCTACTGGTCACGTTGACCAACACGAACACGAGGGAAGAATTTGAAATTTGAAATGGGCCTTCGGCCTTTCATTTGTTGAAGTACGTACATAATTTATCGATATACAGGACAATTATCCATATACCCATTAAACAAACAAACCAAAAGTCGAAAGCCTCTCGAAACATATAACCATAAACTCCCGAATACAAAAAGGATAACACATGACCGTTTCCATATCCCAAAATTGAAACCCAACCAAAGCCCAAACCCCGAATCCCAAACAGTCCATCCAGGTATCATTCCATAGTAATCATCAAGTAGCCTTTCGTCAGGGTCGTGAAGTTGTCGAAGTTGGGATACCCGTTTAATGAGTGTTGCGTCGTTTCTTGAGTCGAAGACTGATTTTCTTTCGTAGTTCAGAGAACGGGTTCACCAGGGGACGGTTGTAGAATGGATCGTTTTTGAAGTCCTCGTCGGTGAATTTCTGGAACAGAGTTAGTAATCGTGACACAAATAGGATGGAAAGAAAGATATACCGTGCCAGGAAGGCGCATAAAGTTACCAGAAAAGTCGTTCATCATATTCGAACCCTCTTCGTAAGAGTACTCCTGGCCGTTGCGATCCGTGGTTCCAGGAGGATAAAAGGCAACGCCATCCAGTGGGCGGTGACTGTTTAGGGCGTCGGCGATCTTGTGGTGGGGAGTAGCCCGTAGGGCCTCGGCATTTGACTCCTTGACAGCTTCCAGCGGGCTGGACTGACTAAAGCGGTTTCGTTCAGGGCGGACCGCGTCGTACGGGCCCTCGTGGTGATAGGTGAAATCGGTGACATCATCCAGCCTGTCGATGATATCGGGTTGCACAAGCTGTGAGTGTCGGGGGTACTTGTTGGTGCGGCGGCGATGGGAAGTAGAGTACTCGCGTTTGCGTCTCGGCTCTACCGGATAATGTTCGGGTGTGCCGGAATACCAAATGGAAGGCGCGGAGTTCACAGACTCAGAACGCGACCGTAGAGAGTAGGCTGAGGGTGCTGGTGAAATATAGCACGCATATGGGTTGTTGCCGCCCATGCGTGTCCCCACGTTTTGGTGTCGATCTTGACTGAGTTGGTTGAAGGGATGGTGGGGATGGTGGCCAGAGGCCATGGGGATGCAGTCGACTGCCATTTCGATGTCGTTTGAAGTGTTCTTGTACAATGATAAGATATCCAGGGTGAAAGGCGCAAGGCGCGAAGATTACCCGGGTATTATAAGTATGAGTACTTTATTTAGAACAAGTGAGGCTGAGCAGTGATGCAGGGTAGCTCGTACAGCAGCTGAGGATGTTGCCTGTAAGAGAAGAAGAAACAAATAGATGAAGATGGGTAGATGTAGATGGGAGAATTACGAGTGACTCAAGGAGAGCCCAGGAGCTTATATCAGAGGGAAGCCGCGGACGTGACGTGATGACTTGCGATGTAGCCCACGCTTAATGATCCTCGTGGCTATACATGGATTAGTAGCTTCTAAGGTGGGTTTAGTACTGCATTAGCATTTTCAGTAACTGCATGTACCAATTATCGTTTAGAATAAACGATCATGTGGGTCAATATGTTGGGCTTAGTACTTGAGGCTGCCGACTCCCGGAACGTCGACGAAGAATGGAGTTGGTGATATCATGGGATATGGTAGGTACACAGGTACCACTCAATAACTTCCTCTACTTTCCCGATTACAGACAAAAGAATTGGACTGGACTAGAATTCTATAGTTATTTTGCTTGAAAATAAGTCCCATGATTCACCATTCATGAAGACTAAATCTATGCAAGGCCCATGTTGCATCCAACATCCGAGACTTCCACGCAGTCCGCGCACTGATCGACTCCTATGACGATATCCCTACCTGAAGTGCCTCCACATATACAGTTTTTTTTTCTGGTTCTTTGCTATTTTCAATCGTCATCCTCCCAGCAACCCATACCTAGGTACACCTGAAAGAAAAGTTTACTTAATAAGCTAAAAAAACGCCGGATATCTATTCCCGGAGTTTCCGGGCGATGACTCGTTCATGGATTAAGCTTATCGCTAGGGGGAATAGCGGTCTCATTGCCCTTGGCAAGCTATGCTACCCCTGGCCTGGTCTAGATCTCGACTCTACCTAAATTCCCTTGGAAATTCTCAAATTCTTTATGTATTATCTTTTCACCGCTTTTTGCTCCTTGTTCCTATTTACGTATATTTTCTCTCATCCTACACACATATAATCTGCAACAGATGTCTCAGCATAGCTACACATGTATACAATATAGCTAATTGAAACTTTTGGTGTGCTTCACATTCGTTTTTCTGTGGAGCAATAAATCAATACCATTTCTCATCTCACAACAAAATCGGCGTGGTTGATGCTGATAGTAGGGTAACTCTCCCGATCAACCACGGATAATTATTTTTGTCCCTATGGAGCTATAGAGCGGTGCACAAAATAATTCATCGCAGTTATACGGAACTAGAACAGTTTGCGATATGTAATTGATGAATTCAAAATTGCATGTGAAGGGGCTATACAACGCCACAGAGAAGAGGAGGAATACGGTCCGCCGTAGGATTGCCACCACTCCAAGTTGGATCTGCAGCGAAGGTGGAATACAATAACAATATCTGGGATATTGATCGGTTCAACCTCATGTTTATATGAACGATCAACATTCTCACACAGCGGGGCCGTCTTATACAGCTCATCCGCCAGACCAGGCGAGATTCTCACACAACAAAACTCTGTCGTGAGTATAGTATTAGGCCAATGTTCAATATTTCCCACTAAATTAGAGATCCATGGGTTGAAGTCACGCTCACTTTGTGGGTCAGGAGCAGGTACTGTGGTAAGAGCGGTGCTCAACACTGTGAGAGGGGTTTTGATTTTCATCTTTGCTTGCAAAATAATCACAATTCTGTGTGAGTCAGTCTATATATAAGACTTGTGGAGGGTGAGTCTTACCGTATGTGTAACCTAGTTGACTAGCAGTAGATTGGCTTTAAAGGTATTTCAAATTTAGGATGAAGCGTTTATCGTATATCGGATTCTTGGCTTCTCTAAAGATTGTGCATTCTCCTCTTGACTTGCCGTGTCAATAGCCTAGGGCCTGTGACGCAATGTAAGAGTAGACAAGAAAGAACGTATGACTGTACAAGGGAACTGGAGACATTGTCGACATGGGAGAAGTACCAATATCAAAACCTACCTAGATAAATTTATAGATGAAATTGAAAACGATGATTGGTTCCTGACTTTACCTTGCTCCACATCTGAGAAACCAAACCTCCATCAACACAACAACTCCCCTGTCACATCGGATGAGATGCCCCTAGTACAATATTCTGATTCGGAATCCGACTCAGAATCTAGATCTTCCCTCCACCCAGCCAAGAAACCTCGCCACAGCATCATTCCAGGGCCATCGCTGCCGCCCTTACCTGCATCATTCCACAACCTCTATGCCTCGAGCACACGTGTGAGCGTGCAAGATAACCCGAGCCTCCATGGTGGCCGAACACGCGTAATTCCTCACGTGGAAGGAAACTGGCCAACACATCTTTACCTTGAATGTGAGTGCCGGGCCCTGGTGTCATTTTACTCGTACAGGGAGCTAACTTTGACAGGGTACCCGGGGAAAGACGAGCTCTCACTCCTTGCAGATGTCATATCTCAGTCTGGGAATGTGCCAGATGAAAAAGCGCCCGTAGTGCACAGTCTTCTACATAGCGATCTCGGTGCCCAGCTACCACTCCATATCAGCCTGTCTCGGTCAGTGATTCTTCGCACCGAGCAGCGTGCCTTGTTCACTGAGGCGCTGCAAAAAGCTATCCACGACTCACATGTTCTATCGTATGTGGCAAATTTACGAATCTCTTCACCATCGTCTAATGCTCGAACTAGATTTTCTGTCCAACCAAATACGTTATATTGGTCATCTAACTATGAAAAGACACGGTGGTTTCTCGTCTTGGGCGTGCAGAGACCGAGCCATGATGGTCTGAACCGCCTCTTGAAGCTGTCAAATGACACTCTTGCTCGATTTGGCCAGCCACCACTTTATGCAGCCTCTTCGACTCAAGGACAGCAGACCAGTGTATCCCTCCGTGATAGGAGCAGCAGTCTGAGCGGCGAGGATTTCTCGGGGTGCTTCCATATCTCACTCGCTTGGAGTCTGTCAGAGCCCAGCCTAAAGGAGCGTGAACGGATTGCTGGGGTAGATCTGCGAGCTTTGCGGGAAATCCAGGTTGGATTCCATAGTGTCAAAGCAAAGATTGGAAATATTGTCGGTAGTATACCATTAGGAAAAAGCTCATGAGATTGCATCTTTACTATTTTCTGGGTGCTTCTTTTCAGAGGTTATTCATAATTATAGGTTGATAATCGTACAAATTTTGGTGTTGATACACCTCGCCGTCGTTATATTCACATTCAACCATATAAACTTCTATTTACCTCCTAACTCCTAGCTTCTTACGCCCCCCCCTATAGGCTTTTTCGCCCCCCCCAAAAAAACAAACGAGCGCCCACCTGCCGCCGTGTGGAGTGCGGCGTTAAATGCTTATAGCACAATGTTCACTATATATCGTAGTTAACTGGCTAATATATCCGTACTCTTCTCATCCACCTCACTTGCGGTGCTTCGGGACTACTTGTCCTCTCATAAGTCGTTGAAAGCGAAGCAAAGTCGTAGTGCTGCCCCCGCCCAGGCAATAGACCTTTGCCTCCTTCAACTTGGTATCGGTAATTACGGTAATATTACCCGCATGATCGCGTCTTCCCGCGACCACTCCCATCTTTCTCCATCAACACCGGGCCACCATGCAGGTCCCAAAGGTAACTCTGGTGAGTCTCTCCATTATCAGTAATCATGATATTTTCTAACCTGTCTATCTAATCCAGAATGACCTCCAAGCCTTCCAATCTCAGCATTTCCCTGGCCAACAGCTGGCTGTGTTTCCCCAAGAAAATGACCAGCCCACAGACGAGGATCTCGGATATTACCCAGACGGAGTGAAGCGCACACTCACAGATGAGCAGATTCGGATCTTCAGACATAGCGAAATCCATGCCCTGCTACGAGAGAGGCAGCTCCAGGCTGATGAGGAGCAATACCAAGCTCGGATGCAAACATCTCTAGACGATGGATCCGGGGGTAAACCAGACGCTGCGCCGGAGAAGCGACCGCTAGACTCTGAGTCTCAGATGCAAGGCGGGGATCAGAAGCGGTTGCAGTCACGGAAGGTGTCTAAGAAACACACTCCGGAGGAGAAGTCTTCAAAGCTCCTGGACTACGGGGACGACTCTGATCAAACAAAAATGGCAAGGCCACCTGTGTCCCAAATGCCCTACCAAGGGCGCAGGATTATTTCCTACGATGACTGATCTAATCTACCTGAACTATGTGGCGATGTTCGAGTCAGTTTCCCCACCTCCAGGTTGAGTATCTGGTCAGAAGCCCCTATATTTCATCCAATGGACAACAGCATGGCCTACACTCATCGCCAAATTGACAAAGCGGTAAGTCATCCACATTCTATCCCACTGTACCCTTGCCCGTTTATGATGAATACATCGTATCATCCTTAGCCGGAAAGCCATACCATCTGCGGATGTGTGAGGCATTGACGACCTTAATCTTCTCTCTGAGGGCTTCTTCATACATTTCAATCACATTCACACATGTTAAGTAGCGATTCTAACAGCTTATCAGATTTCGTTACTTTACGTCCGCTTCTTTTGACGAAAGCATGTCACTTTTCGCATCCGTGCAAAGAACCGCCAGCCCACCACTCCCACAAAAGCTCTCAATAATCCCCTCCTATCCCTGGATGTCCCGAGCGACATAACGATGAGCTGGATTCTGCTGGCCCTGGAGCTATTAGATCGTTTGACGAAAGCACTTGTTTGGTCTCCACGATTCTATCCAAAAGAAGAGCGACTGGCCATCCTCGTCAGTTGATGAATTCACCGGTACAGCTAACCCACATCCAAAGTTCGCCGGTCGCGAAGGTCGACAAAGTTGACAAAGTGGAATACCTGACATCCGAGATCCGATCATCGGGCCTCGCGGGCTCTCTTTCATAATCGTTGAAGCTCGATATCAAAACCGTTGGTGTCGTCCCAATGAGCAGACTTGAGCGTATGTGCTCACGGTGCCTTGAATTGGCAGACTGTTAGCAATGAGCACAACCCCCGGTCTTCGGCTTATCCGATTTTCAAGACCAGGTTCATTAAATACAATTTTGATTGAGATACCATCTTTTAAGCAAATTTCCCAATGTAGTATTGTTGGCCGAGCACGCTCGCGGCCATGGCTCCACCCCAGGGATCAAACTACAAAGTAGGTTCGCCAAAGCCACCATCTCGTCACTAATCGCGTTTCTCGCCTCCAGCCAGACGAACCTCGCACCTGACAAGATCCCATGCTGAACCTTCCGACCCTTGACAATTGGACTGGTGTAGAGATACCCCCGATCAGAGACCAGGCACGCCCACTGAACCCCCAGCAGAGAAGACGAACAGAGCATATCCCACATCTGTAATCCTCTCTTTATCCAACTTGCCCCCAATCTGAGCCGGCATCCCGAAGTATCACAAACAACCCGAAAACCAAAGTCCATCCCAGGCTCCTACAACACATACACCCTCCCATAATTTACCCCTTCAACAACCGCAGTGTGGCTCAGCTCCCACCCCACAACGACAGAAATTACAAAGCGTTCGGAGCGCACAAGATGAGCAACGACGCATTCCACTACTTTTCCAAGCTGCCTCTAGAGCTACGCTGTATGATCTGGATGCACTGTCTACCGCATCGAATAGCAGAAGAAGATACCCCTGACAGCTTTTTCGACGGCTACCAATCCAAACACGTCTGCTGGAACCGACGCATGACACTCCAAAACGCGCAGCTGCCGGCCATTGCATACATCAACAGCGAGTCTCGGCAAGTTGCATTGGGGCAAGGACGCCTATTGGAGCCGGCTGATGTGAGAACCATGGAGTCGCTATGGGTGCAGCCGCATCGAGATTTGCTGCATCTTAACTGGACGCGATTGACCTATGCTTCCTGGGGAGTTGATTCCGACGCTCCAGGCTGGGTCGACGAGTTTCTATTGCAAGCGAAGGAACTTGGGATGCGGCCTTCTGTCGCGGCAGATCTTATTCACGTTTTTAGCTTGAAGGCAGTGTTGGATTGCGCTGGCGATGCCGATGCGCTTGGCACCCATAACCCTTTTCATTTCGGCATATCGGACATCGCGAAAATTCTTTATCACTGCAGAGGAGAAGGAGCTGATGACGTGCGCCAAATGGTCGATATCCCACCTTGGGCGAAAGGTCAACGCAGCAGGCTAGACATAGCCATGGCGGGGGTTTCTCTGCACATCACCAGGGAAGTTGCTCTGAGGTCTGGTCTATTCGGGCCGCTGGGCGATGCGCCTGTTCAGATGGTCGATGTTGACGATGAGGCTCGGTTGAGGGAATTCCAAGCACTATACCGGGAACACGCATTGGAAAAGGAACCGGTCGTGCAAACGCTTTTCGAAACATTTACCAGTTCTCTATTCAAAACGGCCGTGGAAATATGGAAAAGAAAAGCTGAATGGACTATCCTCGCATACATGTGGCAGTCGGCTCGAGACAGAAATCTCAACATTCTTGGGACCAACCCGGGCTCCGCTTGGCTGCCTCAACTGTCGGAGCAAGAGTACATCTATATGGACCAGTATTTGCCCAATAAGCAGCACCCGTGGGTGAAACATGCTAGGCAGACTGCACCCAAGCTGCGACTGCGGATCATGGTGCGATATTGTACCAATCAGTGTTACATAAAGGAGCGACTTCCCAAAGGCTTTGCGTTTGATAAATAATAGTAAATACCAATGCAGATTCTTTTTTGAAAAATAACACAACAGTGCGTCACGCGCTGCAAGCCTCAGCAATATGTTTATGTACATCGTCTGCCTTGTAAATAGCCTGGATATGGCTTGGTGATTGTCTCGCGGCATTGGACACGGCGACATATTTCCTCACCCACTGCTCTATCCCCTCGTTAAACCCCGCTGCGTCCTTGTTATCGCTGATGGTCTGGTCCGCGTCAATTTTCCTGTAACCCGGCACTGGCGGCCTCTCTATGGGATCCGTGTACGCGGCAGTGTACCCCTTCGTCGCCAACTCCTTCTTGAAATCGGTAGCGATCTTCTCTGCTTGATCGTAGCGCCGGGCGTCGGCATGGGTCTTGAGCGCGGCTAACATTCTATCGACGCGGTATTTATCCAGAGGCTTCCCCTCCTCCTTGGCTTTAGCGTTGAGCTTGTCTATGGCGCTCGTGCCAATAGTCTCCGCCTCGGTCATGACATGTGCGAAAGTGTCTGGTGGTCCCCAACCCTTGAAGATTTTTGGGTTGTTTACATCGCCCTTGAAGCCAGACTTGTCAATCTCGGTGCTGAAGACGTGGAGGTCCTCACCCTCGCCGATGAGTGCCCAGTTGACCTTATCCCAATCGGGCCCTCTAAATGTTTTTAATGAGGTCTAGGTTGAATAGTAGTATAGGCGTAGAATAGTAAAGCTAATAATGTAGCCCTACTATATATTTGCCTTCTAGGTAGAGGCGTAACAACTAGGATCGACCGCTAAATTGATAACACTAGCCTTTCGTTAAGGGGACAACGGTCAAGAGTGCCGGGTAAACGACTGCATTTGGATAGGGCTAGCGTGGTACATTTTATTGAGGTGACCTGCTGACTTAGCTGCTCTCCCACTTTGCTCAGGCTGCTCAGGTGACGCCCAGAGCAAGTCCTTAAGCTTATGTAATAATCAGGTCAGGTCACGCTCAGTGAGTGGGATTAGGCTGCTCAGGTGACGCTCAGTGAGAGAGTTATCTAGCTTATGTAATAATCATGTGATGCTCATTGAGCGGGTCTAATGATTACGTAATACTCAGGGGCGTGCTCAGTTTTACTCAGTGAGCAAACGGCGGCAAGGGGTGAGGACTAAAACGGAAAGGGAAATCCAACTTGCCCGGCCTAAAATCCGGTGTATATGCAAGAGGCAAGTATGCAACGCAAAGCCAACTCAAGCAGCAACTCGAGATCGAAAGAGGTATCCAAAATATCAAAACAAATGCCCCAAATGCGAAACCAGAACGCCAGAAACCCTTTCCCAGATACAGTTTTATACAAGCCAGGCTAACCCAGCAACAGAAATGCAAAAACGCAGATGCAGCTAAGCATTATTCGCACAAGAAAAGCTCGCACTGCTGGGGTTATCATGAAGAGCTTTTCCCGAGACCCAAAGACCAAGACCGCACAGCGCAGCACCAACAGAGATAACAAGGAAGTTCAGCAAAGTGAGCGCAATCTTCCTCGGCGACGAGAACCACAGACCCTTATTCATAAACAACCAAAAGATCCCACTCAAGCCGTAGGTGAACCAACTAGCAAAGAGCGCGGTAATCAAGCTGAGCAGGTTACTGAACACCGGAATCGCAGCGGAAATAATCCACGCCATGATCCACAGCGCGAGCGCAATACCGATCCACGATCCCGTGGCGATCCAGTCGCGCTTGTGCAGGCGGTCTGTACCCTGGAAAATACGCAAGTAGACGTACTTGAACGCGACATGGCCGTTGATCACACCGGCGATGATGATAGTCGGCAGGGAGATGCCGTATGCGACTTTCGCGACCATCGGCGAGGCGGAGCCCAGCGCTGGAGATGTCACGCCGCTGCCGGCGTACCGGTAGATCACTAGCGCGGCGGTGATGTATAGGCCCATATCGATGCCCTGCAGGAGAAGGAGGGATTTTGTGAAGTCCTTTGGGTTCTTGAGTTCGGCCATTAGGCCGAAGAAGGCGGCGTGGCCGCAGAAGGCGAAGACGATGTTGCAGACCGCCGAGAAGCCGTGGAACAGGTCTGTGTTGACGACTGCGACAACGTCTAGTCCGGGTTTTGTGATGCCGACGCCGATCATGACGATTATGACTGATGTCATGATGCTTCCGAATGCTGGGGTTGGTTAGTGGGTGGTTGCTCGGGATTGGGTGTGGATGGAAACGTACAAACTATAGATAGCCATGACATCTTTTCTAGAGTCCGAGGTAATGAGCAGATGAAGGAGATGATCATGCCGACGATGCCGAAGACGATGGAACAGGTGCCGTGGTTTGTGATGGTGTTCATGGCAACGGTGAAGGTCAACAGGTGGCTGGCCATGATGAAGATGAAGAAGACGATCTGTGCAGCGCCGAGGAATTCCCGTCCCCATTTCCCTGCGATCACTTCACCGGCATCTGCCATCGTGGAGATGTGTGGATACCTCCATTTCATCTGTCCGATCACGTAGCCGGTGTATGTGGCCAGTGAGCCTAGGAAGATCAAGACGAGGATAGCGCTGAGGATATGATTAGCTCCAATTCCGGCACTATGGGTCAGAAGGTAAGCTTACGGGACCAGTCCAAGACCTGCCACGGCGGCGGGCAGTGATAGCACACCCAGTGATACTGTTTCGGCGACCATCACTAATAGAATGTTAGATCGGAGGTTGGTTTTGATATAGCATGTTATCACATACGAAGACCACATTGCCTAAACAAGATATATGTTAGTCACAGAGCTATTGCATTTTTCGAGCTATGTAAACATACCACCACTTAAGTACTTTGTACTTGACTTCAGCGAACTCCTCGTCACCAAATGCATCCTGTCTGACTTTCGGAACGTCAACAAACTTCTCCGGATCAGACTGCAGGTCGGCGGGATTGATATAGGTGCTCTTCTCGTTGGAATTAAAATCCAAACCAGCAGGTGAGGAGCTCATCGCGAAGATATCAACACCAGCGGCGTATACCCGGGAAGTAGATATCACGTCGGGAATCGAACGAAAAAGCGGAGAACAAAAGCGAATCGCTTGATACAACAAATTGAAAGAGAGACAGAGATCTTAAAGGAAAATAGTATTAAAAACTCGAATTCACAAAAAAAAAGCACCCACCAACTCAGTAAATTGAAGAATAAAGAGTCCGCCACCCGAAACAGATGTGGATCGCCGACCAGCGGACCGAATCGACGAATCACCTCGTCGGGACGTAATAGAAAGGCCGAAAGGGACTTGGTCCGCTGTATCCAAATGGGCAATTCTGCTGGTCAAAACTGGGGAAAAGGAAAACTTCGCTCCGATGCCGGCCCCTTATATAGAGGCTGGAACCTGACTGTTCTAGAGGAGTTCAAGTCCGGGATGATGAAAATTTTCATAAGAGATTTAAAAGATCGGAGGCGAATATTTCGGCCCGCGTGCAGATTTACGGGAACTTTAACTCATGAGCTTATTTCTTTCAGTCTAGCCTATTAAATGGCCTTGCAGGATGTCGTGCTTGCATTTTTGCCCTAAGTTGTACGAGGCGTTCGGATGTAGATCAATCAGTTCGGAGTTGGGTCGCTAGGTCCGGTTTCTGTTAATGAATTATATGATCTCATATGGATAGCTTTAACTCTGCTTTGATTTCTCATTGGATATAGCTATAGGCCTTTCAAGTGAGCTTGTCATATGACCTCTTTCCCCTTTTCGTCAACTACATAGTATAACCCCATTCTCTCAACGATACGATATCCCCTCCATCGAAGCAGGTATCTTTGGTCATCCCATGGAGGTGGGATTTTGTTTGTAACAAGTTCCCTTAAATCCGGTCTCGCGCAGACCCCAGGATAAGTTGACCGTTCTACCCCGAGAGGCATATTCATGGAGCGGCGTGTTGCCGATTCTACTCTTTGAGCTTGCGGGACGCCATCTGAAAAGACCGTTTCCTCCACAGATTGTGAGCGACACTCGCGCGTGCCTTGTCTATATCCTCAATTGCCATCGGAAGGGACACACTTATGCTAGGCGAATAGTAGCACCACGTTCACGAGGGCGTAGGTATCAGTTCTCCTATAGTCTAACACGGCGAAGCTCGACTTTGGTAACGCCCACCGCTTCTATAATAGTTCTGTAAGTGCCTCGCTAATACGTATAGGGGTGCGGCTTACGCGATATTCGGGCGTTATAAAGCAGGTCGGATGCAAGGGTCCTACTAGCACGAGACGGCACTTTTGCATGAGATTGCGATGAGTTCCAGGATGTAGCACGGTGTAATAAACAACCTGCCAAATGGAAGACAAAGGAGAGTCCTGAGGGTGGAACAATGAAGTGCAAGATGTGAAGGTCATAGGAACCATGGCCCAGAATCTCAGGGTCAAAACCCTCATGCTGGCAACCTCGGCTTGGGTCTCACGACGACGTTGAGCAATGCCGGCCTTTTTTTATTTTCATTAGTGTCACGCTCTATCTCAGTATATTGTAGAACTTACTGCTTCTTATCGTTGTGCATCGGCCACTCAGCGCTTACCCTCTAGGTTTCTGTTGCGGGCATTGTTCGGCCCGATTTCCCATGTCTCGACCCATATTAGGGGTGAGGGGAAAGAAATGGTAAAGGACAAGCGAAAGCCATCTTTACTCAAACTCCTGAGCGTAACTCCTGAGCGTACGATTTGTCTGCAAATTCCCATGGAGCTTCATCGATTCTGATGTCGGTTTCAACCAGTCAGGTTGCTCTTCTGAAAAAGAATATCGAACGGGATGATTTGGGGGGAGTCGGAAATTGTGACTTGATCGGGTTCACTTTTCTTCGTGACGATACGACAGGATCGCCCATCGGCCAACTCTCAGGATAGATGTTCCCGTCGGTGTTGAAATCGTACGGCCACCTGGTGTTTCGTTTCTTCTCGGGGGTGACGTTATGCGCGATGATCAAAATGAGTGGATCGGACAGTCGGACGTCTGCCGGCAACGGGACGAATTCACCTTGGTCGTTGTAGCTGATCGTGTCATAGTACAGCAAGTTAGTTAGGGTCTCGTATTCGCGAGCACCCATTGAGCCTGTTTGTTCATGGTCACGATATAGTCGCAGTAGCTGAGGGTAACACCTGGCACGCAATGATCCTGGCGTTGGCGGATTTCATCCGTATTTTTCCAGCTTCAACATGGGTATTCTGCGATTGATTTTCATGGCCAGTGCGATTCTCACATTGCCTCTGGCCGGGTCTACCCAATTATCCACATCACGGACGTGGTCTAGGACGGGCAAGTGGGAGATAAGAAAAGTGATATATAAGAAAAGAGCGATATAAGGAATAGTGGGATGAGGGAAAGTAAGATATAAGGAGAACCGAGATATAAGGAAGAGTAAGTGATGGATGATTCTGGTAGGGAGTTGTCTCCTTATATAGTGGGAAGTTCTTTGTCAAAGATGATACATGTAGTACGGGGTAGGAACAACCAAGAATCCGAACTATATCAAAGGACTGACATCTGGCGGTATCCTAGGAAACCACAGTATTTCAGAGTCCCTCATATCTCTCGGGCTCTCCTTCCTTGCCCGTTAACATCTCTCAGGCAACCAACTTGTCATTTTTTTCTTTTCTGCTATCCCACTCAGATTGCTTTCAACAGGCCGTTTCTACGGCATCAAATTGAGTTCCAACACTATGGCATCCAAACCCTATGCCATCTGCTACGTGTCGAACTCTTATCTCACCCACCTCACCGACCTTGCCATCCAAAGCCCCTACCCTTAAATCTGCCCTAGAAAGGGCAGTTAAAGCGAGAGGAAATCACTACCAAACGTGCTGAGGAGCAAGGATCACCCTCCTACCTGGAGTCTCAAAGACCAGCTAGAACAAGAGGTCATACCGCCCAACATTCTTTATCTCCTATTTGGACTACATGGATGGTCCACTTCGTTGCGAGGAACACGGTGGTGATGTTTCGATACCCCCAACGAAGACTAGGATGACGATCACCAATTTAACAATTCGCGCATCCCAACGAAGTCTTTGCTAGCATGGATGGCTACAAAGGTTTTCCACACCAAACCGTCTTCATACGAAATCCTTAGACGATTTCGGCACGCAGGAAACGACGGTCGAAACTGCAATTCTTCTACACTGGCTGTAGCGAGAAAAGCCGTCCTTCGAAATGGCTGCCATAGAAGGTTGTGCGATATCTAGATGATGGGAGGGGGTTTTCCGTCTTCTCCCAGCTTGATCACATTCGCAAGACCATGGGTGAACACGACAAATTGCGAGCTACGGATACCTCATACAGAGAGCTATCTATGTCTCGTACTCTTAGTCCCCAATACGGTTTCCCCGGAAGTCCCCTTGGCCACCTCAGCGACTTCACCTCCGCAACACTTCCACAGCTTGTTTCATACACCGCGGTTACACTAGTCACTTTATAGCGATGTCCAACGCTTAGTGATACACAATTCACCTCAGCAACATCTCAATCACCTCATTCACTGCAGTCACCCCGTAGGGCGATATCCGGGCCGAATACGAATACTTTCCGACTCAGGCAAACCATCCACTTGGAGGGAATTTTCAATGCAGTACAGAATGAAACTCCCCATGGTTGTTACATATTGTATATACCTCGATCTTTAAGTCATAGTGGAGTAAACCCAATTGTTTCGCCATCTAAGCTTGTATCTTCTATCAAGCCTCCTTCCTCATAAACCTCATCGTCTAGCCAAGCTGCAAACTCAAGACCTATTTTACTGGAGCAAGATATCAATCCTAAGACACACACACACCTATCTTCGGAGAAGTTCTCCTGCCGCTGACAGGAAACTAGGCCGTCCTAGTCTCAAAGCAGAGATGACCCGATATAGCGGGATTGGCGCAAACTCACCAACCAAAACAAGCTCGTAACTTGCCATACCCAGACCAAACCAATACAGTCTCGACTTGCGTTTGGAATACATATGCACATCGTACAGATGCTGTCACTGCTAGTGCAGCGAAGGATCATCTCGGCGGTTCTGCAGATGCACCATCTTCGTATAGTCGTATGCGAGTTCATGCATCCTTGACACCAACGGCGGTAGTGATATCCCTACCTGCATACAACATAAGTACTTCCACTGGTAATACGATGTCAAGATAATAGTATCTATTCAATCGCTAAGATCGACCATGAACTAACTAAAGTATTTGTACAAAAATAAAAAAATGTGGGCCTCAGCCAGGAATAAATCCCATCAACACCAACACCAACGCCAGCGGACTTTCCAGTCCGAAAATTTCAACATAAAAAGCAAAACGCAGAACACCATGCTAGTGAAAATGCTATCATACAAAAAAAAACCCCACCAACCAACCAACCATTCATCTTTCATGCACCATTGTAGAATACCCCCAACTACACCTAATCATCCCCCCAAACTCCGCCTCTTAAGTCTCCGCCTCTTCCTCTGCGACTGCTGAATAGAATCCTCGTTCAGAATCTCCGGCGGCAGCTCAAAGTCCTGCTCTGTCAGGTCAGGGACCGGGTATCCGAATGCGAGGGTTGAGCGGGACCCGCCGCGGCGCATACCTTTCGTTGCGGCGATGGCTGCTTCACGGACATGTCGTTGGCGGAAGAAGGATGTGAATGGGCCGGGTCGTGGGGCCGGGTTCCAGAAGTGGGAGAGGGAGGCTTGTTGCAGGGGTCGTGGGGCGGGTTTTTGAGTTTTGGTTGGGACTGGGGGTTGTGGGTGAGGTTTGGTGGGTGTTGGGTTGGGTTTTTTGCGTTTGGGGCTGGGTTTTGGTTCAGTGTCGTTGGTTTTGGTGATGGTGGTATTGGTCATGTTAGTGTTGGTGGTGGCAGTGTTGGTGTTGGGAGCGGGTTTGGAGATCGACTTCCGAGCAGCAGGTGCTGTCTTACGCGGTTTAGCAGCGCTTGCTGAGCGAGCTTCTTGATGAAGCTGACGCGCAGCCAAGGCGTCTACGTCGCTTGGGTCCGGGTCTGGCTCTGCGTCTACGTCTGGCGTGCTGTGTAGATCAGTCCTCGGTGCCGGGGAGCTGTCCACGTCTTCAGCGGGACGGGATCGTTTGCGCGAGTGCTGTCGGGACTGGACATTGGGTGCTGCCTCGGTACCTGGCACCGGGAGAGCTTTTTCCTTTTCCAGCTTGCGTCGACGCTCTTCATCTTTCCATGCTTGGAACTTGTTGACCAGAGTGACTAGCTCTTGGATTAGGATATCGCGCTTCGGCTCGTAGAGCTTCTTGTCGCTTTCGTGGACTCCCGTCAGGCCCATCATGCGTAGCCAGTCATGGCCGCGTAGCTCGTCCAGGAGACGCTCTATGACTTGCTGTTCATGTTGGGCGCGGTTGCGTTCAATGTTGCGGAGTTGTTTCTCTTGTCGTTCGAACTTGCGGTGCGCACGGAAATAGGTCTCTTCGCTCAGTGGGTCGATTGCGGGGGTGTTTGATGCGGGTTTGTGGAGGGTGATCTTCTCACAGTCGTAGAGCTTGAGTAGCGGGTTACCGAAGGGTGTAGGCTCGGGGTTGGAGCAGAAAGGTAGTGGTCGCGGTAGGTCGTCCACGAGAGTGATGGTTGTTTTGGCGGCGAGGAATTCTATATAGCATCCAATGTCAGCCATGAGCTCAATGCACTCCCAGGGTCGAGTGACATACCAGGTTCGGGGACCTCCAAGCTGATAATCTGTTCATAGTTGTGGAAATACTGCGCAAGCTCGCTCTTGCAACGCGACCCGGTATCGGTCGACCGCAACGACCGTCTCCCCGACCGTGTGTCAGTCGATGCAGGCTGCTCGTTGTCAGGCGCCTCGATCTTGCTATGTCGCGTCGGAGTCGCGCCCTCCAAAGCACCCTCTTCCTTGATCGCGTTCTCGTCGGCGTCGGCCAGCGATCGATTGTCATTGCGACGAGTCGAGCGGGTCACAGGCGAAGTGGGCGGCTTGACTTTCGAGTCCGCATTCGCCGGGGTAACGGTGCGCTGCTTCGCGACCGACGGCGCTGGAGAGATCGTGTCTAATGGGTCTGGCGACTCATGGACGCCGCGCAGCAAATCCGCGCCGGAGGGAGTACCTTGGTCACGGCGGGCGCGTGGGGTCTTTAAGGTCCCATTTCCATTTGTACGTGTCGCCGGAGTCGCCAATCGCCCGACGGAGGCGACTGTGTCAACGGATGAAAGGGAGTCGCGACGAGTGCGATTTGAGGTGCGCGGTCGCGAGGGTTTCAAGGGGTTGGTACGAGATTTTGCGGTAGGATCATCGAGACAATCGGGGGAGCTCTTGCGGTCGGAGGCATCGATGCGCGGTTTCTTCGGCGGTGCCAGACCGTCGGCAGGTTCTTCGGGCGCCCGTCGCACAGAGCGGAGTGAGGACCGCGACAGGATGGCCATCGTTGAAGGAGATCAGTTCATTGTGGGGGATTCCCTTTCCAAGGTTTTACAGGGACTTAGGGATGAGATATGGGCATGCGAGAAGTTCTTGGCGGATGCCGATGGAGGTTAAGGTGGTTTATATTCCCTGGAAGGCATCAAGTATCTATTGGTTTTATGATATTATTCATACACAATGCTTTGTTTTGTTCTATTCAGAATTAATATATGAATTCCTGTTGAGACATATAGGCAACGGCCTACCTAGTATAATACAGGCAAAAACCTTCACTCTTGAATCTACACATTTCAATTCTGATAAAGGATTCCTTTCATTAAACATGCTCCAATATAAAAGAAAACATTATACTAAATATCCCTAATATCCCCAATATCTCCCCAATATCTCGGGAAAGGACATACCCCCACGGCAGTGTGGGGGACGGCAATTCAACCATTGCCAGGTCGGAATTCTAATAAATTCCAATAAATTCCCACATATGAGGGGGCTGAGGACTCTAAGAGCTTCATTGGATATTCGACAGGGTATATCGGGTAATAGACGGTAACGGCTGCGCAGTAATAGACAGCCATATAGCCCTGAGCAGATTCAAGAGTATATCCAGATCGTAGCACAAGACCTAACACAGGAAGATCTCTCCGATTTTGTGCTCCCAAGAGAAAGAGAATACTAGAATACTCCCAAGTAAATAAGTATAGCAACAGTATACATAGTATACATAGTATACCAGGCATCATACCCGAGTCAACCCCGCATAAAGCGTGGGGGAGGGGGAAAATGATGTCCGAGACCAAAAGCATCGCCTCCGGGCAGATTCGCCAAGTTTGGCAAAATCATTCGGTTAAATCAGAAATCAGTGGGGTGGACGTGGGGGAAATGCCTAGCTAAATAGCTGTAGGTCCGCCAATATTGATCCCCCTCATTTCCCCTCCAGTGATATTTGGTATGAAGAGAATGAGTCCAAGCAACTCACAGCAGATACTAACAGACCAATAGATTGACCTCCTCTCCTCCAAAATGACCAACGGAACCAAGCGAAATCCCCTCCCCCACGGTGTTTACGTCCCCACCGTAGCATTCTTCAAGCCCGACGAAGAAGTCGATCTCGCAACAGTCGAGAAGCACGCCGTCTATCTCGCCCGCAGCGGGGTAACCGGCCTAGTAACTCAGGGCAGCAATGGCGAAGCCGTGCACCTAGATCGCGAAGAGCGCAAGGCAATCACAGCCGCCACACGTCGCGCCGTCGACGCAGCCGGCTACACCAGCATGCCAGTGATCGCCGGCACCGGTGCCGCCTCAACTCGTGAGACCATCCAGCTCTGCCAGGACTCCGGCGCAGCAGGCGCCGACGCAGTCCTCGTGCTCCCACCCAGCTACTACAAGGCGCTCGTGAGCGCCGAGTCCATGCACGCCCACTTCCGGGCCGTGGCCGATGCCTCGCCCGTCCCCGTTCTCATCTACAACTTCCCCGGCGTGCAGTCCGGTCTCGATCTCAGCTCAGAAGATATCTTGACTCTTGCAGAACACCCCAATATCATCGGGTGCAAGCTCACGTGCGGTAACACGGGTAAGCTTGCCCGTGTTGCGGCGGCGAAGCCTGATTTCTTGACTTTTGGTGGCTCGGCCGATTTCACGCTGCAGACGCTTATTGTTGGAGGGGCGGGCATTATTGGTGGCGTTGCCAATATGATTCCTCGCTCGTGTGTGCGTGTTATGGAGTTGTATCGTGCGGGCAAGGTTCAGGAGGCGCAAAAGGTGCAGGCTGTTGTTGCGCGCGCCGACTGGGCTGCTATCCATGGTGGCTTTATCGCTGTTAAGACTGGCTTGCAATCCTACCGTGGATACGGTGGTCTTCCTCGGCGGCCTTGTGTCGTGCCCTCTGCGAAGGCTGCGGCAGCCATCCAGGAGGAGTTCCGGGAGGGGATGGAGTTGGAAAAGTCGTTGGAGACAGTCTAATGGATATTGAAGTAGATTAAATGATACCTGAGATCTCATGTGGAGGTCTCTGTTCCTTTCGAAGTGTTTTCCAAGTGTTTTCAAGGTTGCTTTGTTGATAGATCGACGTGACCACAGTGTGACTGTGTCATTTTCCTGCTCCCCCCCTCTTTTAATATGTCCTCGTGTTATCTGGGGAAGTTGAAGTTGCATGTAGAGGTTGCACTTTCTCTTCTTCCTTAATTTCTCTTAATCATTGGAAACAGATTGACTTTATTAGTTAAGTGGCAGATGCAATGTAACAAGGGAGAGCTGTTTGTTTTTCCGATCTCGAACTTCCCCCAGGTTGCATCCAAAACACTCGGCATTCCTTGAGATCGGCAATGCAGCTGAACATAAATAGTTCTGGCTATCTCCTGGCCTCGGTTCTTCTCTTTCTCATCATCACTCAACTCATCAACATGAAGTTCGCCTCAGTCCTCAGTGTGGTCGGGGCCCTGACGGCTGTATCCGCCGTCCAGGTGAATCCACTTCCCGCCCCCCGTAACATCACCTGGGGATCCTCCGGTCCAATCCAAGTCAGCCACTTGAGATTGAACGGTCGTAACTCTGCGGTCGTCACTCAAGCTTGGGAGCGAGCATGGAAAACTATCACCACCCTGCAATGGGTTCCTGCTGCTGTTGAAGCCCCTATCGCCTCTTACCCAGCCTTCCCCACCGCGACTCCTGTATCGCCCTCCTCGACCCCTGCCTCCAAGGCCAAGCGCGCGCCCTCGGCAATCCACAACGTCGATGTCCATGTGGTGGACAACGATGCAGATCTCCAACATGGCGTGGATGAATCCTATACACTGGTGGTGGCCAATGGCGGCATCCGGATCAATGCTCAGACGGTCTGGGGTGTGTTGCACGCCTTCACCACCCTGCAGCAGATTATCATCTCGGATGGCAAGAGCGGCTTGATTATTGAACAGCCCGTCAAGATTAAGGATGCCCCGCTGTACCCCTACCGTGGGATCATGATGGACACTGGTCGCAACTTCATCACCGTTCGCAAGATCTTCGAGCAGATCGATGGTATGGCCCTGTCCAAGCTCAATGTTCTCCACTGGCACTTGGACGATGCTCAGTCGTGGCCCATGCAAATGAGTTCCTACCCCGAGATGACTAAAGATGCCTACTCGCCTCGCGAAATCTACACCGAGAAGGACATGCGCAGTGTGATTGCCTACGCCCGCGCGCGAGGTGTTCGCGTCATCCCCGAGGTCGACATGCCCGGCCACTCTGCCTCGGGCTGGCAGCAGGTCGACCCGGAGATTGTGGCTTGTGCCAATACCTGGTGGTCGAACGACGTGTGGGCGGAGCACACCGCGGTCGAGCCGAACCCTGGCCAGCTCGATATCATCTACCCCAAGACCTACGAAGTGGTTAAGAATGTCTACCAAGAACTGTCTCGCATCTTCAGCGACAACGTCTTCCACGTCGGTGGCGACGAGATCCAGATCAACTGCTACAACTTCAGCACCCATGTCACTAAGTGGTTTGCCGAGGATCCCTCGCGCACCTACAGGGACCTCACTCAGTACTGGGTTGACCACGCCATGCCTATCTTCCGTAGTGTCGGCGACCACCGCCGCCTCATGATGTGGGAGGACGTGACAATCGCGACCGAAAGTGCCCACAATGTTTCCAAAGACATTATCATGCAGACCTGGAACGCCGGCGATGGTAACATCAAGAAGCTCACCTCGGCCGGCTACGACGTCGTCGTTTCGACCTCTGATTTCCTCTACCTCGACTGCGGCCACGGGGGTGCTATCACCAACGACCCCCGCTACAACGAGCAAAGCAACACCGCCGGCGGCGTGACCTTCAACTACGGCGGCAACGGTGGCTCCTGGTGCGGCCCCTACAAGACCTGGCAGCGTATTTATGACTACGACTTCCTCACGAACCTCACTGCCTCCGAGGCGAAACACGTCATCGGCGCCGAGGCTCCCTTGTGGTCGGAGCAGATCGATGATATAACCATCTCCAGCGCGTTCTGGCCTCGCGCTGCTGCGCTGGGTGAGCTCGTCTGGTCTGGTAACCGTGACGCGGCGGGCAGAAAGCGTACCACCAACCTCACTCAGCGTATTCTGAACTTCCGTGAATACCTCGTTGCCAATGGTGTGATGGCTACTGTTCTTGTGCCCAAGTATTGTCTGCAGCACCCTCATGCTTGCGACTTCTACAAAAACCAGACCATAATCTCTTGATTGTGGTTTAAGCTGGCCTTTCAGTGAACCTCTTGATTTTCTACTCGTCTGTATATATTTAGTCTACCTTCGATACCCAATACCATTGGAATTTCTTCCGGCTTACCTGTCCTAATCAGTATACTACTTCATGTCCACATTCAATCTACAACAGTAGTTAATCCAATATAATTATCTGCCTACACCAGCCAGCCACCAACACTTCCATGTACATATATCTACTCCATACCCATACCCAATCTCAATCAGGCACCAAACCCCGTCCCCCAGCCCAAATCAAAATTCAAACCCGACCTCTCCCCTGTCGCTCTCCCTCTCCATATATCCATCCACACATAACCGTCGCCCCAATACAAAATCCACCTTAAGTCAGACAAACCATAATCCCAAATTATCTCAATCCAACCAAAAGATAACAAGACAATCCACACCCAAACCCCCACAGACCCTCCCTTCTTCCCAACCCACCCAGGCAACCTCCACAACAAACCAAACCCCCAAAATCAAAACTGCCGTGCAACCCTCCGTCTTGGAACTCACCCTTCGGCCCCGTCCCGGACTTTACATGGGCTTCGGGACGGGCTTGCTGTATGTAGTATGCATGCAGTACGGGGTACTCCGTATACATGTTAGGAGATATATGTATGTAAGTATAAGTAGAAGTATGTACTACTTATGTACTATGTACACATGTTCGAGTACGCAACGCTGTACATAGTGTTCCATGCAGGTCGGATGGATATTGCATCATGCCATTAGCATTGATATGTACGGAGTACCTGCGGTGTATTCGGTGCATAGTACATAGTAGTACATAGTACATAGAATGAATTTAGACATGCGTTGTATTGACATGTACATATAGATATAAGGTAAATGTATAGTTACTAAATCTGTGAATGCAAATATACAAGACCAATCCCGCCCCCTCGGAGCAAACCAGCCCAATCAGACATCCATGTTCGAAATCCAAACTCGAAACCTAGCATATGGATTCAGACCGGGCTGAGTGGGGTGGGGTTTGGGGTGTTGCTCACGTGTACACGTACATGCATAAGGACATATGTTGCACAGGATGGGCGCTGGGCAATGACAAATTGACGGATTGAGGAGAAACAGGCGAGTGGTTGGATGTTAATTCTCTTAGGTGTGTTTTATCTTTATTCTGGCTGGGTTCGTTGTACACGTGGAAATTTGTGAGATTTGTGGAATTCCTCACTGGTGAGGTCCATGTTTGATTTAATATTCAGGTTTAAGAGGGGATGGTAAATGGGGTATTCAAAGATGAATGGAATACACTCACTTCTGATTTACACCTTCCTTTCCCTCGGAGGTATTCGGGTACAACCCAATCCTAGCTTCCACATATCATGTGTCCATACAAATAAGTACCAACGCTTCCATTTCTGGTTCCCATAGGCGAGTAGATCGGGAACTGATCTCGCATATTTGTATATGGAGTGGAGTACAAGCACACGGTCATTCTGCGTAATAGCGTGTTTATATTATTAGTTTGGGTTTTAGTACTGTGTTAGTGTTCGGCTAATATAGACGGTTTGGGGAAGTAACCTTCTATCCTGGGAATGGGTGCTTGGTTTGGTTTGGTCTAGTATGTACTTATTTTCTAGGCTGCGTGATATTTTGAAAATAGGAGTATTTGGTAAATATATTTCCTGCCTTTGTCTTTGGTTATGGTTTACGTCTTACCTGGCGTGGATTGAGGTGAAATAGGTTTCTGTATCACAGTCGTGTTTCAACGTGGATCGGGGTCCTTTTCCTGCTATATCCCCTTGGCTTATGTTTCATGCGGTTGTGCGGGTTCGTATAATGCATTTCTGGCATATAATATAGTGTGAGTGGCTCGGGCGTTGAGATGGGGCTTGGTTTGAGGTTACTCCTTTGCAACATATATCAAACCGAAATGGCTGAAAATATATATCGATATAGTCAAACTAGAAATTCATTCGTTGACAGCCATTACAAATTGTCAATAGGTCTTATTCTTACTCTCACTCCTATCTCATCTCGCCTTGATTACTCGTTACACAGCGTTAACCCCAAGACCCAGGTATCTGATCGCAGACTGTGGGCCACGACCAAATAGAAGGTCTCGTGTTGGTTAGGGCGACAAATCTGGAGCTGTCTTTTCGACGGGACTGCGGAGAATTTGCGGCATTTTGTGTGTGTCTACATGGTCATCCCCTGGTATGTGTGGGTGGTGTTTCATGATATATCCCGGTCGATTCTGACGTGCGTTCGTATGTATTACTGGTAAGGCTCGCAGGGGCTATGTCAACATTGCATGGAAGTCCTTCTAGAAGTCAACCTTATCGGTGGACGTACATGTGTTCTAGGCATGTCTATATCGAGTCTTGTCGAATGACATCTCGCGACTTCGAGTCTGCATATATCGCAGATGTGTTCGAGATACCAAATCGGGTCCCCGGCTCGAGACAAGGCACAAGCCCAAAGGGAAGGTAGAGACCTGTTTCACCACTACGCACCAAATCCCGTTGATCCTCAATATCCAACCTGCTTATCATGAGCCCGAGGAGCATGGGCGATGCCTGTGGGATGCCCGGGTATACATCGTACAAAACCAAACATAAGCAGCGGACCGAGCTCAGACAGTGAAGATCCCCCACAAACCATCCCACGCCTTATGCCCAGAGTAGACGTACCTGCTCGATGTACGCCACAAGTCTCAATCCCAGGTAGGTGTCTGACCGCGTACACATACTCCCTTGCGGCGCTCTTACTTAGCCAGTCTATCGGGCAAAAGTAAAGCGCCAGAACCCGCAGCACCGCACCATCAACCCAGGTGCATCTGTTATCTGCCTAGCTATCTGATCGCCAAACTATAGAACCTAATCACAACCAAAAACCTGATCGACAGTATACAATGCACTATGTATACCCGGGTGGTAGGTCTAACCTTACCAGATCGCCCACTAGAGAAAATCAGTCCTACCACACCCACACCTTCCGCGTGCTCTGTCCTGTGCGCTCAGACCAATTGAACCCGGGTTTCTGTCTGTCGCGCCCTGTTTTTTTTTCTTCTTTCTTTTTGCTGGCAATGCAGATGCAGATGCAGATCCACACGCGGGGATGCGAAAAGACAAATGCAAAGGCTCAAGATAATTTTCCTGCCAGTTGCATCGGAGCGCCCGACTTCCATATCCACATCAAATCAGAAATTAATCGTGGACTGCGGGTGGCATCCTTATGCCGTGTTACCCAACTCATGGCTCCGTGAGAAAATGGATCGTAACACCGCCTCAATGAGTGGAGTTCAGGATCGTTGCGTCATCTCGGGGAGAGCGAAAGCGCTCCCCCATAGGCTAAGAAGAGTGGCTGGTGAGGTGGGGAAGGTTAGTGCCAGATGTGGATTGCTGTTTCTCTTCTTTTGGCTTCTTTTTGCTTCTTTCGCTGTGGCACAGTCAAGTTCTGTAATGTAAAGACATGTAAAGATATGTAAAGGGATAAGTGGGATAAACCTGTATCTTTGTATGGAGTACTCCGTAGTGGAGATGTGATCCGCACAATTGTCGCTAGTGAAGGTTCTGCATGAATTTTACGTCAAATCGCAGTTCGCTTCGCCTTTGTTCGGGATCGGCATGCCAAGTCAGATCCAAGGTGACAGATCGAAATGGGTGGATGTGTGATATATCCAATCAAGATATTATCACCCGGATCAAGGATTTGGCATGTGTATCCGGAATTGTCACAATCTAGTTCCCGAGATCCCGTGCGGTGCTGTCGATCCTTATGGACGTATAGGGAAATATCAGAAATGATTCGAAAATGCACAGGTATACTCGATCTCGATCCTGCATGTGCAGCAAGACCCTCTTTCCTGTTGTGTCCATGTCAAATTTGACAGCGGGGACTTGATTGGCGTACTATGGCTTGACTAGTCATTTCAGGTTTTGCTTTCATCATACTTTGTATACAATATATTGTTTATCTACCCGCGATGCTCAAAACAGGAGTATGGAGTGATACTAGGTACAGGCAATGAACAGCACATGTCCGACCTGCAGGAAATATCACCTCGGGGACCTCCCTCGTAAGCTTTAGGACACGATACGCGGGATGTGCTATCAATCTACCTACCCTCGAACCTGCCTACACTTCTCAAAACGCATCTGCCTCGGCCACAGGTGGCACAGTGTGACGCCTTCCCTCGAGCTTATCATGGGGTTGGAGGGTATCCACGGCATTTCCCTCTTTTGTCGGCTGTGATACACTTCTCAGATATTAGAGATCAGATGATTAGATCCTAGCTCTAATCTAAAGAACGACCCCATATTTGAGTCTGTGGGTACATTATATCGTCCTGTGAACTGGGGGAAATTGAAACCGAGGGGCGTGACGGATACCGTATGACCACCGAGAAGTGATTAGGCTACTCCGTATGATGTACTCCGTACACACAATTCCGTACACACAATTCCAAATGCAAAAATAGCGAAAGGCTAGATTGTTTGATCTACGTTAAGAAATACCAGAAACTAGCTCCCAGGCAGAGAATCAGGGCCATGTTTGGCCGGTGGGTGACTGACTTTACATTCTACTGGGATTAATAGCTTGGCCCCCTTTCTCAAAGTTAATCTTGCATAGATTGTGTCGTCAGTGGACGTCACGAGGCGGGTGATTGGATGTGTTTTACCCCTCTCGGGCGAACACCCCCAAACCCACGAACACGTAGATCAAAACACGGGTGACTCTACCACTAAGGTGGTGGCGTCTGGAAACGAGGAGCAAGGAATTAGGAATAGGACAGACGTAGGACGAATGAACTCCAACGCAAAGAGCAAGAGCCGAACTATTACGTAGGGAACTGTCTTGGATCAAGGAACTCACCTCGCGATGCAGTTATTGAGATTAAGAGGATCAACATCCTTATCCTACCCGCATTTAACCTTGTTTTGCAATAAATTTAACCAAATATCTTGATCGAGAACATATATACCTTGGGTAAACTACCTACGGAGTAC